GCATCCTCTCCATAAGCATCCGCTCCATGAGCATCCTCTCCATAAGCATCTGCTCCATAAGCATCCTCTCCATAAGCATCTGCTCCATAAGCATCCTCTCCATAAGCATCCGCTCCATGAGCATCCTCTCCATAAGCATCTGCTCCATAAGCATCCTCTCCATAAGCATCTGCTCCATAAGCATCCTCTCCATAAGCATCCTCTCCATAAGTATCCTCTCTATATGCCTTCCCTCCATATGCCATCCCTCCATAAGCCTTCCCTCCATAGGCCTTCCCTCCATAAGCCTTCCCTCCATAGGCCTTCCCTCCATAAGCCTTCCCTCCATAAGCCTTCCCTCCATAAGCATCCTTTCCATAAGAAACCTCTCCATTGGCAACCTCACCATAAGCATTTCTCTTTACTCTCTGTAAATCCTTTTCCATCATTTCTCCATTTTGTTTTATTTTTTCATCAATTAAAGTTGTATTAGATGATTCTTAAAATTATATCATTATTAAAATATTTTAAAATAATTATTTAAATATCTTGCTTAAACTAGGGTAGCATCCGACATACCCGCCACGAAGGGTCGCGTTGTTACCTTACTTTAAATTTAAAAATAACTCAAATATTTTCTTTGATTTATTAATTTATGTTTATTTTATTTTTTGTCTCAAATAAGTTTAATTAGCCAAAAATATATTTATTTATTTTAAAAAATAAAGATTAATTTTTTTAATTATTTTTTCATTTATTTAAAATAATTTGTTACTTACTTTTTATAATAAAAAATATTATAAAAATAATTAAAAATAAAATAAATAATTTTTGGGACATTTATTCTTCAATAATTCAATTAAATTAGAATTTTGAGTTCGTTTTTTGTTTTCCAAAATCCTTATTGCCGAAAAATTTTTTATTCAAATTCGTACCTGAAATTTCCCATTTGTTTGAGCATTGGGCCATTTACTCATCAAAAATGGAAATTCTCAAAAATAAATTCGTCATTTTTGGCTAATTTAATGAGGAATAAATAGATTATTGAATAAAAAAGAATAAAAATTAATTTTAAATAATTAAAACACAAACTACTAAAGCTCGAGGTAATTGAGTTTGCCAGTCGAATATTTTTTAAATTTTAAAATTTACTTACCGAAAAATACAATGCCCCCTCCATTAGAATGCCACTTTTGAAGGTGATTGAAAAATAGAATGCCCGGGCATTCTATTAGAGGAATTACGGTATTCCTAATAAAGAAAACGCATAAAATTAAACTTTGATATGCAAATAAAAATATTTCTGAATTAAATATTGCAATTAATTTTTTGCGTGATTTTAAAGTAATTTCTTAAAATACTTTATGATTTGCAGTATATTTGATATTGGTTTTTTCTTTATTTTTTTTCTAAATTTTTTATATTAATAGTAGAAGAATTTTAGGTCTGGAATTAACCAAAAATTAGATTATGTTTAATTTATTATTTTTTTGGTTAAGGATTGAGATTAAAAATAAAAATCAAAAATTAAACTCTTATTAATAAAAATATTTAACTAAAATTATTAAATATTTTTTATTTATTTTTGTTTTTATTTAAATATTGTTTTAAATAAAAATCAATCCAAAATTTTAACCTTGTAAATAGATAAAACTTCTTCAAAATATAAATTCTTAACAATTAATTTATCCATTTAAGAATTGAATATACTAAAATGTAAAGTAAATATATCAATTAATATTTAATTCTTTTAAATCATTTCACAATTTTTAATTAATCTTTTCAATTCTTCCAATTTTCATTTAAATTCCAAGAAATCCACCCTTCTCACCAACATTTTGTTTAATTAAAATTTTCGTGTCCGGTTAACTCATCTACTCGTTAACTCATCTACACGGCCAAAAACGTTCAACTCATCTAAACGGCTAAAATTCTTTAACTCATCTACACGGCCAAAAAGGGTCAACTCATCCAATCGTTAACTCATCTAATCGTTAACTCATCTACACGGCCAAAAAGGGTTAACTCATCTAATCGTTAACTCATCTAATCCTTAACTCATCTACACGGCCAAAAAGGGTCAACTCATCCAATCCTTCGAAACGAGACTATTGAGTAACGGCCGTTTGAGTCTTTGGCCGTCTGAGTCTCCGGCCGTTTGAGTCTCTCGCCGTCTGAGTCTCTGGCCGTTTGAGTCTCTGGTAAGTTGAGTCCATGGCCAGTTGAGTCCATGACCAGTTGAGTCCATGGCCAGTTGAGTCCATGACCAGTTGAGTCCATGACCAGTTGAGTCCATGGCCAGTTGAGTCCATGACCAGTTGAGTCCATGGCCAGTTGAGTCCATGACCAGTTGAGTCCATGACCAGTTGAGTCTCAACCGGCGGTACTCTACTGGCCATGGACTCAAACGGCCGGTACTCAATAGTCTCGTTCCGAAGGATTGGATGAGTTGACCCTTTTTGGCCGTGTAGATGAGTTAAGGATTAGATGAGTTAACGATTAGATGAGTTAACCCTTTTTGGCCGTGTAGATGAGTTAAGGATTAGATGAGTTAACGATTAGATGAGTTAACACTTTTTGGCCGTGTAGATGAGTTAACGAATAGATGAGTTAACGATTAGATGAGTTGTATAGGAGCCAAAATTTTATTTTCATAATTATTTTCTTCTTCCTTTTCTTTTTTATTTTCATTTAAATTTCTCTTTTTTCGATTTTTATTATAAATTGTAATTGACCCCCCAGAACCTCCAACATGTTGATTAACTCTAAATTCGTTATGATTTCCACCATGTTTCTTTGGGTGGTGACCACCCTCATTTTTATCAGCTTCTTCCTTCTCGCTATCATAAATTTCTTTTTCATCTTCATTATCATCTACCTGTTCCCCATCATCATCAGCTTGTCTGAAAAATAAAAAAAAATTTTTCAAAAATTTTATTGTGCATTTTTTTAAATTAATATTAATAAATTTTAAAATTTAATTATAAAGAATAAATCTTTTCTAAAATTTTTTTAAATAATTTACCTTTTTCTTCTGTTTTTGTTAACAAGCATAATCGAACCCTTTCCTTTCTTAACATCTTGTGAAATCGCAAAAATATTTTTATTTCCCCCACCGTTGCCTTTTCCATTCTTATTTCCCCATTCTTTTTCAGCTTTTTTATTATTTTCTTCATCACATTCAATTTCTTTATTTTCTTCTTCTCCAATATCCTCTCCTTCTCCCCAATTACCATTCCCTTCATCGCCATCTTCTTTATCACCTCCATAATCATCGGCACCTTCTTCTTCTTCTCCCCAATCCCCATTTCCCCAACCATTCTCGTCTTCTTTATCACCTTCATGACCATCATCTCCTCCTTCTTCTTCATCCCCATCTCTCTTTACTCTATATAAATCTTTTTCCATCATTTCTCCATTTTGTTTTATTTTTTCATCAATTAAAGTTGTATTAGATGATGATTCTTTAAAAAATTTAAATAATTTTGATTTATTTTTTATTTTTCGACTTTATTGTTTCTAAAGATTTAATTTTAATTAATTATTTTTTTATTTAAAATAATCTATTACTTACTTTTTATGATAAAAAATATTATAAAAACAATTAAAAATAAAATAATTAATTTTTGGGACATTTATTTTTTAATAATTCAATTAAATTAGAATTGTGATTTCGTCTTTTGTTTTATAAATTTATATAGCCAAAGTCTTGACTTTTTTTATTATTCAAATTGGTACTGAACTTTCCCATTTGTTTGAGCATTAGGCCATTTACTCATCAAAAAATGGAAATTCTGAAAAATAAATTCGTCATTTTTGGCTAATTTAATGAGGAATAGATTATTGAATGAAAAAGGATAAAAATTAATTTTAAATAATTAAAACACAAAATTTAAAAAAGTATGACTAAGTCCTATTATTATGATTAAATTAATAGAAAATATTTATTTCTTTTTTCAAATTTATTATTAATGAAGATAAACATTTAAAATAAATTTTGATAAATAAAAATATTTTTTAATTAAATATTAAAATATCAAATCTATTAAAAAAATTTTTTTCTAAATTTCTTAAATATACATATACTATTATCAGAAACTTATGAAGAACTAACTGTCTGGAAAACCATCAGAATTTGTATTTTTCATTTTAATCTTAATTTTTTATTAAAGGAATAATAATATTTTTATCGAGTTTTTCAGTTTAAAAATTAATTTTGATTTATTTCAGATGTTCAAATTCTGATTATAATTACTAAAAATCAAAATAAAAAAATTAAATTATTATTAATAAGAATATTTATCTAAAATCACTAAATAACTATTTAATTATTTTTGTTTTTGTTTAAATATTGTTTTAAATAAAAATCAATCCACAATTTTAAATAAATAAATGTAGTAAATACTCCTATAGCAAACCCATCAGAAGAAATAGAACAAACAACTTTTTCAGAAAAAAGTTTTAAAAAAGCAATATGAATAAGTTGGAAAATAATTATTAAAAACTAAAAATTAAATAAATTATTTAAATTAAATAGGTATATGTACTTGAATAATTTGCAATGTAGTTAATGATTGAGGTATAATTTTTGGGAACCGAAATGAAAAACAAGTTAGCATATAATAACTTAAAAAAATAATATTTTAATATAAATATTTATAATTAATTTAGCTACAAAAATATTTAATTAAAAAATTTAAATAAAATCAGAAAATTTTTTTAGAAAAATGGAATTTTTGGTTAAATTTTTGGTAAAAGTATCCCTTATATAAAATGTATAAAAAATATTTAAAAAATATTTGTAACATTTATAATTGTATTTTTCTGTTAAATTATAGAAATAAGAATGACTTTAAGGTAGGCGTATTTTTTATGCCGATTTTAGATAATTAAATAAATAAAATCTTTGATTTTTAATCTCAAATGTTAATGTTTTATAGGCGATCTGGTTATAATTCCCCAAAAGTAATTCTTGTTAAGGAGCCTAATATCCTTTAAGTTTAAATAAAAATATTTTCTACTTACGTATACATAATTGAATGGATAAAAAAGTTCATCCAAACAACCCAAACTAAATAAGCATTATCTCCAATAAAATTTATAGTTCCAAATAAAATACTCATTGAATGATGAAACCTTTTTAATTTAAAAAATTTAATTTAACAATTTTAATTTCAAACACCAATGCATAAATTGAATAGGTCTTCCTTTTAAAATTAAAAATAAAGTATCAAATAATTCTGGTATTTTAGACAAAACCCAAATAAATATCCAAAAACCAGAAATTTGATTTGTTTGGAGTTCGGTAATTTGTGTATATGTCTCTTAATTAAAATATTTTTTAATTATTAAAAATTTTAAATAAAAATATTTATTAGCATCAAAATGTGACACTTGAAGTTGCTCTTTGGAAATGTTTATTAAGGAACAAAATTTATATTTTAACTTAATTGTGTATAAAATTTTGGAAAATATAAAATATAATTTTTAATTTAAAAAAATATATGTATAGGTAGCAGGGGTGTGCAAGTTTCGCGTGTGCGAGTTATGTCAACGTCAGGGCATTAATTTAAGAGAGAGAACATTTCAACGTAATCAGAAATTGTTTTAAGTGATTTGCACTGAGGGCGGTAAGACAATTTTAATTTCCGGTGAAACAATAAAAAAGGGGGAATTTTGCCTCAATTATTATCTTCCATTCCAAAAATTTGTCAGTATTGGATTACTCGTTAATTTGTAAAAAATAAAAAAATAATTTCCACAATTAATTACATTAATATATTCACTTACTTATTATTCCATTTCTCTCTATCGAATTAAACATTATTGGTGTTAATCTAAAAAATCCAATAAAACTAAAAACAGCCAAAAATAAATTCCATAAAGCCAAAATTTTATTTATTGAATTATTAAAAATAATTTTTTTGTTTTTTAAAAATAATTTAGAGAAATTAATTAATAAAATATAAAATAAAATTATAATTAAAAATATAGGTAAATTGTCTTTGACCAATTCCTTAGAATATTCATAATTGTAGGATTCATTAATTAAATTGAAAAAATTAATTTTAAAATTATTTGGCATTTAATTAATTTTTTAAATCTGGTATATATTTAATTATTTTTGGTTTTTAAATAATTAGAAAATAATTAAAACTACATTTAATAAATAAATAATTAAATATAAAATGTTCTGATTTTTATTTATTTATTCCACCAAAAACTGATAAGAATTGAGATGTTTTGCAACTAAATTTTTATAAATTATTAAAACAAAAAATTTATAAAAATTAATTTTTCCTAATTTTTAAATAAATTTTAAAATAGAAAAACTTGTTAAATGCTAATAAATATTTAGAAGAAAAAATTGTTATTGAGAAAATATTAAATTTTATATACAATCTATTCCTTCCATTTCAATCAAAAACTGCGTCTTGAAGTTAAACTTAATCTTTAAAAAAATAATATAAATATATTTTTTATTAATATAAAACACCTTTTTTGATTAATTTTTGAATTAACAAAATTAATTAAACGTGAACGAAAACTAGCAGAATTTAAACAAAAAATAACAAAATTAAGAGATTTGCCTAAAGTAACAAGGAAAACAGTTAAAGCTCTCTAAAAGAATTTAAAAATATAAAAAAAAATTTTCTAAATAAACATACAAGGGTAACATGAGGATCTTTTGCAGAAACTGGGCCGACAAAAAGTTGAATAAATGCTGATGGTGTCTAAATTTTAAAATATTTAAATTAATTAAATTAATTAGCCTGAGTAAGTGTAAAGTTTGTAACAATTGCTGCCTTTTAATTTGTAAAATAATTTTTCTAATTTATTAACTAAAATTAATTTTTTTACCACAATAAAAGTAACATGATATTCAACTCGAAATGTATTTAAACAAATACTTTTTCTGTTTAAATCCAAAGATTTTGTTGTTTTTAAACTATCAGAATGGCCAATAAATCCAGAAAGGTAATTTCTAAATAATTTTAGAAATTATTTTTAGTAATTTTTAAATTTTTAGAGTTTATTCTTTGTCATTTAAGGATTTTAATCAATTTTTAAAAAATTGAAAAGGTAATTATTAAAGTTGAAGGTTGTTGGTCCCTTCATCTAAAAACGATGCTTAAACCAAAAATTTAGTTCGGTTCCGGGTATCTGTAACTGTTAACTTCAATTTTAGATTATTTTAGATTTTATTAAATTAACTTCTCTTAATATTTTTTTGGATATTAATTTAATTAAAACCTTTTATATAAAGCAAATAAAAGTCCTAAATTTGAAAAAATAATTAAAACTGTTGGAAGAAAAACTACAAAAACTGCATGAATTATAGGGCTATAATGTAAATACAAATAAATTAATTGAGAATTAGCCAGAAAAGAATTATTTGTTTGCCATCTAAATTTAAAAAAAAAAATAATTTTTTAAGATTTTTGTTAAAAAACTTTTTTGAATCAATGTTGAAACAAAAAGAATATAATTGACTTCCATTGCAAAATGTTTTAATAATACATTGATAACTAGTAAATTTGTAAAAATTAATTTTTCAAAAATTTATTTTTATTTAAATTTATTTTTTATTTGATTATTCCAAGCTTATTTTTCCCAAAAGAAATTTTTTTAAATTAATTTTATTAAAATACCTTAAATGAACATAAAAAGTTAACAAAAAAGTAGCAATAATAACTATAACCAAAAACAGTTTAATACCAAAAGGTCGACTTTTATGAATACTTAAAGGGTTACTGATTGCTATAAAACGTTCAAAACAAACACCCAAAATAATCCTAAAGAATTTTAAATTATAATTAATTTAAAAAATTAATTAATTAAAACCAAATAGCAGCTGCTGAACATCTAAAAATTAAAAAGATTATTTTTTTAATAAAAATAAAAAAAAACTAAGCTGATTAATTAATGCAAGAATGTGTATTTTAAACAAAAAATAAAATTTTCGAAATAAATTATTTAAATAAAATAAATCAAAATGTGCCAAAGAATTTGGAAGAAATAAAATTAAAAATAAAGCATCAAACAAAGCAAGGGAAGATAATAAAATGTCTGGTCTTTAATTTAAATTTAAATTAATTTTTTAAAAAATAATTTTAAAAACCTAGCAATTTTTCTTTTATTTCCTCCAAGTAAAATTAAAAGATTTAAACAATTCCCAATTAAACCAAACAAAATAATTGGAGGCAATAAAATTCCAATAAATATTTTCTCAACAAAATGAGCAGAAAGACGCAAATTGTGTTGAGATAAACAAATTTTGGAAGAATTTAAGGAAATATTGTTATTGTAATTAATTAATTTTGATGCCATTTTTTAAATTTGAAGATACTATATTCGCATTTAAAGTTTTAAAATTTATGTAATTAAATTTAAATAATTAATTTTGACTGTATTTTTTTTTCTTTAATTAATTTTCCTTATAAAATTGTATTAATTTTAATTTTTAATTGACAGAAAACCAATCAAATAAAATACAGGAAAACTAATTCGATTGTGAGGAGAAAAAAAGATAATCAAAAATTAAAGGAATTTAAAGAAAATAATAAAAATAAAAAAAGTTTTTTTTACGATGCCAAACAAGTAAAGAGATGGCTTTTGACCGTTGGTTGTTTTAAGCATATGCTTTAACTAATGCTGACTTAAAGTAGGTAAAATGTGGATTTTTATGATACTTTTAAAGTATATTAAAATAAAAATTTAAGGAAAAAGTATAGATAAAATTGAATAAATAAATTGATAAAAAATAATATTTTGAAAATTATAAAAATAATTAAATAAATATTTTTTGTAAATATTTTAAGAGATGTTGTACTTCTTTTTATTGTAGTTTTAAATGTTTATAAATATTATTTTCACAAAATTTTTTAATTTCTAAAGAATAAATATTTAAAATCTAAACATTTTCAAAAAATTAGAAACGGATTAGATTTTTCCTAATTTTACAATATTTTCTAATACTTGAATTATTTAAAAACATTCAAAAACCTCTAGGGAGCTTTTTTTAAAAATAACTAATTTAGATAATTTTTTTATTTTGGTTTCTTTGCCTAATTTATTTAAGTGATTATTAAATTACTGTAAAGTGAATATTTTCTTAAATTTTTGGTTTTTAATTTTTATTTTGTTAAATTTGTGTTTTGATGCTTATTGTTAGTCTAGATTTCTTTAATTTTTTGTAAACAAAAAAATTAAAATCCAGACAAAAAATAAGTATATTAAAATTTAAGACATTATTTTAATAAAATTTTGAGACATTTAAGTAATAAAATTCTCAGACATTTTAAGTAAATTTGCAAAAAAAAAGTTTATTTTTACTTTATTAAAAATTCATTTTATTATTTAAATGTCTAAAAAACTATGGAATTATTTAAATAAACAAAACTTTTTTGGACAAACAATTAAAAATAATAAAAAAATATTTTTTTTATTATTTATTTACTTAATGCTTGTTTTTTTGGCCTATTTAAATGTTTCCAAATTTCTCTTTTTTATCATAAATTTATTAAAATAAAAACTTTCAACTGATAATATCTGGCTTAATATGAAATAATCTTTTAGGATAACTAAAATATTTTTGCAAAAATAAACTATACAAGTAAAATCCAATATATTATGAGATTTAATTAAAATATAAGGGCCCTTGTGTAAGAAAGAATCTCTAATAGTTTTGGGTCTCTAATAGTAACCTTGTATTATCCCGATATTAACTATCCAAAAAACAGATACAATAATTAAAGACTCTTATGTAATTAAATCTTATAATTAAAGGATTTAACTCTCATATAGTTTATTCAAAATTTTAGATAATTTTTGTTAAAGCAACAGAAAAAATTAATTAAAATATAAAATGAACAATTCAATATTCTTTATTTTATCTTTATTTATTTCGGCAATGAATATTTCATTAATTACTGGAGCTTGTAGTGAACCATGTAGTCCAGGTACATGTGCAGGAGGCTGCCCTGGCTAATTAAAAGGTTTTTTTTAGTTTTAATTTTATTTATGTATATGTATGTATGTAATTTTATTTTTCAGTTACTAAACGTGCTACTTTTCAAGAGGAATTAGAAGGATGATAATTTGTTTAGAATTGTTTAGAATTTGTTTAGAATTTTTGTTAAATTGTTTTTTTTCTAATTAAATAAAAGTTAAATTTAAAAAAATTAGCATTTTTTGCAAAATTATTTCAATTGATAATTAAATTATTAAAAAAAAATTTATTTTCAAGTTTCTCGGACTTCTCTTAAGCACAAGTTGATAATTTTGTAAATAGATAATTCTCTAATTAAAATTAATTTTAGCAAAAAATAATTTTAAAAATAAAAAAAAAGTTTAAATTTTAAACAATTTTTTGATTTAAATAAATTATTTAAAATATAATTTTATATTTTATTATCCCACTCAATCAAAATCAAGACGAGAAGCTATCCATCCTGGAATACAACGGCCCCTAACACAACTTTCTCCTGATCGACAACGACAGCCTTCTTGAACGCAAACTCTTTCATTATTACTACATATCCACCCAATTTTGCATTCATCTATTATTTGACAACTTTTAAGGCATTTCATGTTTCTGGTACAATTCCAATCTTTAAAATATTTTCTTTTGATTTTTTACCAAAATTTTTAAGAATTAGGTTTGCGAGAACAAATAGTTTGGGAACCCTCTGAGAAACACGTGAGACTCTTGTTTAACTCTTCGAGAGACAAATATTCCCGCAAAACTTTATAAAAAATACTTGTAGGGCATTGATCTGAGGAATAACATATTTCTGGTACACAAACATCCATTGTACATATACGACCTTTAAAAATTATATTATAAAATAAATTTAGGTAAAAGTCAAAAGCACCTCTTCGACATTGGTTGTTTGAAGAACAACTTCTAGGTAAATATGCGCTGTCCAAAATACGTTCGATCAAAATTGTCAAGAAAAAGAAAATAAGTAACTAAAAATACATAATTATAAAGAGATTAGGTAGTAGCAACTAGGGTTAGACAGACTTGGTTTAAAACCGGAATTTTTGAGATTTTTTGCAAAATATTAACCTTTTTATGCAATTTTAAAAACCGAAAACCGGAAATTTATGAAACGGGTGATTTTTTACAAATTTACCCAAAATGAAACCAGTATTTAACCAAAACTCAAAACCGATTACCGGATTTTTGAAATCTGATTAACTGAAACCGGGAGTACCAGTTAATAACGGTTGTCTATTAGTAACTATTATTAAACAAACATTATATCTTTCAACAATTATTTTAATTATTGGATTTTTAATTATAATAGATTATCACATTTAGCGTACACTGCGGTGCAAAAGTAAATGCACACTTACTTTACTTTTGCTTAGAAGTCTAATTTCTTTAGGTTAGAAGTCTAATTTCTTTTTTAGATGATAGACTAGATATGCTCTTTCTAATGAATACAAATTTTTAACGGAAGCCTTAAAAATTTGACAATTTTTTTCAAATTTAAAAAATTTTATTCATTAGAAAGAGCATATCTAGTCTATCATGTAAAAAAGAAATTAGACTTCTAACCTAAAGACTTCCAAAGTTATACTGTATGCAAAAAATATTATCAAGTGTGCATAAACCTTTGCACCGCAGTGTAATTTTTTAAAATAAAAAACTAATTTTATCAAAAGCCATTTAACCTTTAATAAATAAATATTCAACTACATTTTATTGCCTATCTAATTAATATTTTACTTACAAAGAAAAACTTTAAAAAACGAATTAAAAATACTATTAACCCCAATTAATTACCTTTGAAATATATTTATTTAATACATCCATAATTTTACAACAAAATATAACGAAATATAATTATTTTAAAAATAGGGCAAATAATTATTTTTTTTAATTATTCTTAGGACAAAAAAATATATAAATAGAACAAAAAATAATTTTTTTCACAGAGTAGTAAATAACTGGAATAATCTTCCAAATGAGTCATTTAAATTAACTGATCCGAAAAAATTTAGAAGTTTTATTAAACAGTATTTTAATGATAAAGTAAAATACTAAAGACATAAAACCCTAGCGTGTGTGTTTTTTAGAGTGTTTTTTTACTATTTTCTTATACATATTTTTTTAATTTTTTTTTAAATTTATTCATGTTTTTGTTTGCTGTTTTTTCACATATTTTTTCAATTTGTATATTTTTTTATGCACCACTTTAATGTATTTTAAAATACCTGTGGTTTGCTGATAAATAAATAAATAAATAAATAAAATAATGTCTTTAAATATTCTTTAAATGTTAAAACTTTTTTGAATTAGTCATTTCCCTTCGCATAATTATTTATATTATTTATGTATTATTTATGTTGTATGCTTTACATGGGAATAAACATTATGGTTATTTCTAAAAATTATTTTTCAAAATATACTTGTTTTTATAAGTTTTGATGTACATAATAACGAATATTCTAAAATTAGGCAGATCTTATTTTTTAATTTTACTTAGTCTTCAATCTCTTTCATACCTACACTTTAACTCTATAATCTACTTAAAATTGAAGTTTAGCACCAAATTTTCGGATTTTTGGTCCAAATTTTCGGACCAAATTTTCGGTTTAGCACCAAATTTTCGGACAAAATTTCGGATTCATAATCCTAAATTCATAAAAATATTTTGTAATCAAAACTATTATCATATAAATTTATTTTTGTAAATAACATGTAACAAATAAAATTTTTAGATTACAGTATATAGGTACGTACAAATAAATTTCTATACAAAAATTATTTCTTAGTTGCAGGGGGTTGTGTTTTTTTCGGAGGAGGAGTCGGGGGAGGAGTGGACATAACATAACGAGATGAGGTAGCATAAGATGATGAAGTAGGCTTAGAAGCAGGAACAGCAGCAGAAGAGGTATAGCGAGATGAAGCTAACAATTTCACTGGTGCGGTGGGTTTTACATGAAATGAGGGTTTAGCACCAGCATTGGAAGATGGTATTGGGGTTGGTGGTTTATTAGCTGTAGTAGAAGGTACATATGTAGTAGAAGGTGGTTTATTAGCCGCAGTAGAAGGTACATAGCGAGATGATACTGGCATGGACGTTGCTATTGATGTCGGTTTTTTGATTGGTGATGATGGCTGTGGAGTATCAATCGGCCAAAATTGAGAAAATGAACAGCCCAACATTACATCCACGTGCATAGCAGCGCCAGCATTATTAAACTAAAATTATTAAAAATAAAATTGAAATTTCAATGATTTCTTGCCTCTCCACAATAGTTTGGTGCAGAGAACACAGTAACCAATTTTTGAGTTGGATGTATTTCGTATCCGTCTTGTACAACTTGGTGAGCCCTTACAATTACGTCCACATCAAGTTTGCGACAAGCATCTGACAGTATATCATCTCCAAATAAATAGCTGCACCCTCTGAAATGAGAACAGAAAATATTTTTGATGCTGAAAATATTTTTTTACCTCGGACTAGACTTCCATCCTTTTGTTCCAGGCTCAGGATCAGACCTAAATTTCAAACCAATTTTATGTCAATTTATTTCAGATTTTACCAAAGCAAATCCATTGCTATATTGACGCCTTGAGGATCTTGCCATCCGCGTTTAATAAGTCGTAGTTGATCTCTTTCAGTCAGTGCTGGCGACAGGCCTCCGTGCATACAGAGAATCCGATCTATAATATTTTTGATAAGCATCGTTATTAGAAAATATTTTCACCTCCTATTAGAGCACTACACGGCATTTGAGCAAACGCATCATTGAACATCCAAAACAGGCCGATGTTATCTCTTTGGCCATATCTCTGTTCAAGCTCTGACTTGAATCCATAGATGGCGTTGACCGGACTTGTTTCGTGATTTCCGCGAACAAGGTAGAAACAAGCTGGATACTTGACTTTGTAGCACAGCAACAATACAATTGTTTCCAAATTTTGTGGCCCTCGATCTACATAATCTAAAATTGAAAAGAAATTATTTTTAGTAGCCTGAAGGCATTTTAGAATTTTAGTTTTTACCTCCAAGGAAGATATATCTAGTTGTGGGCGGCTGTCCAAGTTGGCTGAATATGCGACGTAAGTCATTGAACTGAGCATGTATATCGCCACATATAACAAGTGGTGGAACGAGTTCTAGAAGCACAGGTTGCGCTTGAAATACTGCCTTCGCCTTTCGGGTCAGTTCTGCAAGAATAGATGGCTCTACCTAAAAATTAAATAATTTCGTTATAAATACTAAAAAGTAATATGGAAACTCACGCTTTTTGCAACGTCAAACGACTGGCCGTTGAGTTGAGTTAGTAGCTTGTCCACGTCCATCTGTGCAAGACGAAACCAGTTGTGCATGAATACAGAAGGCTTTGGAAGCTGCTTTTATAATCATAAATTTAAATTGAGATTATAAAAGCCTGAAAATAGTCTTCGACTATCGAGTTTAAATGGATAAAAAGGTGTGAAACGGAATACAAATATGCCGGAGACGGAAGTTTATTTAAAATTTTGATTTATGTATTTGTTAATAAATTTAATATTTTATCTCTAAATTAGTTTGTGTTTATTTAAATTTAATTAAGTTTAAATGTATATATTTTTTAATTAATTAGATATTTTTTTCAATTATTATTCAACTTCTCATTCATTTCACGCAACACAAATAAAATCTCCTTTCTAAATATTTTTAAATTAAATATCTAAATTTATAATTAAAAACAAACAGCAAGTTTTTTGCATTTTTCGGCATTCCAATGATTTATTGTGTACAATTGTTCTATTGATATTCCATATTTTTTGGCAGTTCCTTCACAGCTATCTCCAGCCAAAAAATAATAAAAATTATTTTTAAAGTATTTAAATGAAATAAACTTTAATTTTATGCATTTTTGTACAAAGCCTTGATGTTATAATTGGTTGTTTTTCTGGCGAGGCATTAATTAAGGAAGTGGACAATAATAATATAATTAAATTAAAATATATTAGAATTATTTTAGACATTTCTTAGAAAATTTATATTTTAAATTTATTTTAGTTATATTGAGAAAAATAATAGTTTTGCGAGATCCCGGTTGTGTGAATAATTAAAAAAATCGGTAACTATTGTTGCAAGATCAGTCACGTAAAATTCTGCATTTATGTTTAAATTTCAAATATAGTATTCGGAGTTATTAAAAAAATCCCTTTGATTAATCCAGTGTGCAATCCCCCGTCCCGAGTCATAGGATGAAATATACATTATAAAATTAATATTTATATTTTTGAGCTTACAATATTATTTTTAGCCTTAAGAGGCCTCTAGATAACCCAGCTGAAACAATAAACAATTTTTTGTAAAAATTAATAATAAATGTTTAATATGTTTTTGAATTCATAAAGTCAAATAAAACAAAAACATCCATTTTCTATTTGGAGTTATTAAACCTGTTATTAAAATAACTCTCGGTTATTTTAATAAAATTAGTAAATAAAGAAATAATTTTGTAAAAACCCCCTTTAAAATTAACTAAATTAATTTTATAAAAATATTTTTTAAAAATAAAATATTTAAAAAGCTTTTTTTACAATTTTATTTTTAGATATGAATATAATCAAATAAAATATTTGTATATCAAGCAACTAATTTGTAAGAAATTAGGGACGGGAATTAGTAATTTAGCAACCCATAAATTTAAAATAATATATTTAATTTAATCATGAAATTTTTTAAAAATAGAGAGCGATCACTTGAATATTTAAAAAACACAAGTGCCAATTTAGAAACTTTCTTTATCATCCGAACCGAAATAACCAAAAAACAATTTTTAATATACACGGCTCACACAATGAGATCCGTGTCAAATGTTACGCATCTTTTCAGCATGAATGCACGGTATAAAACACTTGACACGGACCCATTGTAGGAGAAACATACTGCCATGAAAACAAAAAATGATACAAACTTTTTGCTTAAAAATTACTAAATCTGAACTCGAATATCTTCAAAGGTCGCTCTCCATTTTTTTAGATCCAAAAAAATTTCCAAAATAAAATCCCCTAAACAATGTATGTTGATTTTTTCCGAATTTATAGCAAAAATTCAAAATTCATTACTATAGCCAAGCTCCTCATTTTCAAATTCTTCTCATAAATTTTTAATTAAGGACTCTTCTTACATTGTAATGTTCTTTGGTATTTTAACTTCGCCTGTTATTGGATTTCTTTCTAGAAATATTTAATTATTAAATAATAATTTTTTATATAATTTACCTATTATTGGAACACATTTCTTTGGAGTTCTTGAAGGTGAACTAGGAGCTGAAGTATCAAAAATTGTTGACCGATGTTTCTCGATTACCTATTAATACATTTCTTTTATCAAAAAATAATTTATTAATTCAATTTTTAAATATTATAAATATAATTTTTTAAAAAATTCAAGAAATATTTTTTACAATTAAGGACCTTCTTTTTTGGAGTTTCAGGCAATGGCGAGCCGAATAAGCGTTCCTGTGTGTTCAATTTTGGGGCACAACGTTTCTGAAATAATATTTAAAGGTTAAATATCACCACGGGAATAAATAAAATAAGTAAGATAAATCCCCAAAAAATTGGATTCCTTTGTTTAGTATACGAAAATAATGAAAATTTTTTTAGATTTTAATTACTTATTAATTAAACTAACTCCTAAATTAAAAGTCTATAAAAATATAAAATTATTATTTCTCTAATATTTTTAAAAAACAATTTATTTAATTCTCCATTTAATTCACATTTTTAATTAACTAAGAACAATTTTATATCATTCCCTAATTTATCCAAAGGTCCGAAACCTTTTCTCTTAAAATTACCATTTATAAAATTCCACAACATTTTCATTTTTTTTTGTTAGAGGGGGAGAGAAAAGAGAGGTTTTCTTGCTCATCCTTTAATTAAATGAGTCAGTCAATCTCCCAATTTTTATATAAAATTCGGTTTTTAGGCCGGCACAGGCTTGCAAAAAATTGGGAAAAAGCTTAAATAAAAGGAATTCTTTTATGGTTTATATTTTAATTTTCTTTCATTCCTTAGAAAATAATTTAAATTTTCATTGGGTTAATTCACTAGAATATACATACATAAAAAATATGGAAATTAAAATATTACTATAAAGAAAAGATAATTTAATAATTAAAATATTCTGTAATGATACTTAAAACATTTAAATTTTGGAGAAATGTCAGTTTTGTAATTTAAGTCAGAAATTATCAATGTTTAAGTTAACCTTTTACGAAAGAAAAGGAGATGAATGCTTATATAATATAATTAGCCTCAAAAATTAATTAGTAGGACAAAACAAAATAATACAAATTTGTATGGAATTTTTAATTAAAATTTTAGTATCCACATTAAAGTAAACACTCATGCTTATAAACTATGCATATAAAAATTTAAGTATTGCTTTAAAGTAAAATGAAATAAAGATACACTAAATTATACTTAATTAAACACCTTTTTAGGTCCCAACCAAGGCGGTGATTGTGATCTTGAACGTTGATAATATAATATTAATCCTTCATATTCCCCTTTCCCATTTTGTTTGGCAATTCCATTTTGAATTGTCGAATTTCCTCCATTTTCCTCTATTGATACAAGTTTCTGATTTTCAATCATTTTATTTTTAAATATTTCTTGTTTCTCTTCTGATGCTTTTTCTTCTAACATTGAAGACTCCTTTGTCAAATAATTTGAAATTGGCTGGCAATTTGAGTTGTTTTTGGAAGAAAAAGGAGTAGAATAGACCGAAGAAGAAGAAACAGAAGAAATTGAAAGAGAAGGAGATGAAGAAGATGAATAAGTGGTGGGCAAAACTCGGTTGGATATTTTACTACTATAAAAGCCAATACTACTAGTTGTTGTTGAGGAATTCTTTTTTAGCTGCTCTTTTTGTTGTTTTTGTCCCTTGGGGTGGGCCTTTTCAATCGTCCCTTTTTCTTTACTCTTTTCATCAGGGCGGTCCCAGCTGGCCATTTCCGCCTGGCTAGAGCCCCCAAATCGATGTTGACGACGGCATGCATCGATGCCTGGTTTGACAGAGGTAATTTGCCGAAAAGCTACCAAAGACTTGGAAGGCAATGACTGCTCAACCAAATGCGCGTTTTTGCCGTTCTCTTTAATAATTTGCCTTTTATTTGTGGCAGCCGCCATTTTTGTATAGTTTTGTGTTTATTTTTGTTTGGAACGAATAATTTACTTAGGTAGTTTTTATCTAAATTTGTTTTTTAAAAAAACTTTTGGATGAATGATTTAAACTCGACCAATTATTTGGAACGTGGTCTCAAAAAAATTATGGAAATTAAATAAACGTTGTCAGTAAATGATTATTATCCACTAAAATAGAATCTTTTGAAAATTAAAGGGAATTATAAGGAAAACTTGGTTGTTCCGATAAAAAGTAGTTCTAAAAATGGAAAGTAAAGATATATTTAATAAATAAAAGATTTATCTTTAAAATCCAAAATTATAAATTTTTGGGTTTGAGACAAGTTTTAAATCCTTTAATGAGATCCTCTAACTAAATTTAATTTAAAATTGATTTAAATATTCAATTTAATGTCTTAAATAAAATAAAAATATAAATGATTATATGAAAATAAAACTGATAATAATTTTTATAAATTGACAGTCAAATGCTAGGGAGATCAACAATTTCTCTCATTACTTCTCTCACCATAATATAGAATTGCTTCTTTTTACAAAAACAAAAATTAATTAAAGTTCAATGGAAATATTCAAGAAAAAAAGTAAAAATAATAAATCATTCTCTCTCTCCCATACCTCCTTTTAATAAAAAATTCATTTACGCAAAGTTTTTGTAAAAGCTCTCCCTGTTATTTTTTGTCAAGAAAATCGAACTCTATTAACGTAATGTTTGTAATAATGTTTGTAATGATTGAAAATCACATTATTAAACAGGAAACTGAAACGATTTAATATATTATGTAATGTATGAATTAAGTAAAAATATTATTAGGGACAAAAAATAGATATGACAAAGAATAAGCAGAAAAGAAACTTAAGTAGATAACAAATAAGTATAATGATTGCATATTAACATTGATATCCCAGTATACTAGAAAAATATTATAGAAAGTCTAAACTGCCTTCATAAATCGTGAAATACTTTATTAATTACCATTTAAAAATTCAGATTAAATTTTAATATACAGATGCCGTAACCAAAAGGAAAGCGTGAATTTAATATATAAAACTTAGGGTATATCTGGGATTAAATATCGCTTTTATAACTGTCAAAGAAAAGATAATTTTCAGGAGAAATTGCTTTTAAACGAAGTTTATTATCCCGTCCACATTAAATTTTTATCAGTGATAAATGTTAGAAACTTATCGCCAGACCAACCGGTTTATCTTAATTTCAATAGATTACACTCTTTAATAACAGTAATAAATCAGAGGGAATAAACTGTTAGCTAATTTGTAATAGCAAACTCACAGGAGAATTAATAGCTACAACACCATTAACAGAAGTAGTTCCATTAGTTGTTGGAGTCTTTACTTGTGCATTTGTATCTTTAGCTATTCCATTTAATTTGCCATTTTCATTAATTTGCCCATTTGAAATTCCGTTTATTTTTACAGGCTTTTGTTCGTTATTTTCGATGGTTGACATTTTCTTTTTTATTTTAACTTTTTGATTTGTTGACTAGAAATAAGTAGACGTGAGTTGGATGAATGAGTGAGTGCACAATCCGTTACAAGAAATGCCAAAGTAAATGAGTAAAAAGTCAAATGTTTAAACAAGCAAATGACCCGAAGACGGAAGGTGGAAGAGGGTCGAGATGAAATATGGGTGGGCGGGTATGTATATTTTAGGGAGAGGGAAAATATGGGAGAATTAGAGGAGTCGGCTGGCAGCATTATCTAAATAATTCAATGCTTAAAGGAGGGACACGCCTATATCTACTTGCGCCATCTTTGAAAAGGGTTCAAGCCGGTTGGTTTATTTATTAGTTTGATGAGGGCAGTAGATATTTTAAATAACACAGATGTTAATTGTACATAAAAAATATTTTTATAAATATTTTGACAAATAAAGTATTCGAAATTGTAGAAAATTTTTAATTCATGACTCGTTGTACACATAGTAATTGAAAAGTAACGAGATGCGGGATATTTTTCATAATTGGACCGCTCGGTTTGTCCATTTTATAAAAAGTTACAAGATTATACATTCTAATCGGTCAGAAATCACGAGGATTATGGGGTACTACTCTGAATCATCTTTGCTCTGATTTGCTACTCAGGTGCCGTGTGATTTGGGCAGTGGTGAATTGGGCAGTGAGTAATTGGGCAGTGAGTGATTTGGGCAGTAAACGTTTTTTAAAAAATAATTTTACACGCAAAAACAATTTGAGTAACGTTAGACTTATAATTTTTAAATTATTTAAAATTGATAAGAAAAATTCCGGAAATTTTTATTAAACTTAAAGTAAATCCAAAATTTGAACATATTTTTCCATAACTATTTTGACCTTTTTCAGATATTTTTGACCTATTTTGAAAAATAAAATCTTAAAATATATACTTATTTAACACTTCTTCGCATCTTAAATTTACTTATCAATTAGGGAAACGTCAAAATTGAGACCAAGACGATTTCAACAAAGGGTAATGTTGTACCTACAACGTTATCAAAATGAAAAAGGGGTGCGGTTCTTTGTATTTTTGTGTAAATAATTTAAAAATTATAAGTTACTGCCCAAATCACTCAAAATTATTCTTCTAACGTTACTCAAATTGTTTTTGCGTGTAAAATTATTTTTTAAAAAACGTTTACTGCCCAAATCACTCACTGCCCAAATTACTCACTGCCCAATTCACCACTGCCGTTTTCACCAGACACGGCTACTCAGACCAATAAAGCAACTTTAAATAATTAAAACTTTGCGAAATTAAAATTGGCGAAATGTAATAATTTCTTTTAAATGTCAAACGTCAAAATGGATTAGACGTTTTGCCCATCCTAAAATTGATGATAAAATAAATTTTTTTATTATTTTAAAGAAACTTTAGATATTTAATTTTGAATAAAAAAAATTTTTTATTTAAGATTGTTAAAGAATTTTGCTAAAAATATTTTATTCGCTTTATTTAGAGCTAATTTTGCATAAATTATAATGGATACAACCGATTCAAAGGATAAAATTTCCAAGCAAGAGGAAAAGGAAGTTAAAGGTTTTTATTTAATTTGTGTAGATTTTAAATTATTTTTATTTAGCTTTGGGAGAGGAGGAAATAGCCGCCTTAAAAAGTTACAATTTGGGGCCGTATTCCGATAAATTGAGGCAAGTCGATACTGACATTCAAGAGGCGTTAAAGAATATCAATACACTTTGTGGTGTGAAGGAGAGCGATACAGGCCTTGCGCCTCCTGCTTTGTGGGATCTTGTTGCCGATAAACATGCTATTGCTCATGAGCAGCCTCTTCAGGTTTTTTTGTTTTGTTCTTTGGTAGACCTAGTTCCTTTCCTTAAAATTTAAGGAAAGTTTGGGGGTTAAAGCTAAAATTAGGTTAATTTTAATAAATAATTTAAGGTTGCTAGATGTACAAAAATAATCAAAACTGAAGGCCAAGATCCGCGTTATATGATTAATGTCAAACAATTTGCTAAATTTGTTGTGGATTTGGCCACACAAGTTGCACCCACCGACATTGAAGAAGGAATGCGTGTTGGGGTTGATCGGAATAAATATCAGGTTATTCTTTCTTATTAACTTCATTTATTTTTCTTTTCCAGATCCATATCCCTTTACCGGCAAAAATTGATCCGTCTGTGACAATGATGACAGTTGAGGAGAAACCGGACGTGACATATGCTGATGTTGGTGGCTGTAAAGAACAAATAGAAAAGCTGCGAGAAGTAGTCGAAATGCCTCTCCTTCATGTAATTTTTCTTTAAATTATTTCCTTGTTTCTTTGATTTAATACTGCCCTTTTACTCCTAGCATAAGATTTCTAGAAACAGTATTATACTAGAAATTTAATTTGCACCTCCTTCGCCTCGAAAATTTCTTAATTAACTTCTTAATTTATATATTTTAGCCTGAACGTTTTGTGAATATTGGTATTGAACCTCCTAAAGGTGTACTCTTTTATGGTCCTCCTGGGACAGGAAAGACGCTTTGTGCCCGTGCTGTCGGTAATTAAATGGTAATTTTTTAATAATTTTTGCATATTTAACTAGCAAATCGAACTGATGCTTGTTTTATTCGTGTAATTGGTTCTGAATTGGTGCAAAAATATGTTGGTGAAGGAGCGAGGATGGTTCGTGAATTATTCGAGATGGCAAAGACAAAGAAGGCTTGTATTATTTTCTTTGATGAAGTTGATGCTATTGGTGGAGCTCGTTTTGATGATGGAATGGGGGGAGATAATGAAGTTCAACGGACAATGCTCGAATTGATCAATCAGCTGGATGGATTTGACTCGCGCGGTGCAATCAAAGTGAGTAGATATATTTCTTAAGTAAGAAATCGCTTTTCTTCTCACGCGTCTTTTAAATCTTTTTTTTTCTACTTTGATAACATTTAACATTTTTAGGTTTTAATGGCCACAAATCGTCCTGATACTTTGGATCCTGCACTTGTACGGCCAGGACGTATTGATCGTCGTATCGAATTCGCCGTGGTTTGAATAACTTTTTTTTAATTTTTATTCAAGTAAATTTTAAAGCCTGATTTGGAAGCACGTGCAAACATTCTAAAGATTCATACAAAGCGGATGAGTGTCGATCGGAATATTCGTTATGAATTGATATCGCGTCTTTGCCCGAATACAACAGGTAAATTATTTTGGGAAACGTTTTTTGAAATCTCCCTTTTTTCGGTCTAATTTTGAAACTTAGTTTTAGTAAAAATAAATTTTTTATTTTATAAGATTAATTCAACTTTTAATTACCGTTTACTCTAACAAGAAATTGCAAAATTATAAAACATGAATTTTATTTAGGAGCTGATATTCGCTCTGTCTGTACTGAAGCCGGAATGTTTGCATTGCGTGCTCGTCGTAAAGCAATAACCGAAAAGGATTTTATTGACGCTGTTCAGAAAGTGGTGAGTAATTTTTTCTATTTAAATTAATTAAAAATTAGAGGGCGTTTAATTTGGCAAATGGTAAACTCCAAATTTTAAATTTTTATGGGAAAATTGTTTTTTTATTTTTTATTAGTTGTCATCTCTTTTTTGGTAAATACCCGAAAATATTTGAATATTTAATGTGTGATTGATTCATTTTCTGGACCAATTGCTGTCTCTATTCCGTAGTTTTTCTAATTTTGGGGGAAATGTGTTTACTTGTTTTTCTTTTAAATCTTTCCCATCGTTCTTAATTCTGAGAAATTTTTTTTATATTTTTAACTTTTCAGGTGAAAGGATATGCAAAGTTTAGTTCAACTCCAAGTTATATGACACATAATTAAAAACAATTTCTTTGTATTTGTGCTTTTAATAAATGTTTTTTAAAATATTCTTTGAATTTGTTTGTTTGATTATTGGGTCTATAAATTAATTTAAAATATATTTCTTTGAATGTTTGAGTTAAAAATTGATTTAATTTTAAATTGTAGGCACGCGTGAAAATAGTGTGGATATAATGAGGGAAAAGAGAAAAAGGGTTTGCATGGAATGTCAGTTATGTGTTTGTTTTATAAACTGCTTTCTTTGTGTTATAAATATATAAATTCTCAATAAACGTCTGAACATATTTCATTATTCTTTTTCAAAGTACTCACGTATATTTTTTAATATTATTTAATTATGGAAGATGAACATCTTATGCAAAAAGTGGAAAGATGGGCAAAAATGCTTGAAAAAGAAGATAAGGTTACAGAGGGGTTTTAAGGCTTTTTAATTGCTTTTTTTCCAAATTATTGGATATCCTTGGCTGAGTTCCTTACAAGCTCTATCTATTTTAAAGACAATAATATTTATAGATTGGACATGCACTTAGACGATTAGAAAATGTGGCTATTACACTTCATATTCTCAGTGCCACAGGTTTTGTTTATTAGGATTTTTTTAAGAAAATTTAATTCAAAAATTTCAGGCGTTGGAAAAACAGTGAATTCTTTACGTAAACATCCTTTATGGGGCGATCGTGTTTCCTCTTTAGTTTCTCGATGGAAAGAAATTGCACGAGCCGAAACGGCTGCAGCTGAGGAAAAGAAAGAAGATGAAGAAAGGCAAAATGAGGAATGTAATATTTCTGATTTTATTCAAATCAAGCACTCAAAAAGTTTGATTAAAAGAGGTAAAGTTTGAAAAAAGAAATTTGGAAAATATTAAATTTAAATTTTAGAAACTAATGGATATGTTAATGATGAAGAATTAAATGTGTCCGATAGTGAATACATTCCTACTCCAATTGTGCCAAAAGTTTGTCTAATTTACTGGGAAATTATTATAAAAATTTTTTAGAAAAAAACTAAATCAACTATAACTCAAATTGAGCAAAAATCAAATAAAGGTAAATTATTTGTGTAATTTTAATTTTTTGGTTTCATTTTGTGAAAAGTATTTCTTCATTCTACTATCCTTTTTAAAAGGATTTTCTGCTTATAATTATTCTATGTTTCTTGATTCATTAATTAAATTTTAGGCAATTCTAATAGTGATAATCAACAAATTGATGCTTTTTCTGCCCAGTTAGCAGCTGCTGATCAAATTTCTAATAATGTCAAAACAAAGAAAAAACTTCAGAAATTTACACCTGAAAGTATTCAAAACTCAATTAGAGATTCTTTGGCTAGTTCAATATTTACACAAGCAGGTTTGAATTTTTTATATTTACTCGAGCAATGACTAAGTTAAACAAAAGAGTGATTTTTCCGGAAAGTTATTAAATTTATATCTTATTTCAATTTTCTTCATTTTTATCAATTTTTTTTATTTTAGCACCACAGCAAAAACAGCCACAACCACTTTTTTTCGAAGCCCCACCTTCATTAGATATCAATATGTTTAAAAAACCCAAGGATAATCGAAGAGTTTATGCAGGAAGGAAGAAGAATGGATTACATTTAGAGCAACAGGTGCCAAAACTTTATGATATTTGTATTCGTTTGTTAATAAATAATATTGAAGGTTTGTTTTTTATTTTAATATACTATTTAATTTAAAATTATTCTATAAAATAATCGACATTATTTTCCCCTGAACTAGTTGTGGTTTTTTAAATTTAGTTCACCGTTGATTGTGAGTTTTGACGGTGAACGGGAAGATTTTTCAAAAGTGGGTCATTTTTGAAAATATATAGTGCCCCATATTTAAGGACACGTTAACGCCTCCTTTTAATTATACGTAAGAACACATTAATAAAAATACAATTTTTTCAGTCTATCTGATCGTGAGATTGTTTTTTTAACTGAAAATTGTTCAAAAATTCTTATTCAAAGATTTTATTTTTTCTAATTTAAAAATTTTAGCAATTGAAGAAACTGGAGATATTCCTTTTCATGTTTTACAACCAATACTTGAAAAAGCTAATGCTATGCAATTATTACGTTTAGAAGAAATAAATCCTGTAAATATTTACAAAAAATTTTATTTAATGTTTTTAAGTATTTACAAGAAGATACTGATTATATTTGGAGAACTCATTGTGAAAAAGAATTCTCAAAAGAATTAAATGATATTTTACTTGAAGTAAGTGATGATGAGGAAGAAGATGATGATGAAGAGAAGAAAGAAGACGACGAAGATAATAGTAATGATGGAGAGGAAAAACAAAAACAACAAAAATATATTTATCACGATGATTGTTCAAGTTGGCGAGAGAGATATTATGTTGGTTGAAATTAAGAGAATATTTATAGGAAGGGACTTATAAAATTGACATTTGTATTTCAAAATCATTAAGAAATATTATTTTTTTTTAATTATTCGTGTACAAGCTAGATTATTAATGTTCAGAATGTGGGTTTTTGAATTTTAAAGTAACTAAATAGGGAAAATACAAATGACAATCTTTGAAAAAAGATTAGATTGTTGGTCCGATAAACTACCGAAAAAAATTATAAATAATTTTTAAAAAATTTAGAAATTCTTCCGAGAGCGAGAACATAAATTAAAACATCTCAGCAAAAAGATAAGGACAAAGACGACTGAATTGGCTGAACCGCAACGAAAAGCATTAGTAAGTTAAATGACACGTTTTGTTTAAATTATATCTAAAAGGGCACCGGATTCTTCGGGGATCATGAACAATTAAATTGGACTTTATCACCAAAAAATTTATTCGGATTCTTTTCGGTGTTAACATTTAATTTATATAACGAACTTTATTTTACATACATAATTACTATATACTATTATTTATACATTTTACTTATTTTGCAAAAAATTATCTACTTAAATTAAATTATGTTAATAGGTTACTGCGCCAATTGCACCTAGACACGTCCGAAAAAGACAGATACGAAGTGGAATTGTTATTTGTGCAGATTCAGTTCCTTCTGCAGTCGATTTAACTAGAGCAAGAAGACAAATATTTGAAACTGGTTGAAAAATGGAGTATTATAAATTGTTTTTAATTTTTTTATTTTTAGGAAATGATGCCGATCTTCGACAAATGCCTTCAGCAATACGTAATACAACATCACAATTAGGTGCACGTTCAAGCGGTTCTGACATTTCTTCAGCTATGTCTGCTGCTAAAAGAAAACCTCAACGGGGTCCTTTAATGATGAAAACTTTAAAAATGCTCAAAAAACAACGTCGTTAATTGCAACAATTATTTTTCTAAATTACAACAAAAATATTAATGAATAGCCATATTGCAAAAAAATTCTGAAAGATTTGCCCAATTTCCTTGCAAAAAAAGGAAAAGGAAATATGTGATTATTTAAAAAATAATTAATTTTCTAAAGTCTATTAGTATTTTTTTCTAAATTAAATTTCATTTTTTTCCTTTTCCACTAAATAATCTAAATTTATTTTTGTTTATTTAGAACATCTTTTTTTAATTTCCACTAATTCATAGGACTGATACGTTTTGGTACATTTTAATTTTCTTTAATTTTTGAGGAAAAAATCTTTTCGATTGGAATATTTTTAATTGTATTTTTTAACGTTATCAGGCCTTATTAGTCTCTCTCTTGTCCACTACATAATTTATGTGTAGGTAATTTAAATAATTGAGCCTATAACTAAAACATTTTATATAAAAATTATTTTTAAATTTTAAAATATTTTTTAAGTAAATCTAAAAGTATTCGTTCTTTTATGTTTTTGGGGTATTTTATAGAAAACATTTCTAGAATATAGAATATATTTAAAAATATAAGGACCTCCTTAATTTCACTTTTTCCCTACAGCGTTAAATGATGTATTGTTGTTACACCATCACATGCCCCATATGTTCTTATCCCATGAAGAATCAGGCATAAAATCGTTGTGATGTAATCCTTTTTAAATCTATTTCCTTCGTTGAGTGAAATTAAGAAAGGTCTGCCCATTTCTGATCTATTTTTAAAGATAGGCGAAAGGAAAAGATTATTCGTTTTCTATGCCCAATAAACTCATAATCGTTAACTACTTTGACTCTGAATTTCCACAAAATTTAAAAGTCTCCACAGATTTTAAGTTAGGTATCTATGGTATTTTAAAAATGTTTATATTTAATTACATGTAAATATTTTTGTTTAAAGGCTCAATAAATTTAATTCTCATACGTGTTATTCTTTCTAAATGCTTATTTTCTATTATATTGAAAGTTTGTGGTTATTTTAACTTATCTGGTACATATTAAAAATGATATTAATTTCTTTTAAATATAAAAATATTTTTTTAGTGTATAAAATGTTTTTGGGCAAAGTTTTTAAGCTAAAAATTAATATTTAAATTTTACAATTATGAGGGAATATTTAAAAATTTGGTTGTTTTCGTAAATGAAAGAAGGATTATCTTATTTTATTATCCTTTTTGTTTTATTTATTACACTTAATATTTATTATGGAAATCCTTCATCAATTAACTCCTCTAAAGATAACGTCAATAGTTGCATGTTTCTGGGGCTTTTACGGGGGAATGGTGAATATTGGTTACATCAAAACTTTTTTAATGTAACTTGTATTAATGGACAAATAAAGGCAGGGAAATTTAAAGGAATTTTTTTTCGCCTTATTTTTTGATAAATAGTATACTGAAAGTTTACGGTCCAACTAAAATTTATTATGGAATATTAAACTGAAAGGATCTAAGATCAGTAAAGTATCATTAATTTTTGACTATAATTTTTGTAAATTCAATTCTCTGAATTAATTAAAACTCCAAACTCTTTTAATTATTAAAGTCAAATAGCTCATTAAGGTTGTAAATTGTGTGAGCGCGCGTGGCACTCATATTCCTCTAGACACTTACAATTATTTTGAAGATGGTGTTGACTACAGTTGCAGACTGCATTTTAATGAAGATTTAGAGATTGAAGGTTTATCTGGAAATATTTTAAAAAATGAGAAGAAGAATACCTTTAAGTAAACAATACTTTACCCGTTCCTGAATGTGATTATTTACCAGGAACTGGGAGATCAGAATTTGTTAGAGGAATGTTTGTTGCTTCTTGTCTAAATGATGAAATTATTGGGTGTTTAGATATTTATGGGGATTTAGTTCGTTCTGGACATTTATTTGTTTATACACAAGGCCAGCTTAGAAGATGTATTATTTATGGACGTGGGCGATGGGCAAAAACTGAGAGATTGGGTAACAATTATTATTAGTTTTGTATTAAATGATTATAGTACATAATTAAAATATAAGAAAAATAATTTAAATTAAAAGGTTGTTTCAATGGAAGTCGGGAAGTTGATCCTCAAAATAAACTTTATCACGTTCCTTTGGGCCGAAGGTGGATAAATGGTAATTTTGAGCTTCGATGTACTGATAATGGAATTATTGTTTACAAAGTACGTAAGTTTTGTTATAAAAGTTTCTCCATAATACATAAGGATTAGAATAAATATATGTATGTGTAAAAAATTATATAGAAGACTAAGTTTTTCAGTGGATCTACTCTTTAACTCTTAAAAAGTATAAAAATTTTAATGTAGTGTTTGGTTGATGGAAGGCGAATACATGAGGGCACTGCCTGGATAGACAAAGATGGCGTTTTAAATTTTTGCGAATGAAAATACTTGATAATGTTTTGTTTTTATTCCACTTGCTTTAACGTTTATTTTTTAATATTTTGTTTTAACTAAATATACATAAAAATAATAGTTTATAAAATCGAAAATTAATTGCAGTGTTACTTCCATCAATATCCAGGAGCTGTTCTGGGTGGCGGACAATGATCACATCCACCTTGAGATCCATTATCCCCAGCAGGACCTTTATTGCCTGGAGTTCCAGGATTTCCAGGCGGTCCATCCGGTCCTTTATCACCAGGCGGTCCTTGTCCTCCAGACTTTCCAGCATCTCCTGGTATTCCTGGATGACCCTCCAATCCAGGTTGGCCGTCCGCTCCAGGTGGACCAGCAGGTCCTTGCTTAGGCGCTCCTTTAATTTTTAGTATAAATTATTTCCTATTAAACATTGTTATATCCTACCTTCGTTGAGTGAGCCAGGTGTTCCGGGCTCACCAGGTTTGCCAGGTTCTCCAGGATGTCCATCAAGTCCTGGCGGTCCAGGCGGCCCTTTAGGACCTGGTTTTCCTCCTTCACCAGGAGGCCCGTTCTCTCCTGGACTTCCAGGTGGACCTGGTGGTCCTTGAGGGCCTGGGTGGCCATCCTGTGCCGGTTCACATGTTTGACATGGCTCCACTTTAGGTGGTGGCGGGGGAGGTGGAGCTATATAAATTTTATGTTTAAGATTTCTCGAATGAATATTGCCAACCATCTTGTCCAGGATTTCCATTCTTTCCAGCTTCTCCTGGCTGACCATCCGGACCGGGTGGTCCTGGCGGACCTGGAGGTCCCGCTGGAGATTGTCCACAACCACAGCATCCTCCACCTGTTGATGCACTAGATGTTACTGCAGCCGTTTCTCCATAAGATGCGGAGCTGGTTGGGGCAATTGCGGGTTTTGAAGCCGGAGGCTTCTTTACAACTGCCGCTTCTCCTCCATAGGCCGGTGCCGGCTTTTCAACAGGTGCTGATTCACCGCCGCCATATCCAGCTTGACGCGTGTGGCGATGTAATCCACCCAATTCAGCAAGCATTTGAGTACGAGTCACCTAAAAAGCAGTAAATAGAAAATGTTATATTTTGTTGTTTTTCACGACAAACTTCTCGCAAAATATTTCCAGCTCTCAATTTACAAAAATCAAGTTCATCATTCATTTGCGTGCCAAATTGTTGGAAGTGTTGATATGCTAAAGGCACTACCAAAACACATATTAAAGTCGCCACAGTAGAGAGACAAACACCAAAAAATGCAAGTGCTCGTAAAGTTTCAGCTTCACGACGACCTTTCTCTTCTTCCGAATGGATACCCATTTTTGGTTGGATTGTTCTCTTTACTTTTGAATTTTTGCTAGGTTCTTACTGGCTTTTATGTAGCAGCTAATGCTCAAAAAATGCTTATACAAAAACTGGTTGTTGCCTTTCTAATGCCGCCTTGTACACAAAAGTCCCGCTAAGTTAATCAAAAGGTTTTGGTAAGTTAAAATAGAAGGAAGAAAAAGGAATTGTTTTGCTTTATTTAGAAATAAAAGAATGTTTATATATATATCTGATGAATTATTTTGTTATTGCCTGGGGTTGCGCGTAATAAAGCTTAAAAGGCGGATTTTTATGTAAAAAATTGGATTGTTATAGAGAATAAGCAATAGATAAATGGATAATATTTATCATCTTTGTATAGATAAAGTAAAATACATTGAATTCGAGATAATTAGTTTGAATTATTTAAGTATTTTTCTGAAAAGCAGCAAACAATTTTCGATAGAAATAAAATCCCTTTAATTATGTCAAAATAATATGTATATCTATGTAATTTTATTTTAATTTTTAATTTTAAGTATAAAGATTAATTTGGAAAAAAAAATTATAAGATCAAAAATTATAAAATCTCCCTCGATTTATTTATTTTTATCCCTCGAACAAACTACACAACAAATAAATAAATGAATGTATCGCTAAAATTTATTTGACGGATATACATTTATTTTTTATTTATCGACCAACAATCATATAAAAAATAACAAAAGCCGTCAAAAATATTTGTTATTTTTGTTTGTAAATAAATATATTTTTAGTAATTCTTTCTATTCTCATTGTGTTCAATTTATTCTTTATTATGAAAATAGTGAGGAAAACAACTAGTTTGGATTAAAATAAATATTTAAAAAAATTTTTTTGATTTTTTTCAAATTTTAGTATATACATACTACAACTAAAATTAAATATAAATAATTTTATTTCAATTTTAAAATCATTAATCATAATGTAAAAATTTTTTAATTTATCATTTTTGGGGACTAATTTTATTTATTATTTTATTTATTCCATTCAAGTTCCCGTGATATTTATTTAATTTTACTTTAATTTATTAGAGTAACGTCTTAAAAATTGCACTTATTTGAAAGGATGAATTTATAGTAAAAGTGAACGAATAAAATTAAAATTGTTAGGAAATTAAATTTAAAAATCAATTTTATATATTATTTTAATTTATTTGATTTTAAAGTAAATTAAATTTACATGATTAGTTTACTCGATCTTAATAATTTTATTAAAGCTTCAAAACAAACCAGAAAAACAATTTCCAATTTATTTTTATAAATTTGGCTAAATTCTATCTTAAAATTAATTTGGTTCCACTGTTCGTTCATTTTAAATCAAAGGGCAATTCCTAAGAAATGTTTTTTGTTTTTAGATTATTTATAGTCTGTCTAAAATCCAATTAGCTACATTGGTATTTTTCCAAAATATTTTCTTTTAATTTTCCTAAAAATTAAAATTAATTTTTTATTTATTTTGAAGATTCTCTGTCATTTTTTAAATTAAATTACTAATTTCTTAACGTCATTACCAATATTCTCATTCACCATTTAACCTCTTTCCCCTTCTCTATTCGCCAAACAGCCGCGCAAATAAATTTTTATTAAAAAACAGGTTTTTCTTTCAATTTTTCTTTAAATTCATTTGTTTTTTTTTTTTTTTTCTTTATCGAACACAAATAAATAAGTGTGAAACAATAAAATAAAAACTCCTGGATCCACAGGGATCACTTATGGAGAGGTAACGTACAAAAAAAATCAAATACAATATGACGGATTTTTAAATAAATGATAAGTTAGAAAAAAAAATTTAAATAAATAATGGACTCCACAGAAAAAAAAATAAATTAAATGTATGAAATTAAAATGTTATAAAAAAAATATATGTAGGTATATTTAGGTATATGAAAAATATTTGTATTGAAAATAGGTAATTTTATTTAAATGTTAAGTAAATTTGTTTTGATAAGAAAGTGAACATTTGGCTTAGGATTTTATGTTAGTACACTCCATTAATTCATAATCATAAATTATAATCTTCTGTAGTTAATATTTTGTCTAAAAATTTTTTAAATTGCGGTATAGTATTGATTTTTTCAATTTCTTTTTTTGGAAGTTTATTCCATCTATCTATGACTCTATGTGAAAAGAAATGATTATTTTTGGCTTGCTTTTTAAATAGCTGATATTTATGTAAGCGCGGATTAATTCTATTAGGTTTTGAAAATATTTTTTCTGGATTTATTTTATAGAAACCCATGATTATTTTGTAGGTTGTCATAAGATCAGTTTTTATACGACGGAGATTAGAGGGAAGAAGTTTGCATCTTTTTAATCTTTCGTTATATTCTATTTTCTGGTATTTGTATTTATATCTTAAAATTCTCCTTGTAAAGCTTTTTTGTGGTCTTTCTAATTGTTTATTAAGATATTCTAATTTGGGGCTAAAATTTTCGGTGGAATACTCCATAATTGGTCTTACGTATGTTTTGAATGCCTTTACATATGTTTCTATTGGTAATGTTTTTGGTAATATTCCTAGGATATTGTTAATTCTTATAAATGAGGATTTAGTAATTTTTGATATATGATGATCAAACTTTAGCTTGTTATCTATGTATATCCCTAGATCTCTTATGTTATTAACCTCTTCGATTTTTTTACCATTTATCTCATAGTTAAACTTAATTTTGTTGTATATTTTTAAAACCTTTACTTTTGCTATAGAGAATTTAAGTTGATTCATTTCTGCCCATTTACACGCATTGTCTATAGCCCCCTGTAACTCTATACAGTCCTTTTCCGTCTTAATTTCTGAATAAATCTTAAAATCGTCCGCATAAAGTTTTACTTTAACATTTTGTGGAATATATTTTGGAAGGTCATTTATATAAATTAAGAAAAGTAATGGACCTAAGACTGTCCCTTGTGGGACTCCTGTTTTTGGGATAAACGGTTCGGAAAAATGTTCTTCTATTTTTACACTATGTGATCGATTTGAGAGAAAATTCGCTACCCATTGAATTATTAATCGATCTATTTTTAATTCTTGCAATTTTCTAATTAGTATTTCGTGGTTTACTTTATCAAAGGCTTTCTCAAAGTCAAAATATATAACATCTGTACCTATTTTCCTGTCAAGTGAACTATACCAGTCTTGCATCGATGACAAGATTTGAAGTGTACAAGAGCTTTTAGGTAAAAATCCAAATTGCTCTTCTGCGATTAATTTTTGTTTGTTAAGGTGTTCTAAGATATTATTTGCTATAATGCGCTCAAAAACTCTACAAGTAGGGGATGTTAAAGCAATTGGTCTATAATTTGTAGGGTCATTCAATGAACCATTTTTTTTAAATATAGGCAGAATATGTGCCATTTTCCATAATTCAGGAACAATTCCTGTCTTAAATGTCTTCTCAAATAAGATTGATAGAGGAAGAGCTAGTGGTGTAGCACATTTTTTAAGAAAATATTGATTAGCAATTTCAGGGCTGTGAGACAATTTATTTGGGAGCTTTTTGAGTAATTTTTCTATAATATATGGTTCAAAAATATTTTCACCACCCCTATATGCATCTTCAGCATCAAAGCTTACATGTTTATGGCTTGTATCTCCGCTAACGACTTCTTCGAAAATAGTTTTAAATTTTCTAGCTTTGTCAGTGTCATATACTATAGGTTCACTTTCCTCAGATTCTTTAAGTATTGGTATACCAGAGAAGTTAAATTTTTTCCTTTTAATTAATTTATGTATCTCCCCTATGTGGCCTGATCCTATCTTTTTTGATAGATAATCGTTTCTATATTTTTGAGTTTTCAATTTACATTTAATTTCGAAACTTTTATATTCATCCCGGCTAATTTCTCCTAATTTTAACTTTTTCCATTCAAGGGACTTTTGTTTGATGGTTTCTCTAATTTCTTTGGGGTATTTTATGGGTATTTTTTCACCAAATTTTTTAAAAGGTACGAATTTTTGTATTGCTTGTGTCATTATGTTATTTAGTATTTCAGTTATTTCTGAAGGATTTTTATTATTTAATAAGTTATACCAGTCATATTGTGCTAGATACCAATTGATTGCCTTATATTTTCCTTTTTTAAATAATAATACTTTCCTTTTTTCCCTAGATGTTATTTTTTCAATTGGGAAGACTAACTCGAATACTATAGGTTTGTGATCACTTAAAATTAAATTACTCTCAATTTTATAGTTTTCGACTAATTGTTTGTTTTGGAGAACCAGGTCTAGTGTATGGTCATTATTGTACATTGTTGCTCCCTTTATTATCTGATTTAGATTTAGTTCATTCATAGTATTGTAAAAATATAAGCTCTGTTTATCTTTAGGAAATGCAAACTCCTGCCAATTAATTTTCGGATAGTTTAAGTCCCCTAATATGATAGTTGAAACTTCGTTTTTATATTTTTGCTTTATTAGACGCCAAAATTTTTTATCATCGGTTAATTTAGTATTAGGCGGCCTATATATTAAATGGAATCTAATTCTTTTAAATTCTGAGTAAATATCAAAAGTTAGTAGTTCATGATTAAATTCTGATACTGAAAGGTTTGGTAAAGTTACGATTTTTAGTTCCTTCCTATAAAATACACCTACACCTCCGCCTCTAGCTTTAACTCTATCTACTCTTAAGAATTTATAGTTATCGGAGATTAAAAGAGTTTCGCTGGATATTTGATCATTTAGCCAGGTTTCACATAAAAATGTGAGATAAATATTGTTTTTATTTAGATAAGTTTCTAGCTCAAATAATTTATATGCGATTTTATCTGAATTAATGGAGCGTATATTTAGAAGAAGGCATTTAAAATTTTTAAATTTGCTTATATTTTTTTGAATATTTTTCTGTGAGGTCCCTAAATCCTAGTCCAAGTTCACTTTCTTTTTATAATAAATTTTAAGATTACGGTAACATGCAGTGCCATTTCCATGTTTTTGATTGATTTCCTTAACCTGCTGTTTAAGGAAGTTTTGTAGTTGTAGTTCAGGAGGGGTCAAGTCCCTTCTTGCGAATGGACTATGCCCACCTAATTTAGGTTGGTGTATGGCTCTATATTGATTGATAAAAGAATGTGCTGCAGAAGGAGTCGAAAATTTTACTTTGATGATGCGGTTGTAATTATTTTTCTTCTTAATTCCGTGCCTTTTTACTTCGAAAGTCTTAATATCCTTGAAATTTTTGTCATTTACCACCATCTGAACGTTTTTTTCTATAGCTTTAATGTCTTCTTCTTCGTTTTCTAATTCAGGAAATCTTTCGATTACTGCGTAGAATTTCTTCTTTTCATAAAGTTCCTTGAGTTTTTCATCGAATATAGGCTGATGAAGGTGTTCAATTGTTGTAGCAGCTTGTTGAATTTTTGGTGGCATTAGATTGGGGGGACATCCCCATCTTGATGTTTGCTGTTTGAGTTCAAAAGTTTGTTGACTGTTGCTAGTTTGCTGATTTAATTGTTGAAAAAGAGTTTTAATTGTTGTCTCGATTATTGGTGTAAGAAGTTGAACCACATTACGAGAAATTTGTTCAAGTTGTTCTGGTGATAAAAGCGGTGCTTTATCACTTTCACTATCCAACTTTATTATTTTCATATCTTCTTCACGTGTATATTTAAATAAATATATTCTTCTATTTTTTTAGTATTTATTGATCATATAAACTCAACTTTATTTTCTAAATTTTATTTTATTTTTAATTAAAAAATAATAATTTATTATTCAACTAGTATATTATTAACATTTTATTTCAAACTTAACAAAAACATTTTCTCCTTCCCCGGCCTATATAGACCACATTGAGGGAGTGGGTCCAAAAAGTAATTAACACAAAAATTGAAAATTTCAATGCTTGACGTGAAAACGGTAACTCGGATTTGATGTCTGGCGGCAGATGGTAGTTGTCCCTAAAATGTACCTCACCCCTCATCATGAAGCTGATATCACTATTGCGATAACGATATTTTTAAAGGTTATAATTAAAAATGACGGTCGGCCTATTAAAATAAATACTGTTGGTAATAAAAAAAATTAAATAAGTTTAATTAATCGTAAAAATTCTCGAAACATTATAAATGATAAATTATATAGAAAGGGCAATCAAATTAAAAATTAATTAAAACTTTTTTTTGATTTAAAAAAAGAACTTAAGTACTTAATTAAATACAATAAAACTTTAAATTAAACGGAAATTAGTCCATAAAATTTAATTTTATGCCCATAAATTTAAATATATTAATTAGCCTTCTGCCTAAATTTTTATTTGTCTTCTTTTCTTTTTGATTGATTACATTGATATTTAATTAAATTAAAATAAATTAACGGTCAGATACACACTCACACCCATTTAATTTTCTATTTAAACAATTTTATGTTGATGACATTTTTAATTATTTAATTTTAAATTTAATATATCTTTATTTTATTGAGAGAATTTTTTCTAAATTATTTAATTAAAATTTAAATAATAAAAAAGATAAGCAGGATATAACAAATTTAATTCTTTTGGAAAATTAATCTCTTATTAAAATTCTGCTTTGATTGAAATTCTTTTTAACTTTTTAACATCATACATAACATCCCAGATTATTATTACTTGTTTTGATTATTGTTGCCATATTTATTTCCGGCTCTCCTTCCTACCCCCTTAAAAAGTCTCAATCTAAAGCCACTTCAATTATTCATAATTTTTATATTTCCTTATTTTTAAACTTTAATTTAATTCATTTCTAATTTTTAGTTTGATTAATTTAATCAAAAAAACTTTTTGTAAACAAAAATGCAATTATTCCTTTCTCTTTTAATTTTAAAAATTAGCAGCACTTTCCTTTTAATTTCTGCTAATTCAATTGTTCGTTTAAGAAGTTTAAAAATTTCTGGAAATAATAAAAATAATATTGATGGAATTGAAAATTGTTTGTCAGAATTAAAAACTAGAATTTGTGATCCTGATAATATTTTAAATTATGAACAATTAGACAGAATTAATGAAGCATTAATTGAATTGGAACAGTCAACTAATGTTACTTTTTATCCGGTTCGTATTTTTTTTAAATATTTTTAGGCTGTAAAAAATATAAAATCTCTAAAGGTGACGAAGGAGTTTTCGTTATTTTTGATTTGTTAAAATTTTTGGGTAATTCAGAGCTTATTCAAATATTTAAAAATAAAGAATTTCACTATTCTCATCATTTTTTCTAAACTAGACCAATTCAAAAAAACCTCGATTTGTTTTTTTAATTCATGTTTTGGATATTTAAAAAAGATTCTGAAGCTTCCCAAAATAAAAAATAATTTTTAATTTACTTTTTTAATTCCCTTATTTTAAAGGCTCCACCACTTTGGGAATTTGAAAATGCAGCAAAATGTCCATCTTCTGGCTTAGCCCTTTCATTAATTATTGTTAAAAAATTAGAACAGCCAGATTTGGCTACAAAAAGAATTTCTGATTTACACAAAAAATGGACAGAATTGCATCCTTGTTCTAAAACAGCAATTGTTTTGGCTGAATTAAATACAAACAAAAAAGAATTAAATGACGGCCAATTACGTAGAAGGTCCCCTGAAGCATTGAATGATGCTCTCTCTAATACTTTACTACGTGATCCAAAAATCCGTTTTTCAAATAAGCCAATAATGGTTGGGGCACAATTTATTGGAATTAGTAGTGCTAATTCTGATGTTCCTTCTCTTGAATTGGCACAACATTATTTTAGACAAGTAAAGAATATTTTAAAAATAAATAACTTAAGTCTTTATTAAACTTCTTGTCTCTCATAAATTAACTGTCAAATAACTGCGTTTCCTCAGCAAATTTTTTATTAGATTTCAAATTATTTAATTATTTAATTTCCATTTTTAAGAGCCGTTTCCTAAATGAAGGTCAAGTAACAGAAGCAATTGAAGGAATGGTTGGCGATTTAAGAAAAAATATGATGTTGAGAATGTAGAGATAATAAAAAAGAAAAAATAGAAGAAAATAAGCCAAATTGGCTAAAAAATATTTTTAAAATTAATGTAATAGTTTTTTGTTTTATTTCGTGATCTCTTTATATGATTTAGCTACAAATTGTGGCTGCATTTCATTTTGTGTTACTATTTATATTTTATTTCTTGACGATGTCTAAATATTTGACATTAAATAAATGTTTCTTTTTGTTATTTTTAAAGTAATACATTTAAAAATCAAAATATTGAAGAATAAAGGAGCTCAAATACTTAGTCTAGGCTTGAGTTTGAGAGTTTTAAAGAAATTATTTGCAAAGGGTTGGGTATGTTGGGTGTATGTGGGAGATCGATGGATTTTTTGGTATTTTGTAGATCTCATACATATGTATTCCATGAAAGCACCTGCTTGTGATGAGCGAGGCTTCTAGCAAATTTACCAAGCACACGATGGGATCAGGCCAGTCTACGGCAACAGATTATACATATAATCAAATTAAGAAATAAATACTACAAAAATTATTTTTACTGATAGAAAGTTAATAATTTTTTTACTTGATAATTTTGGGATTTTTATCTGAGAACCATAACGAATAAAAAAATAAAAAAACCATAAACCAAAACCATATTTTTACAAGCTCGAAAAAATACATTGAAGTGCATGTCGTTTTAATTCAAGTTTTACGGTGTTTAGAATTTTCATTTTCCACCACAAATCATGGGGGTTTCAAACGTTTGTTATAACTTTGAATTCAAAATTCGGAAGCTGTGTTTTTTCTTATACTTATTAGATAATAAAATCATTAAAAAATAATTTTAAACTAATATGTAGTGATTTTTTGAAATACTCTAAAACAGCCTAAATTTTTTCACGGCCTAGTTGTGAATAAAAATAGAAATGCCCAATCGGTATTGGGATTCCATGATTTTTTTAATTAAATAAATAATTCCAGGATTCCACAATTTTAAATTTTGGAATGTGTTTGGCTGTAAAAAATAGCCAACATTATCAAAATTTTGTGTATTTTTTATTCTTTGACTTATTAAAGTTTCTATTAATTATGATTAATTACTAAATTACTTTTATTTTAAAAACTATGCAATTCTAGAATTTATTTAATAACAAACTATAAATTTAATAATTAATTAATTTATTTATATTTTTATTTTAATATTTTATTTTTTTACTTTTTTATATATTGTTCTCTTTTTATAACTCTCTATTTAATTTTTTCTAACACTTTATTTTTTTTATGCAAGTGAAAGCAGGGCTGTGCGCCAAAATTTTCGCGTGGCGCGCCAAACGCCAAACGCCAATTTTTTAAATTTTAAAAACACGCCAAACGCCAAACGCCAAAAATCGGCCAAAATCAACGCCAAAACGCCAAACGCCAAACGCCAAAATTTTTAGAGTCTATAAAGACTTAAAAATCACTGTTCATCTCACTTTAGCGCCGCAGGCGAAATTTTTTTAATTTTCAAGATTCCCAGAAGCCAGATTCATCCTTTTTTTAACGCCTGAGTGAAATTTTTGAGAATTTTGGAGGCAAAAAAGCCGAAATTCATCCTTTAAAAAATTTTAAAAGATAAGAAATTCATAGAACTCCTTGAGATTAAGGTGGATATGAAGGGATAAAGGGAGTAATGAGTATAACAGAGGTCATGAAGAGAGTAAACGATTAACGGGACTAAAGTTTTTTTCTACCATCTATTAGTTTAAGATAAGGGCTTCCTCCTTTAAGCGCCGCAGGCGAAAATTTTGAAAATTTTGGAAGTCCAAGCAGCATATTTCTTCATTTTTTATGCGCCGCAGGCGAAAATTTTGAGAATTTTGGATGACTACGCAGAAAAATTTCCTTTTTCGATCATCCCTTTCTCCATTTATTTTTAAAAAATTCCATCATTAGGGGTGTATATTTTTGGCGTTTGGCGCGCCAAATCGGAAAATCACGCCAAACGCAAAACGCCAAAAATCGGCCAAAATTAACGCCAAAACGCAAAACGCCAAACGCCATGACGCACAGCCCTGAGTGAAAGCTTATCAATTTAGTTTAAATAAAAAATAATGAGTATTTCTAACTTTAAAGAAATACTAAAAATTTTTTTCTTAATTATTCGAGTCAATTAATTGATTAAAAATATTAAATTTTAAATTATTATCTTTGATTATTAAATTTTTAATTGTCCGAAAATTTTCACCTTTTAAAATCTATTATTTTTCAAAGGCTTTTCACTACCCAAAAATCAAAAATTCCCTCCTCCTCACAATTTACTTTAATTTACAATTTTTATTTCCTTAAATTTTACATTTAAATAATCAAAAAAGCCTCCCTTTTCATTTTTTGTTAATAAAAAGTGCTTTTCTTCTTTTATCAATTCAAAAATCATATCTACATATTACTTTTATTTTTTCCTTATTTTCATAAAAAGTAATAATTTTTCAATAAATTTTATTACAAAAATGTACAAAAAATATACTTTATTTTCCTTTTAATAAACAATTTTTCTCCAAGATATTTAAATATTAATTTATTTTTTTTCAAGAAATTCCTTTCATTTACAAATTCCGAATTACTAATCGCCAAATAATTTTTAAAAACTTGAAAAATTATCTAAAAAATTAATATTTTAATAAAAGACTAAAACACATTAATGTGTGAATAATTATAAAATTAAGAAAAATAATTTTAAGAAATTATAATTATTATTAATGAATTTATGTATTTCTATTACTTTAAAAATAATATGGTAATTTTAAAGAAAAAAAATGTTTTTTTCATAAGATATTCCAAATAGAAACTTTTGAGAGTAGAAAGGTAAATTTGTTGAACCTGATCTTTAAAATTTAATGTGGAAATATTGTTGTTGAATTTTTTTAAATTAACACCTTACCTAATCCATCATAGTTGGTTATATTGTAACGACTGTCTTATTTGTTTATAAAAATGTGTTAACTTTAATTAACTAAAAAAAATAAATTATTTGCAGTATTTAAATTTATTTGGCCTTCAAACTTTAATTTATTTTAATAATTTTTGTTTAGGTATATAATAAAGCAAAATTCTGTTCTGTGAATTAAAGAATAATTATCATATTTTTAAAGGATTCTATACGGGCTTTGATAAAATATCCCAATTTCAAAATTTAATGATATACTTCAGATTCATGGCGACTAAATTGAGAAAGCCTTTATTAAATTAAATTAATCTAAGATATCCCATTCAAAAAACTATACAAAATAACATCAAAAAAATTTAATTTTTTAAGCAAAAAATGATTATATTATTTTCTTCTATCTTTATTGTTTTTATCTTTTTTGCTTTTCGAGGACTAATTAGAAGAATTAAAGTTAATAATCTAGAACATAAATCTGTGTTAATCACAGGGTGTGATTCTGGATTTGGATTTGATTTGGCTATAAAATGTTTTAATAAAGGATTGTGTGTTTTTGCTGCTTGTCTTAGTGATGAGGTTAGTAAATATTATATTAGATTTTTGATAATATAAAGTGTTGTGTCCGCACTTGCAGAAGAATGGGTTTATAATTAAGAAAAGGGTAGAAATTTGGTTGGTCGAGGATTGGGGGAAATGAGAATCTAGAATTACAAAGGAGTTTTTCCTTCCTTCTTCTGATAATTTTCCTTAAATAAAATTTTACAATTTCCTCTATCTAGGGAATGAAAGCACTTGAAAAAGAAGCCTCAAAACAAAAAGAGAAAGCAAATGGAATTCTACATTTATTTCAAATGGATGTTAGAAATGAAAAATCCGTAGCCAATGGTCTTAAATTTGTAGAATCAAAATTGTCGAACAATACAGGAATTCATGCACTTGTCAACAATGCCGGAATTGTTGGCAATACTGTATGTCTCTTTGACTTGTTTAATTAATTTAAGAGATAAATAATAGAAATCTTTTGGGAAGTTAAAAATGCTAATGGATCGTTTCTCCTTTATTTTTTCATGAGAATCTCCTTTACAAAAATGAGAGGGCAGTTTTGACAGAAAAACATTGAAACTAAAATTGTTACGAATTTGACTTCAAAGATTAATTGTCAATAAATTGAGAGAATATTTCCTTTTATTTAAAAAATATTATTAAGGCATGGGACGATTGGCTTTTACCAGATGATTATCAACAAGTTTGGGAAGGTAAAAATTATATTCGTTGAAAATTTCTAATTAATTAATTAAAGTTAACACTATGGGAATGATAAGAGTAACCCAAACATTCAAACGTTTAATTAAATTGGAAAAAGGTTCGAGAATTATTTTTATGGCAAGTACATGTGCCCGTGTTGCTTTGCCTACACTTGGACCTTATAATGTAAGTAAAAATAAAAATAATCTTTATTTTTGAAAAAACTAAAAAGTTAAACAAATTAATTGTAGGTTTCGAAATATGCTATAGAAGCCTATGCAGACACAATCCGGTAATTTAAACCGGAAAATTATTATTCTAAAATAATTTATAAAGGTCTGAATTATTAATTTTTGGTGTTAAAGTTTGTATATTAGAACCAGGTATTTTTAAAAAATTATTTTCTAAAAATATTTAAAAAAAGGATTCTTCAAAACCCCCCTAACTAGCGTCGAAAGAAATTTGGCAATGTTTGAAAAACTTTGGTTAAGAGCTTCAGAAAATGTAAAAAATGATTATGGCCAACAACTTTACGAATTTAGTTAAAAAAATAATTTTTAAATTGAAAAATAATTAAAAATAATTTAGGTAAAAAACATTTATTATTTCTCATTGACCCAAAAAATCTAAGTTCCAAAACAGAACTTGTTGTCAATGCTTATTGGGAAGCAATTAGTTCTGAATGGCCTAAAAGAAGATATCAAAGTTTTCCTAAAATAATTATTTTTAAATTTATTTTTTTAAAGTTGGAAATGATTTCAATTTTTTCTTTTTACCCTTTGCTTGTTTGCCCGCAGATATTCAGGATCTCTTTTACAAATTAGCTTCAATAATTATTCGAACACCAAAACCTCAACTTTTAATTAATTTAAATAAATTTAGAGAAATTAAAATAACTAAGGAAGATGAGAAAAGTGATAAATTTACAAAAATTAATGAAAATTAGTTTTTCTTTTACTAAAATATTTAGCAATATATTTAGAAATAAAAATTAGAAAAAATATTTATTTTAAAATTTATATTATTTAATAGACAAAAGACAAACATAAAAAATAAATTTAAATAAATACAAAAATCAGACAAATAATAAAAAATAAATATTTTTTTATTTCTTTTCAAACATTAAATAGTAAAAATATTTATTTTAAATTAAAGTAAATAAATAATAAATTACCTATATTTTTTATTAATTTTAATGCTTTATTCATTTAAAAGAATTATTTTCTATTATGAATAAACAATTTATTTTTTCCTGGAGAATAATATAAATATACAATAGAATAATAAAAAGTTTACAATAAAATTAATGTCTAAGATCTTTGTTTAATTTTGTTTAACAAAAAAATAAGAATGTTTAGGTATATAAATTAATTTTTTAAATATAACTCAAGAAATCTTTTTTATTTTTTACTTAAAATAAAAAAATAATAATTATGATTATTTCTTTAAAAATAAAAAATAACAAAAAATATATAAATTTATTTAATAAAAATATTTTAATTTTAAAATTTTTGTTTTTGATTATTTTAAAAATAAATATTGTGAAATCTCAACAATGCGGAATTTCTACTTTAGAATTACCTCCGGAAGGGGCACAATCTGTATATAGAGGGGATGATATTATAAGTGATGGACATTTGCCTTGGATGGCTTTTTTATTGGGACATGCTGTTTGTACAGGTTCAGTAATTGGAAGGTTAAAAGAAAATAATTTGGAAGTAAATAAATTTAATTTTTAAAGACAATATATACTTAGTGCCGGTCATTGTGTACATGCCGGTAATGGAAAATCTATTCCAGCAGAATCTTTAGTCGTTTTTGTTGGGTCAGCTAATCTTAGTCAAGCAACGCCTATAAGCGTTGAAAAAATTATTTTGAGGAGTGAATATAATGATAGAATTGATGATCAAATAGGTTCTGTAACAACTTTTGATATGGCAATTTTAAAAGTTAAAGATAAAAAATTTTAAGAAAGAAAATTCCTTTTAAGTTAGCTACACCTTTGAATTTAAGCGAAACTTTGTGGCCAATATGCCTTTCACGTAATTCAGCCGCAATGGCCGTTACTACTGTGGAAACTAAAGTATTAGTTGCTGGATGGGGAAATACTAAACGTAAAATTAGTAAATTATTTATTAAAAATATTTGTAGCTCATTGCGATAGCTCAATTATTTGGAAAATAACACATCCAAAAATACCAGAAAGACTTCAATATGGACGGGTAATGTAAATACAAAAAATGAAATATTTGAATTTTATTAAGGAGAATATATTGCCCACGGAAGAATGTGTTGATTTAGAAACAAAATGGCATATGGAAGAAATGGCAAAAAGAAGTAATGAAAATTATAAAAAGATATCTGATTGTCCCAAAAATAATCTTAAATATTTTAGACGCGACAAATTTCTTCCCAGCACTATATGGAATGAATCCTAGAGAATTACGTAGACGTGTAGCATCTAAATTGACTGATAAAATATGTGTCGTGAGCAATAAAACTGTGGTGGAAAGTGGGGATAGTGGTGGACCTCTTTTGGTAATTTTATTTGAAAAAACTTTTTGGTTATTTGATTACTTAAAAATATTATTTTTTGAAGTTATCTTCTGCCCCAGGCAAATGGACACAAATTGGAACACTGACCGGTGGCCCATGTCACGGAAAGGATGCACCAATGCATGGTAAAAAATAATTAAGCCCAAAAAGAATTGTAAAAAATTATTTAAAGACTATTACACTCAAATTGATTGTGAATGGATTACTATACAAACAGACAATGAAGTACAATGTCAATAAAAAAATATTGAACTGATTTTTTCTTTTCAAAATTTTTTTAACATTTACTTTTAAATCAGACAAGAATTTAATTTTAACAGACATTGTGCATATATTTAATTTTAACTAAACAAAAAATTAACTAAACAAAAAATAATTTAAATTCAAACATACTCATTGAATAGGATCTGAATTTTGTCAAGTGTTTAAAACACTAAAGTGAAGATTGCTTCATCTTTATAGTTTTGACGGGGAGTGTTATTGGGTTATTAGTAGGGTAGGCAAATTAGGAAAACTATAACAATAATCCAATCCTCCACTTTAGTGTTTTAAACTCCTGCCAATTCCAGATCATAAAAAATCAACTCAACAAAATAATTTAAATTCCAAGATCATTCTTATCATTTTTATTGCATCCCATTCCAAAATCCTCTCACTGCAGGATATATTGGTGGATTGTTACTGTCATCTTCATACATTTTCATTGCTTTCATAGCTTCTAAAATTTAAAAAAACTCTTAAGTCTTAAAAAGAATACCTATTAATTGATAATTTTTATTAGAAAGATTTTCCATAGGTGTTTGTCCCCGACAGCGCGGACATTTAAATGAATTTTTTTCTGCATAACATTGATTTTCCTTTAATATTCTGTTAACACAAGCAGCACAGGTAGTATGACAGCAGTTGGATAGCACTGGAAATCTGTAAGTAATTCCGAATTGTTCAAAACATACTAAACATTTAAAAGACTCAAGTAGTTCTTTATCTAAATTTTTAATATAAAATAATTTTTTAAAGTTTTTGTAAACAAAAGATCTACCAAGAGAACATCGTTTACTTTCAGTGCGAATTTGTTATATTTTTGGTTTTGTTATATATCTTTGGTTTTTGCAAAATTAGTTTAGGCCAGGGCTGTGCGCCAAAATTTTCGCGTGGCGCGCCAAACGCCAATTTTTCAAATTTTAAAAACACGCCAAACGCCAAAAATCGGCCAAAATCAACGCCAAAACGCCAAAATTTTTAGTCTATAAAGACTTAAAAACCACTGTTCATTTCATTATAGCGCCGCAGGCGAAATTTTTTGACTTTTCAAGATTCCCAGAAGCCAGAATTCATCCTTTTTTACCGTTTGAGCGAAATTTTTGAGAATTTTGGAGCAAAGAAGCCGAAATTCATCCTTTAAAAAATTTAAACTTTAAAAAATTAAAAAAATAAGAGATTCATAGAACACCTTGAGATTAAGGTGGATGGATATGAAGGGATAAAGGGAGTAATGAGTATAACAGAGGTCATGAAGAGAGTAAATGATTGACGGGACTAAAGTTTTTTTCTACCATCTATTAGTTTATGATATAGTAAGTCGAGTACCGAGTAATTGGGGTTACTCTAGTTTAAGATACTTACTCTAGTTTAAAATAAGGGCTTTCTCCTTTAAGCGCCGCAGGCGAAAATTTTGAAAATTTTGGAAGTCCAAGCAGTAGATTTCTTCATTTTTTATGCGCCGCGGGCGAAAATTTTGAGAATTTTGGATGACTTTATGCAGAAAAATGTTCTTTCTCGATCATACCTTCTCCCAATTATTTTAAAAAATTTCCATCATTAGGGGTGTATATTTTTGGCGTTTGGCGCGCCAAAATCGGAAAATCACGCCAAAAATCGGCCAAAATTAACGCCAAAACGCAAACGCCATGACGCACAGCCCCGGTTTAGGCCGAGTTATGGCCGTTCAAAGTTGGACCGCTAGAGTCTAAAGTTATAGGGTAAATTAGAAACTTCTCTTCTTTTTCATCCTCAAATACCCATACGCCCATCACCTTTGTTTATTGTGTCTAACAAATTTTAAAAAAAATTTAAAAATTTTTTTTATTTAATTTTAAATTCAATTTTTTTCGAATTTTTTTCTTCCTTCTTTTTTTCCTAGCGCCACTTCCATTCTTTTTTCCAATTTGTAAGACAACATGAAGGAAAAAAAGAGAGCTCGTTTCTTTTCCCTATTCAACTTATACTCAACCACACCCAAGGACTGAAACCTTGAACGGCCGTAACTCGGCCCAAACTAATTTTGCAAAAAAATGGATCACGCCACAATACTAAGTCGAGGTAGTATTGTGGCGTCCTCTATCGAATGTTACCAAAAAATATGTCAAATTCCCTTGTTCCCTTTTAAGACGATGTTCCCTTGTAAGAATAAAATTTCACAAAAAATAGGCCAATAAAATACGCGTACCTTTCTCCTCTTGACATTTTTTAATATCTTCTAAAAAAGCTAATCTTTCCTCTCTAATTTTTTGTTCATTTCTTTCTGATTCAGTTAATTGTTTTTTTCGTAATTCTTCTTTTTTAATTCTTGCAACTTCAGCTAATTGGTCCTCTCTTCCGGGATCCATTAGACCCAGCTTAAATAATTTTATTACTTCTGATTTTGCCTTAGATACATCAGGATATGCACTGAGTTTGCTGGGCTAAAGATAAAATAAAAATTAAAAATGATCGCCTTCTATTTTTCACTTACACTTATAATAACATGCATTTCTTCTTCACTTGTCGAATTTCTGACCCCTTTCCCATTAATTTTAAGTTTACATCGACAAGCAAGTTCCAGTTCTCGTTGCGACCTACCACCAGGTCCCAAAAATCGTCCTGGGAATACCTAAATTTTGGATTCAATTTATAAATATTGTAAAATAATTACTTCACGAATATCGGCAGGAACAAAGAGTTTTATTGGCTCGCTTAACTGTTGAGATGTTGAAGTATCATTACAATATAATTTGTCTTCGTTTTCTAACTAAAAAATAAATCTTAAATTTGCTAACTTAGGCATATTTTTCTATACAGAATATATCTAATTAGAGTGCTTAACTAAAAATTCCATACATATTTCAATTTTAAAAATTATTTTACGAATAACTCGAAGTGTTAAGACAATTGCGGATACGCAACTGCGAACGCGACAATTCTAGACGACGATTGCGGATTTACCAATTGCGGATTTAAATTTTTTGAAAATTTAAAAATTAGTGAAATGGGATCCTATTTTAGTCCCAGCTGACGGTTTCCGACTTCTAACGGTTTTCGAACCATTTCTAAATAAACGCGGCATTGAAAAATTTGAAAAATCTTAGATTTTAAAAAATTTATACCCTCAACTGTCGTCCGTAGCTGTCGTCCGGAATTTTATAATCATTAGGGAATAAATTTAAAACATTAGGGAATAAAAAATAAAAACTTTTAGGCTACCCATATATTTATATAATTATTAAAATAAAAATATATTTTATTTACCTTAGTATTTAATTTAACATTTTTTGCAGTTAAATTAATATGTTCAGTTTTAATTTTGTTAAATTCTTCTTCCAAATTTTTATTCGAAATATTTAATTCTTCAACTTTTTCCTTCTCTTCTTCCAATTCTTTTTCTTTATTTTTAATTAATTCCTTCATTGTCTCAATAGTCTCCATAAATTGCCCACGTTCAACTGAATTTTCATCCATTAAAAATTCAAACTCTTCGACTCTTTTAATTAATATATCCCTATCTGTTTGAAGTTTCGAATTTTCTTCTCTAAGCTAAAAAATATTAAAAATAAATTTAAATTCTAAATTCAGATTAATTTTTTTGTTTAGTTTATTCTGTTTACTTCGTATTCTATATGCGAGTAAATCATACATTCTAGTATATAAAAAATGGATACTGAAATTTTTTGAAAATTCCAAAAGAAATTGACTTTTAAAAAATTTGAATTTTTCGAGATTGAATTTTCGAACTCAAGATCCAGAATAATAATATATAAGGATTGTCTATTAAACTAAATCGAAAACAAATTATTTTTTTGGATTTAAATATTATTAATTATTTACTCTTACCATCTTAGCCAATTCATTAGCTGAAGTAATTTGATTATTTAATTCGTCAATTGACTTTTTTAACTCTTCATGTTTAACTGAATATTCAGCCAATACAAATTTATAATCATTTAATTCTTCCTTTAATTGATCATTTTCTGATTGAACTTTTTTATTTTCAGTGCTAAGCTAAAAAATTAAAAATTATAAATATATTTTAATTTTAAAAATTATTTTATGAACAACTCGAATCAATTTACTAAAAATTATTTTTTTTACCTTTAAAGATGTCAATCCTTCCTCACAAGATTGTTCCATTACTTGTTTTTTTAAACGTTTATTGTCTGCTTTTAAATTAATAATCAATTCATTTTTATCCTCTTCAAATTTTATCTCAAAATTTGTATATAAATCAAGAGCATATTTCTTCTCTTTTTCAAGTTCTTCAACTTTACTTTGAATTTTCTAAATAAAAATTATTTTTTTTATTTAAATTTTAATTAAGTTAAAAATGGAAAAATGAATTTTCTTAATCTTAGAATCCCAAAATTATTACTACATAATACATAGAAGGAAATTATTAAATTTTCGTATCAAAAGAAATTACCCCAAATTTACACAATAAAATTACCTTAATTTCCCTCTCATATTCATATAAATTTTTCAATTTTTCATCTTCCAATTGTTTTATTAAAAATTTATTTTTTTCCGATTCCTGCGCAAAATTATAATTTTCTTCTTTTAATTTAATATTTTCTTCACATTTTTCATCCAATTTTTTATCATTTTCTTCTTTCATTTTCTTCAAATTTCCATTCTCAATTTTTAAATTAACTAATTCTTCTTTTAACATTTCATCAGAATTATTAATTTCCTTCTCCTTTTCTTTAATTTGTTGTAATAATTTAATTTTTGCTTCATTAATTTCACCCATCTGAATTCTATCAAAATTTAAATTTTTGATTTCCAATTACTAATTGAATTTGCTGAAAAATACTAAATAAAAAAATAATTAATTTAAACATTTAAATTTTTATATTATCATATTTACGCGAAATTGGGGCTACTCTGTTAAATTTCCACTCACAGCAAACAATGGTCCCATGTTATCACAAAATAAAAATAATTGCCCAATATGAAACCAAAACCGAGCAATACATATTGTTGCACCGGTAAAATAGTGGAAAAAAAATAAAAATCAAGTACTACATATCAGATAAAAACAAAATTTAAATAAAAAACAAATTAGGTTAAAACGAGTTTATTTCAGTATAAAATTTTTAAATTAAATAACAATTTAACAGAGATCATGAATTAAAAAATTAAAACTCGAAAAAAATCAAGAGTTACAGAAAGCCATTTTTAATTTTAAATACCTTCATTTATTACATTTCAATATTTTCACTTCCCTCTCTATTCATTTCTTTCATCCTTTGTTTTTCATGTAATTCACTTATCTGTTCAGATAATTCAGCAATTTCGGGCAAGTTTTCTTGTTCTTCACAAAGAGCAGCGAATTTACACAACGATAATTCTATCTGAAAAGAAATAAATTTAAAAAATACTTTAAAATGTTAAATTCTAATTTAGGTTTTACAATTAAAAACCAAAAGATATTACAAGTGATATTTAAAGTTTTTAATTAACAAAAAATTTTTTTACCAATTTTTTGTTTTCATCTTTCTCATTATTTGCCATCTTTTTCAATGTTATCTTTGCTTGTGTAAATTGGCCTTCTTCAACCTGTCTTATCCAATTGAGTTCTTGACGTTTTGCTAAAAAATCACTAGTTTTTTTCCCAGGTTCAGCAAGGAGATGATTAAACATTCCTTTAAATTATTTAAAATTTTAAAAATTTAAAAATTAAAAAAACCTTTTTTTTGATACCAAGTATAAAGAAAATCGTAAAAACTAAGAAAAAATATAAATTTAAAGAAATCAAAAAGTTAAAAATCCCCACTTATCATTCTCGTATTCTTTTGTATCTATTCAATGCTTCCTCACATTGTCGTTTATCAAGTCTATTGTAGCAGTAAACAACGAGGAAAGTAAAATCCTTAATTTTAATAAAATAATATTTATTTTAATTTATTTAGATTTCGAAAAATTTAAAAATAATTCATGCCAGATATTTCAAATTCCTTCATTTTCTCAAAAATTAAGCCCTAAACTGATTGCTGCCCAATTTTAATAAAAAATATTTAAAGATACACATACTCTATACTTTTCAGCCAATTCTAAAGCATCCCTTTGATTACCCAACATCGCAAAACGTGAAATAATTTCTGAGTCATTGCGTTGAGCTGAAGATTGTTGTGAAAGAACAAAATGTGCCAATTGTAGACATTGCTTATAAATTGTTGAATGAGGAGTGGGAAGTTGTGTTTGTTCATCTAATGTTGTAACTACCCATGTCACGGAAAAGATGCACCAATGTATCGTAAAAAATAAGTAAGTCGAAAAAAGGAAAAATTAAAATAAATTATATTTAAAAAATATTACACCCAAATTGATTGCGAATGGATTGCTATACAAACAGACAACTAAGTACAATGTCAATAAAAAATATTAGAACGATTTTTTCTTTAATTTTTTTATAATTTACTTTTAAATCAGAAAGGAATTTAATTTTAACAAATATTGTGCATATATTTATTTAATTATTTCACCACTTTCTTGGTTGGAGAAGTCGCAGACTTTTTCTTTTTCTCTTGTGCTTCACAAACCAAATCAACCAATTTGCCTTCTTTAGCCAAACATTTTAATAATTCAATTAAAAACGGCATATAATTGTGACGACGTCGATTATTCTAAATTTATATTACTAGAAGAATTTAATAAAAAATATTTCGATGAGAATAAAGTGTTTATTCGTTTACACGAAAATAATTTTATGTTAGCTATCGTTTGGTATTGGTATGCTCATAAAAAATCTTAAATCTCTAATCTTTAAATAAATAATATTCGACTAAATTTGTTATCCATTCGTTTTGAGGAAAATTGGATTAAGGAGAATTTTTTCTCGCCGAAATTTAGATTGTGAGATAAAAAATGTAGCATGTATTTATCGTCTCTCGTATCTCTTAATGATATTAGTTTTTGGAAAAAACGAATCATGAACTTATATCAGAATCCAGCAAAAAACAACCCCCCCACCCCAGTAAAAATATCAAAAAATATTTTTAAATAAAAATAACCTCAATTTTGTAACGTTTCATTTTATCCTTTTCATCTTCAATTAAATTTTGTAACTGATTAATTTCAAGTCCAACTTCAGCAGAATCCATTTCCATCTAAAAATATTTTAAATTTTTGAAATAAAATTTAAAAACCGTGCTAAGCTCAGCTATTCGCTGTTCATATTTGGAACGTAAATTTGGGACCAACGCCATTAAATTAAAATGAATCTCACCAGCAGTATATCTGATTAAATTTATTTTAAATGATCGAGTTTCCTCACAGAAAAATTTTTAAACAATTAAATTTTGGGGCGATAACCATTATTTTATTAAAAATTAGGAAATTTTGTATGTTAACAATAATGTAAGATTAATATAAACCCGCCTAGATATTTAAAATAACGTTAAAAAAATCCAATGAACCAAAATTTATTTAAAATAATGTAGAAAATTCTTTTAGTTTGGTTTTTGAAATTCACCAATTTTAAATAATAAAATTAAAAAATTTACTTCTCAATTCGTCTTTTAATGAATGGACGAACAATATCAATCCAATCAGTTGAATTATTGTCCTCCTCTTTATTAATATCCGCCAAAAAAATAGGAGCATCACGTAATCCATCTAATTCATAAATCTTATCATCAACAGGCACATAAGCAATAAAATGAAAATTGTCTTCACTTTTTATCTTTGGCTTTAAAATTAAAAATAAATTTAATAAAAATAAGATTGATAAAGAATCTACAAAAATTTTGGAACTCTGAATGGGAAAACTTAGAATTAAGAACTTAAAAATCCCAATAAAATAGAGAGATTGGTCTTCAATTATTAATTTCGGGTCAAACTTAGGCTTCGAAATGTGTGAAACATATTAAGAAATTAAGTTATTTGACAAGAGAACCTTCCTAACTGTAACCAAAAATTTCTAAATAAAAATTATATTATCGTGTAGAGCATGGTCGATAACTTATTCCTATGCTAGGCTTTTTTGGCCCAGACCCCCATTTTTGTCACAGTTCGGAAAGTTCCCTTGCGAGTTTAAAATTTCCTTATGTTTTGTCAGAAAATTACTTTGAAAAATAAAAAATTGAGGTAAATGTAAAGATTACTGGTCCCGAAAAAAATGTGGAAGAAGTGCTTTTTTGATATTTTTGAGGTTTGGCAGTAGGTAATCGAGTGTGCTGAGTCCGAATCAGAGCTTAGAATTTGTTTATTTCGAACCCCGAACCCGGTTTCGACCAAGTCAAATTCGGGGTAAAAATTCGAAATTAAAAATTTAGAGCTATTCTGACGCGCCTATTCGAGCTGAGTCGAATGCCTCCGAAATCACCGCGATCCGACTCCATAGGGCCGAGTTAGAGACCCCCGAAATTTGAAAATTTTTGGGGTCACAAAATTCGAAAATCCAAATAATAGCTCATTCGAAAGAACTCGACAAGCTGAGTCGATATTTGACAAAATCTGATATCAGATTCGTGATCAGCATAGTCGATTACGCCATAAATTTTTAATTTCGGATTTTTACCCATAAATCGACTTGGTCGAAACCGGGTTCGGGGTTCGAAATAAACAAATTCTAAGCTCAGATTCGGACTCAGCACATTCAATTACCTACTGGCATGCCTCAAAAATGTCTAACTAGCACTTTTTCCTCATTTTTTTCTAGGGACCAGTAATCTTTACATTTACCAAAATTGAATACAAACCAAATCCATTTCCATAAAATGTTCCCGACTGAACGAATTATGTAATTTTCGGATTTCTTCGCTGTTGCTTAAAGTAAGACCACGTAATCCAGCGTCAAAATTTTGAGTAAAATTTTTAAAGTTTTCCAGTGTATTCCCCAAACTAACATCATTTGAATCAATATTCAGAAGTAAATTGATAATTGCCTGTGAAGCACATGCATTCGTAATGACCTTAAAATAATTTAGAAACCAAAACAACAAAAATTAAAAAAACCTGTTTGGCAAAATAAACGGGAGCATCAGGTTGAAGAGTACCCTCTACTTCTTCACCTTGTCGCCATTTGAAAAGAAAGATAAGACCATAAATTGGTCTATAATTATTAAATAAATGATTTTTATGGGCCAGACCAGTTTCTGTACTAGGCTAAAGATTGGAAAATTTATATGTCAATCAACAGAGCTTAACTGAGTCGAATGGCACCAAAATTGACCCGCGGAAACAACACTGAGCCGTAGATATAGGGCTCGAATTGGTCAAAAACCATATGGGGGGGGGGTCAAAATCAACACCAAATTTGTTGATTTTGGTGTCATTCGCCTAAGCTCGACGAGCCTTTCGAATGACATATAAATTGTTCAATTTTGAGCCTAGCACGGAAACTGTAGTTTAGCCTTTTAATGGGCTGATCTTTCAGTTAATCTAAGAAATTAAAAAAAAAACTTTAATTTGTCAAGATGTTCCTCATCGTCTATTGAATAAAGCTCTTCAATCTGAACACCTTGAACGCCTATGCCATTGATTAATTCAGTAAAAACACCGGGATCGCTCTCAATAAGACACCTTTAGAAATAATTGAAAATGTTAATTTAAATTTTAAATAGAAAAAAACCAGTCTCCAGCATCAGATCCCATTTCCTTTTTGACAAAAAAATCGAAGCAAAAATGTTCAAATAAGATAAAAACTACCTATTAAATAAAAATTTAAGAAATTAAAAATCACATTGTCATCATTCCACAGATTTGGCAGTGTGATAAACGATAATTTCTTGGGCACGGACTATATGGCTCTGAAACGTCCACCTCAAGAAATATCCGTGCTGAACAAAATTGTTGTTTTTTAATTTTTCGGGACAGAAATCGAAAAAAGTTCTGGATTATGGACGCGGAATCCAGCAGAATCCCGCGCGGGATCCTGTCCTTTTCTATTCATTAAATAAATTTAAATGTTTAATTAACTTATTTTTAGTATTTAATTAAAAAATGAGCAAGGATCGCAAAGTTATTGAGCACGAAGGAGTTAAATATTATAAAGAGGTTAATTAATTTTTAATTCAAAAAATAGAAATTTTCAGGAAGGTCAATGGCATAAATCACATATAATTGAAGAAGACGAAGTGCCAGATGTTGTTAAAAATAAAATGCTTCCAAAACTCAACCTTATACCTGAAATTCAACTTGATGTTTTAAAATATTTGGATTTCACCCAATTATTATCTGTTCAACAAACAAATGTTTATTTCGAAAATTTTATTTATGAACATGGAAGAGTATTGGCAAAGAAGAAATTCTTTGGGCTTGAAATTGTAAGTTGTCTATAAAAATTGATTCCAATAATTATTGTTACTTTCGCATATCTTACTTTCGCACCACTTTCCTGATAAACATATGCGGACTTTATGAGAAGATAATGCGAAAGTATCTTATTATTTTTCAGTATCCAATCAATGAAGGACAATTAAACCATTTTAAAGAACGTATGCCGCCGCTTAACCTTTATTACTTTAAATGGGACGAACACAAGCCTTGTGAACAAAAGCAAAAATTCTTCAAACTAGAACCTCAACTTTATGAATTTCAATTGAGTGAACAACTTGAGGAAAAGGTTAGAATTTAAGAAAGTTTTTATTTTAAAATAATCCAATTTTTAGTGGAAGGATGCAATAGAAAAACAAATTCCTTTATTTTTATCGATTGATGATTTTTCTGCTGTCATTTTTGAATTGGAACAAAGATTCAAATGGGGTACAGGTTAGCTTACAATTAATATATTATGTAATTGAACTGGGCTAGCTGTTTCCCCTCAAGATAAATTAAAAGTTACATACATAGTCGGTCTCCGTTAACAAAACTTCAAAGGAAATAAGCTGTTCAGAAAAAATTTCAATGTTACCATAAAGAACTTTTTTTTTATTATTAAAATCATATTTCTAGAGCAATACTACTTCCAATTGCCGATTATTCCAACAAATATTGAGGAAATGAAAATTACTCGTTATTACTTTGAATTACTTTTTAACTGTGCTTTCGAAGTTTTTGAAGTTTCTCGTCTTATAATTAATCCGCAAATGATTGAATTATTATTTGATGAAAATATAACAAATCTACCTTTACAAATACATTCACATTTAATCAATATATCTTTTTTGGGTGATTATTCGTTGAACTTCATTTTGAACCATTTGATTGCTAATAATCTTGCCATTGATTTTGATGCTGTAAAAGATATTGACGTTTTATTTCAAATTTTGGTAAAGGAAGATAAATTTTCCAAAATTACTCTTCAATATATTAATTCAAAATCTTACTTTTTCATTATTGAGGTTTGTAGATTTTATTTTCGATATAAACTAGCGGTTCCCCTACCCCTCTTGTTTCAGGGCTGCTACATGTTGATTATGGGTCGGGCAAAATTTTTTGATGTGTTTATAAAAAATTGTTGGGGCTCAAAATGGCCAATTCATTTTATTCAGTAGTGTCCTAGAACTAAGCTTTTCGAACCTTTATCTAGATTTTCATAATTTAAAAATTAATTATAATTTAATTTTAGCATATAGAAACATCACAGAACCTTTCTAAAATTGTCAAAGAAGTTAAATTTATTTTTCTTGATGGATCGAATATTAAAAATGAGAGAGCAAAAAATATTAAAATCAAGGTTGAAGACAATGAAAAAATTTCAAAATATCAACTCTCTAATAAATACAATCCAAAAATGAAGTTTTCTGTAACCAATGTAGAATATGCGTCTGGATCTCAAATTTCTGTAATTAAGAGAATTAATTGATATATGTAAATTTATTTATATAATATATACATAGAAAGGATGGGTCGGGTTGAGAACAAAATGTTCGGTCAATTTCGGGTCTAAAAAAGTACCATCTACTTTCCCATTAAACTACCCCGCTTTTCCCATTACCCATTAAACTTCCCTTTTTTTGTACTTAATTTTAAAACGACTCAAATTATGCAAAATTTTTATGTTTTAAAAACCTACAAAATTAAGCACACACGAACACAATTATTGATTTGAAAAAATTTTTTTGATCCCGGTCCATCCTTTTTGTGTAATTTGATTTATTTTTTACGTTTGAAAAATTGGAGCTTTAATTTGACTTTTGATAAAAATATTTAAAAAAAACTTTTTAATCTTATTTAAAAAAACATCCTAAGTCATTCTATTTATCATTCGACTCGCCAAGGTGATCGAATGGCACGTCTCTTCAATATTGGCCGAATTTCCAGTATGCCGTAACGCGATTTTTTCAGCATAGCGAACTGGAGGTATCCCATGTGAGGTTAATCCCGCTTCTTATCTAAAACTCGGGATTTCGTGGCGGGATCTCCCGTACCGCAAACAGTTAATATATTCCCTCTAAATAAAGAATTTCAAATGTTAATTATGTAGTGAAGAAATCATCATAAAAAATAGGACTACGACAATAGCATAATTTGTTGGCATGGAAACGGGTTTTTAAAGCAAATTTGGACTCAAAATATTTTTAAGATGTTACACCATTAAAAATAATTCTTAAATGAGTACTGAAATACTTCGTGTTATAATTGACGGTCTCAATGCCCCTCCCTTTGATCGTAACTTGACACTGGTCAAGTTGGATTCTATGAGCAATGAGAAGTTGTTACAAACATTGTCTGATGTGCTTAGTTGGATTGAGGGGCTTGTACCTATTTCAGAATTTATTGACATTCGGTCAGAAAGTGCTGATGAGACTGCTATGCGAATTCTGGCTACACTTCGTATTTTAAAATATCCACCTCCACGAGATATTGACGAGATGTAAATAAATTTCTAATAATTTAAGAAAAAATTTTAATATATTTATTGTAGACAGCGCTGGAGATTAGATTTGTTAGAAGGAAACAAAAGAGCAATTTATCCAATCCTTAAATGGATTTTTGAAAATGTGGATCAGCTGAAGGAGCGGATTTATATTGGGTTAGGGAATTTTTAAAATTAGAAAATCTCCATTAAACATAATGGATTAAAAAATAATCTTTGTAGGCGACATCTTACACGAGTAGAAGTTCCATTGGAGGAACAAACACCCGAAGTAACCCGTCTTATGCAAGAAATGGAATTAAAAATGGAAGAATTTAAAGTTATTAATGTATAATGTGAAAATTAATTTTAAAGTTTTCAAGGTTCTACATTCACAGAATGTGGAAGCTAGAGGTGATTTCCTCCGTGCATTGGATGTGCGGTTTGTAATGTACTTTACAAATATTGTTAAATAATATTATATTTTTATATAGTAACGACCTTAAGGCAATGAATGAAGAACGTGAACAGCTCCAGCGGAAGATTGAACGTTGTAAAAGGCGTACAAGCAGACGTCCCGATATGGGAAACTTACTTAAAGTCCTAGTTTATCTAATTAGGCTTAAAATTTAAATTTATGTTCCAGACATGTGAACGTCTACGTTTGGAAATGGAACGTGCTCAGGAATTAAAAATGCAAAAAATGGATCAAGAAAGAGCAGTAAAAATTTCCTTCCTCCCTTTTATTTAAATACCCGTGCATTTTTAAATTAAATAGGTAAATCAAGCTGAACAACGAATGACGAGATTAGGACGTGTACTTACTGAGGAAGAGCACCGAAGGGATGAAGCTGATCCAAAAACTATTATTCAGAAACTTCGAGTAAATGAACCCTTAATTTTTAATTTTAAAATTTAAAATTAAAGAGAGAAATCGAAGTTAATCGCTATTTAATTGATGAAAAGCTAGAACATGACTTGAATACGTTAAAAACAAATTTGGAAGTTGTCCAACGTATCCTGGCACAGCCAAATGCGACAAAAGCGGATGTTGATAAATTGAAGGAAAGGGTGAATATTTAATTAATTTCAATCAAAATTACATTCACTTAATTTTATTAGATTGAACAATTGAACAGTGAATGTATGGAATTAGCTCTGCAACGAGACCGTAGAGACGAGGCATCGGAAGACAAACTTGCAATTTATCGGCATCAGTCAGTAAATGTGCAGCGGAAGAAAGCTAACGTGGCAGATCTTTTACAGATGACAAGGCAAAATATTTAAAAATCCGTAAAAGAATATTTAAATTAAAAGTCGAAGCACTAATTAAATATTAAAAAAATATTCGAAAATCTCTAAGAAATTTAATTTTAAAAATAGAGAGGAACTCGAAAACACTGAAAAATTATTAACTGAAAAGAAGAGAGAATTAAGCGAGAAAAGTGGCAAAGAAGAAGTGGTTACTTCTGTTCAATATAAATTATTACTTAACAAACTTCGGAATAAATCAAATGTTTATAAACGTAAGAAGGCTGAATCAGAACAATTAAAAGCTGAACAGCAAATTTTAGAAAGGTTAAATATTATGGGAATTTACATTTAAATGTAAAAACCTGATAAAACGTTGACTTGTTGACCCCCTAATAAAAATGGCCGACCATTAAATTAAAAGAAATACGGCATCCTTACATTAACATAATATAATATATTCCTAAAATTGTGGGTACATGTTTCTGGACTTGACAAATTTATTTTTTGTTTTATTTTAATAATTATTCATTATTTTAGAACATTAGAACTGTTAGAAGAACAATTTGAGCAAATTAAAGAAAATAATGTGAGAAAATAATAATTATAAAATAAATAAAATTAATTTTATTTTAAAGAAAGCTGAAGGTCGGGGAGTTATTGAAAAACTAGATGAAGATACAATACAAAATGTGCATCAACGACCTAAAACAGCCAAACCAAAATCTGTAGACATTGAACGTTTAAAAGAAATGGTTAAACAAATAAATGAACAAATAGAAGAACAGAGAAGTAAAGTAGATAATTTAAATGTGGAAATTGATAGATTTTATTTGGAAAATAAGGTGTTTAAATGGGAAATTTTTAATTAAAAATTAAATATTTAGGAGAAAAATGAAGGATTTTATGCATTAAAAGCAGAACTTGATAATTATCAAGAAGAATTTAAACGAGAAACGGAATTAAATGAAACGGTATTTTTAGAAATAATTTTGAAAGGAGAAATTTAAATTTAAGGAAGCAATTAATTTAGAACAAAAAATAAAAGAAATGCAATCAAAATTAGAAAATACAAATAATAATTTACAAAAACAAAAATGGTTAAGTGAAAATAGTGGAAATTCTGAACAGGTGGAAAGGAATGTTTAATTATGTAAAATATTTTTATTAATTTAAAGGTTGAACGTGCTTATCACACTTTGGAGGTATTTTTAATTTAATTTGCATTCCAAAAAATATTTTTTTATGACTATAACTAAGGATGACGGTTTCTGGGAAATCTCCGGATATCCGGAACCGAAGATTTCGGATACCCGGAACCGCTAACCTTAACTATAACGCCTCTTTGGCTATTAAAAACGCTTTTTGGACAATTTAAAAATTAATTTAAAATTTTCAAAAATTTTTAAAAAAATTTAGAAGCAAAAAGAAGAATGTAATCAACAAATTTCTTCATTAACTAAAGAATTTAATAATTTAAATGACCGTAAAGATTTAGTTGAACAAACTCAAATGTGGCAAAATCTTGTACAAATATTTGAAATTAAATTAAAATGTCAACAACAAATAAAGTTTTTTTTATTAAAAAAACTTTTTTTTTAATTTTCCAAAACTTTTAGAAATAGAGACGAAGCAAAACCTTGGGGTGATCAACGATAAAATGATTTTAATTTTAAAATATTTTATTTTAATTAAAATGTTTTGTCTTCCTCGTTATTTTTAATTAAAAGATTAATTGTCAATAAAAATGAAACAAGTAAAGGGGAAATTAGAGGGAAATTGTAATTAGGAAATTACTTGAGCAATTTATAAATTCGGAGGTTTTGATTTCCTAGCCCGGTACTCCGAAAATTGGATATTTTTATTTAATCTACATACATATTTAGTTTTTCCTGTTTTCCTTCCCTTTTTAATAGAAAAACATTAATACCTTTTTAGATATTCCTGCTATTTTTAATTATCGTTCATCTTTTCAAAAATACTTATTTAATTTAAAATATAAAAATAATTTTATTTTTTAATTAAAATCCAAAAAATAATTAAAAATATACACAAAATTAAAAAACAAAAAATACTCAAAATTAATTTCTTTTTTCTTGATTTTATTTGATATTCACTTGCTTGAGCTATTTGTAAATTTCCTTGCTGCATTTCAACAGCTGCAACTTCTATATTTGACTTGAAATTAAAAAAATAATTATTTCTAAAATTAAAAAAAATCTTTAACTTCAATAGTTTCAACAACTTCATTTTGATTGTAAACCATTAGAGATAAATCAGTTAATATTTGGTTAATATCCCCAATGTCTTTTTCTAATGACGATAATGTCTACAAGATAGAAATTATTTTAAAACAGAGGACTTTCTGTTAAAAATAAATTTTGATAAATATTTGTTAATTTGGACAATTCCAAAAAATTATTAAATTAAAATATTCCTTTTAATTTACCGTATTTCCTCTAAAATAAGCCCCAGGGCTTATTTTTTTCGATCGACCTCTAGAGGGGGCTTATTTTAGAGGAAATACGGTATTTTTAAAAATAAATAGTAACTTGTTGTCTTTCTTTTATTTCTTCCAAATTATTTTGTTGTTGTTGTTGCTGGGTTTGTTGTTTTAATTTAAACTCCATTATTTCTTCATTAATTTGTTGATCAGAAACATTCTGAATTTTTGATTTTTCGTAAGTAGCAGCCCTCCTTTTTGCTGCTTGTAATTGATTTAGAACACCTACAAAATGATCCATTAATCTATCCGTTTGTAGTTTTTGTTGACGATTCTTTAAATTAAGAATATTTTTAAATTTTATTTGATAAATTTAAAAATTTCTAAATAATTTTAATTTTTGATAAAAATACTGGAAATTAAATAAATTTTTAGGTAAAATAAATCCTTGGAAAATTATGGAAATTCTTTAAAAAATTTTATTTTCCTCATTAACATTTGAAAATTAAATTAATTTTAGCAGAAAATAAAAATCTAAATTTTTCTTTATTTAACTTCATTCTTTTATCTAAAAAATTAATTAAACTTTAACCTACACAATTATTATTTTCATTAAGTTTTTGAAACATTTGATTGATATTATGAGACAATTCATTACTTTTAATTAAAATTTGTGAAAAAGAATTTTGATTTTTTTCATCATTACAAGGCCCTCCTATTTTTTCTACGCATTGATTTAATTGTTGAGCTAAAATAAATAAATATTTTGAAAATAATTATTTAATTAAAATATTTTAAATTTAATTTAAAAATAATAAAACCTAGTTGATTCAAGGACTGAATATTATTTATTATTTGATTAATTTCGTCTGTATTATCATTAGAATTTTGATTCTCATTTTTTTCCAAATTCATTAAATCTAAAATTTATTAAAATATTTTTTTCGGATTATCTTGAATTTTATAAAAAAATTAAAGATCAACAATTTATTGATCAGTCCAAATACATACATATATAAAAAAAGAAGGAAAATATTTTCCTTTCTGCAATGTGTTGTTTAAGTAAATATGTGCTAAGTAAGGTAAAACCCCCCAACCCTAATCCCCGACTGCCCTTTTAGTTTTTGATAAGGAATTTGCTAAACCAAAAAGTTTACCGATCGTTAATGTTGACCCATAATTCTATTAAATAATTGGGAAAAAAAATTACTTAAATCTATTGATATTGTGAATTGATTACGGAATCACATTCAAATTTTGCTAATTTCCAACTTCCGAAGGGGGATAGTTTCCGGTTTCTAACACTTCCAATTTTTGACTATTAACACCCGTTTTTAAATAATTTTTTTGTTAAAATATTAAAAGGAATGACTGAAAAAATAAAACATTACCTAAATTACCCACATTTAGGACAACCACTAACCAAAATCTTTTTTTTTTTGCTTTTTTTCCTAATTCTTTTCATCTCCCCATACATCAAAAGAACTTTTCTTCCAGTAACTACTTTATTTAATCGACTCTTTTCTGCGCTCCATATATTCCCAAAAATCCCTTCATTTTTTTCTTGATCATCCATATAAACTCTTGTTGTTGTTATTATATTTATCCATTCCTTCCTTCTTTAAAAAAATGAATAATAAACATTTAATATATTTTTTAATTATTTTATTTCCTTCACCTGATTTTTTATTTTCTTTTTTCACAGCCGGTTTTGAATGTTTTGTATGTAATACTAATTCTGATAATGACGACACAGAACCTTGTATAGAAAAGGTAAAATTCGAAAAAAATAAATAGTTGGAAGCTACCATTAAATTGTCTTTGGATTGTTATTATCCGAAAAATTTTTTAATTAATATTTTTAAATAATTTGTTTTAAATTTGTTTTAATCCCAATATCTAGTTTTTAATTTATTATTTTTCCACTTAAAAGGTTCATTTAAATAAATAGTTTGTTAGTTATAATCTCGAGATAACAACAATTGATAAAATTTTGTGTTGAGAGTTGAACCTAAATAGTAATAAAGCTTCTTCGGTTCCTGATAGCCGAAATTTTTCAAGAACCGACAACCCTAATCAAAATAAATATAAATTTTATTAAAAAAGATAGAAGAATGCCCAGCAGGACCACCTGGAACACAAAGTTGTTCAACTCTCCTTTACTTCTCTAAACGTGGAACCCCTGGGCGTCCACACATGCGTAAATTTTGTACAAGTCCAGGCTTGGGAATTGGCTTGGAAAAATATCAATTGAATGAAGGAAAGAATGTTGGAGTATGTCAGAGTGTTGAACAATGGGTTGGCAATTAAATAAAATTATAATTATTCACTCTTCTTTTAAGTTACTTTCACAAATTGATCACCAATCTCCTCCCAATCCTGCTCCTCTAAATTCATTCTCAAAAAATCAACTTCCCTTCAAAAATCATTTAAAACAATCTAAATTAAATTTGCCAAAAAGAATAATATTTAATGATGATAAATCTGAAATTTTGGGAAGGAGGAAAAGAAGTAATAATAATAATGACATTATTATTAGAGATGGAAGTCCTTCACCTCCTCAGAGTCATGTAAAAATTTAATTAAAAATAATTTTAGAAGTAAAAGTGTGGATTAAAAAATATTTAGAAAAATATTTTATTTTTAATAAAATTTTAATTTAAAAACATTTTTAAAGTCATCAACACTTTTGTGTATTTGTAATAAACAATTATGCAATGAAGGTGATTTTGAACAAATTTTGGAAAATTCACATAATAATATTGGAATAATGAATAAAAACAACAAATTTAGTATTGAAGAAGAATAAATTTTGGAGGAGTGTTGTGGTGACATTAATTAAATAAAAATTATGTGATAATATTTTAAAAATTTATTATTTACTTTTTGCAATTATAAATATGCAATTTTATATAAAATATTTTAAATGTTTTATTTAAATTTTATCAGAAAAATTGTCTTTTCCTTAAATCTTTCTGTGCCGTACAATTATAAAAACCCTTTAAATTTTAATTAAACTCAAATTTAAAGTTTTAAATACATAAATTATTTTCTCTTAAATAAAATAAAATACACAAGCAATTAAAATACACAAACAATTTTAAATTTTAATCAGTTTTTGTCCTTCTATTATTATTAATATTTGTTTTAATTCCTCCCCCAATATTTTTATTTATATTTCTTTGTTTTGTTGTTTTACTTGTAGATAATAATGAAGGAGAATTAGTTGATGAACTAGCTGTTGTTGATGGACGTAAATTAGTTATTAAGCTTCCATCTCTGTTAGTAATTATTGTAGGGGATTCTGGGTTATTAGAGACTATATTAACCATTTGACGAAGTTTTTGAATTAAACGGTCAAATTCCTCACAGCTTTTAAAATTTTAAATTAAATTTTGATTTAAAAAATAAAATTATTATGTAACAAACTTCTCCCTTAAAGGGGGGCTTTATTCATATTTTTTTTCTGCGTGCCGACTTTTTCAAAAATTAAGGGGTATTAATTATAAGGGCATTTTTAAAAATTATAGGGGCTCCCATAAAGTGGCATTATTTTTACTTCCGCTTTTCAAAAATTATAATTCACAAATTTTTTTTAAATAATTGCTCAATATTTTTTGCTCAATTACTTAAAAAACCTTGGCTATTAAAAAATCATTTACTGTTTAAAATTTAATTTTATTTTAAAAGAGTTTAAAAATTATATCTGCCTATTGACTATCTTCTAATAAAGTTTTAAAATAAAAAGTAATTTAAAAATAATTTTCAAAAACTTACTCTTCTGCTTGCCGACCTATTTGTTGTTTAAGTCTACCACTAGTTAGTCTATATCTTTCAAGAAATTCATTAATTAATTCTGCTGCTCTTTTAACCATATTTTCTCGAATATTTAACTTTAAAAATATTTTTTGAATTATTTAAAATTAAAAACCATTTCAGTTAATTCCCCAATTCTTTCTTCCAAATCAGCTCTTTCTTCTCTCAATCCTTTATTTTCGTTTGCAAGTGATTGGGAAAGACTTTGTAATGCTTCTAATTCTCTTTGGGCTCTAACTTGTGCTGAACGGTGCTCTTTTTCTTGTAAATGTAATTCTCTTTGCTTTTTTGAAAATTAATTAATTATTTAAATTAATTTATTTAAAAAATACTTTTTCTTCCAAAGTTCTTGATGTTTCTTGTTGTTGAGACATTTTATCATGTGCTAATTCTAATTCCATTTCGAGAATGTCATTCTTTTGCCTCAACTAAAATATTTTAAAATGTTAACTCTTATTAAATATATTGTTTTTTAGAAAAGTTGAATTGTTGATTAATTTGGACACACAGAAAGTATCGTCATTATTCCTTGAAAATTTTCAAAAATATCCTAATATAGCGACAAACAATAATTCCCAGGTTTCCAGTTTTTTCTATGTTCCACGAGTAAAATATTTAAATAACTCTTTTAATTAATTACTTCATCAATTTTTATTTCTGCTTCACTCCTTTCACGTTCCGACCTTTCAAAGCGTTCATTTATTTGTTGTAATTGTTCATTAAGTTCATCAATTACTCTTTGATAACGTTCATGTTCTTCTCGACGATAACTAGCTTCTCTTTGTTCTGATTTTATTTTTGTTTCACTCAATTCTCTCTTAAATTATTTTTTGAATAAAATTTCAAAATTTATTTACGGGGAATTCAAAATCGAAATAATTGCCAAAAAACTTTTCTTCAAAAAATTCCCCAGTATTTTTTTAAATATCCAAAAAAAAATTTTAATTTCACCTCCAAGTCAGCTTCTCTTATTTTACTTTCTTCCAATTCATTATTTAAAGTTTCTATATTTAATTTAAAACGTTGTTCAATTCTTTCCCCTTCACTTTTTTGTTTTAAATTTTCTTTTAATTTTTCTTCTAAATTTATTTTTAAATTTTCAATTTCTTTAATTTGTTGTTTTAATTTGTTATTTAATATTTCAATTTCTTGTTCTAATTTAATTAATTTTGTTTCTTTTTCAGCAAGTAAAGGGGTTAATCCTTCTAATCGACGTTGTAATTCTACATTTTCTGTATGCAAAGATCGCCTTTCATCACTCATTTTTCCTAATAAATTTAAATCTTTTATATTTATTCAAATATTATCCCATTATTCAAAACTGCTATTAATCATGTTTTAATTATTAACTTCAAAATAAAAAGCCTTCTAAAGACTGAAAATCACAAAGTTCCGATTTTTGAGTCATTCTCGAAAATCTGGGAGGTTCCTGAAGGTTCCTTTACAAAAAACCTCCATTCCTGAAGAAATGGGAGTTTTTTGTTGGCAGGATCTTTGACACTAAGGGATTCAGTTATTATAGAGGTTCACTCTTCAAAGATTATTTTGGAAGATAAAAATTGTAGTTTGGCCTTCTAAAGAGTTCAACTAAAGGCAACAACTAACTATTGGAGTTCACTATAGAGTCAGTAAATATAACTTCCCCAACTACCAAATTAATCAAAATTTAAGGGAAACCTTCTGCCAATCTAAGTTTTCTCTCCAATTCTTGCCTTTCCCCTTTAATCCTCGAAATTTCCGCTTCTTTTATTCTAATTTCTTGTTTTACAAGTTCTTCCCTTTCTTCAAATTCTTTCTTCTCTTTTCTTCTTCCTAATAACAAAAATCTTTTTTCTTCCTCTTCTTCTTCTTTAATTTTTCTTTCTTCATTTCTTCTCTTCCAATTATTATTATCAGAATCATCCCCTCCACTATAATCAAAACTTTCTTCCCAATCTTTAATTATTTCTTTTCTTTTTTCATTTTCTCCATTAAAAAACCCAACTCTTTTTTCTTTTTTTAATAATAAATTATTTAATATTTCTTCTTTTTTATCTTCAAATTCGTCTTTTTTATTTATTTTTCTTTTTTCGTGATTATTAAATAAATTTGAAGAATTTCTTTGTTTCTGAATATTATTATAATAATTGTCTTCGGTTGTTGGTTGTTTTGCAAATAAAGCACCTCTGTCTGTAGCACCTCGTCTTTAAAATGAAAGTTAATTTCTGAGATATATTTTACAAATTTTGAGCGAATTTAATTAATTATCGGAATCCTTGGAACTTTTAAAAATTAAATATTTTTATTGCGAATTATTTATAAAATTTAACCAATACCAGGAATCGTAGGTGCGACCTTTTCGCTCACTCTCGTTAAGATGCTTTACCGACAAAGCTATCGGGGTTATGATTTCACTTTCTTTCATATGGATTCTAAAACCACCCTCAAGCATTTTAAAAGCTCCCAATTGGATCTTCCCATCCTTCCAATATATTTTCTTGAATAATTTAATAAATAAACTTACAAATAAGCATTTTCCAATTCGAGCACCTCAATTTGTGTTTGCAAATTCTGGACATAAACCCCCTCTAAAAAAGCCATACTTGGCACACATTTACAGTTTCCATTTCTACAATTACAAACAACTCTTCTACTATTTTGAGTTGAAGTATTAAAAACTGAAACGGCAGAAGTTGAAATTGTTGACTCTCTTCGATTATTATCAGCTAATTGTCCAGCACTTCCACTCCTTCGAATTATTGTGTTATTATTTTTATTTAAATAATTTTGTTTTTCATTTAATTGTTGTTGCTGTTTTCTACGTGTAATTGTTGTTATTCCTCTACCAAAAGCAACATTTGTAGAGGAAGGCACAGATTTTTGTTGAGTAGGAATGCTCTTTCCTTTATAAAAATATTTTAAAATTTTAAAAACATATTTAAGCTAAACCTGTAACCATTAAATTTGGATAATTATATGTAGCATAATTTAAATTATTATTCATCAAGTTAACTATGCTTGAATTTATTTTTAATTTATTTTAATGAGAATACAAGGCATTTTTTAAATAACAAAAGGATTATTTTAAAAATAAAAGTTTTTATTTAAAAATTAATCTTTAGCCTTTATTTTCTCTTATTTTTATTTAAAATATTAATTAAAACTATATAGATATTTAATAATTATTCGGCTAGAAAAGCTAAATTAAAAATAGAGAAATATTATTTGGTCAGCAGTTTGGTCAGCAAATGGTTGCTAATAGCAACGGCAGTCATTCAGCCTATCTTTAAATATTTTCATTAGTTTGATGCGAGAAAATAAAATGATTTTTGGATGGAATTTATGTAATATATACAAATAATTAAAATTTTATATAAAAATATTAGACATTAAATAAACATTAAATGAATTGAATGTCTTTTTTTAGTCCCGAAAAATCGAAAAATAAATTATAAAATATGCTGGTTAATAATTAATTAATAATTGGTTAATAATTAAATACTATTAGTATTTCTTCTAATTTCTTCTAATAGGGCGACCGGTTGATTTATTTTTTAACCATCCTCTAGGGGTCGGTTTATTAGAAGGGGTCGGATAGAGAAGTCGCTGTATTAGAAGAAATACGGTATTATCAAATATTCCAAAATACTTAGGAAAGCAATTTTGTTTTTTTTAATTTTTATTTTTTTAAATTATCAACATCTTTAAATGTTATATAAAAATTACAAATCTTAAAATTTATCTGTTTACAATCCATTCCCTTAACTTAAAGATAAATATATTTATAAATAATTTAAAAATTTTGTGTTTTATATTTTAAACTACTCAACTCCCGGTAAAAAATGAATATCCACAGTTCGGCTTCATCAAAAGTTTGGAAGTGCGTTCAGTAAACGGTTCCGATTTCTAGTAGTTTAAAAATTTTACGTCTACAAAAACTTTATATAATGCTTATATCCCAATTAAAGCTAATTTTTTCTTTTCCTCTTCTTCCTCTTCTTTAACACAATATTTACATTTGAATTTACTTTCTTTCATTTTTCTTATGTCACCTTTTTTATAACCTGCACATTCTCCATGAACCCAAAAATTACATTTTATACATTGAATTGAATTAACTTCAATCTTTTTACGTTCTCCACAATATTTACAAAAGCATTCATGTATTTTATTGTCATCTTTAAAAAGAATTATTCGGATATGTATTTAATTAACGATTCTCGCCCCGTCAGTCTTTGAGATATTTTCTCAGTCATACTTTTACTACCTAAAAATCCTCCAGACATTTCTGTAAATATCGAAAGTGCGGGACCGATTAGATTCGAACAACTTTGCTCAAAGTAACCAGAAATTATTTCAAGACAAAGCAGAATCGCAGCTCTAAAAGAATTCCCAGACTGCATAATTTATTTAAAGTTTTTAATAATTATACCATTAGCAATTATTTCTTTTATATATTCTCTTGTTATTGGATAATGTCCGATTTCCTCATAGGCAAGCCAACTATCTATAAAATTAAAGGTATTTATCATTTATCACTTTATAGGCTCCAATATTTATTTAGATTTTGTTATTAAAAATTTTGTTATGAGAAGAGTTTATATCATTTGAATTAACAAATAATTTCAAAACAAAGTTGGTAAAATCTGTAAAACGTATTTCTCTATAACACATAAATTAGAATAATAGTGAATAGATTTAAATTTTTAGGGTTAATTTAAAAAGATTGTTCATGAAAAACTATTTAAAAAAACTATAAAAACTCGACTATTTCTAATTAAAAGGAATATGTAGAAGGCAAGAAAAAAAGGAAAATTTTAGGTTGATTGTTAATTAATTAATTAATTAATTAATTAGATATATAAATATTTTTAAAAAATTATTTACTTTCACTAGGACCATGATTTTCCCATTTTACCTAAAATATATATTTAAATATATTTAATTATTAAAATAACCAAAAAACAAATATCTCCATCAGCATCCTCAGCAACATTCAAAATCTTTTCAATTTTATCGAATTTTTCTTTTTTATCCCATTTTTGTTTCTTTTTATGATAAATTTCTTCTCCATTACAAAGCTTATTTAAACGATTTTTTAAATTTATTATCTCAAAAGAAAAAAAATAAATATTTAATTTAGTAATTAAATAATAGTAAATTAAATAAATTCTTTAAAAAGAATTATTATTTAAATCAAATAAAATTATTTAATTAATTAACTTAACTGGATCTTCAGGCTTTATATTTTTTCCTTTTATTAATTTCAAATATGATTCAGGTGTTAAACTTTGTATTGGAGCCACTAAATAATTATTTTAAATTAAAAAATAAATAGTTACTGAATTAAATCAAATAATTTGTCTCGACTAGATAAATTAAATAATTATGTGGATTACTCCAACCTTTAGGAAATTCCAATTAGTTAGGACCTCTAATTCCGAAAATAGAGATTCTCCGCGGATAAACCAAAGATAGGGGTGTTACTAGGGGTGTTACTTTTCGGCACACTTTTGATAAGTATGTGCACTTATTAAAAGTGATTAAAATTTCTGTATTATCAAAGTCTATCCGCTTCCTTTCGGAACAGAAAAAAATTTAAAAAATATTTTAATTTATCTAAAAATAATTTAAAAGTTTACCATGAATTCCTGTAGGAACTAATTCTTTTTGTTGGTAAGGAACTATTGCAAGGTTATTTTTTGTTTGTTGTTTTCCTTAAAATATTTATATTTAAATAATTATTAAATAATTATTAATTAATTATTAATTAATTATTTATTTTAAAATTTAAAACCTTTATTTAATTTTCGATTAATTTCTTTTATTTTATTTATCAAATCCCCTCCTATTTCATTCATTTTCCCAATTTTTTCAATTAAATTAATTTTATAAGACAATAAATTAATTTCTTTCCAATTATTTTCTTTCAGTAAACGTTTATAATATTTTTCTAAATTTTTAATTTTTTGTTTCTCAATTCCAAAATTTTCTTTAAATTCTTTTGTTAGTTTATTTATTTTAATTAATGATTTATTTTCTAATATTGACAATTTGAAGTCTAATAAATAATTTAAATCAAAATTTTCATAATTCCTTTCAATTATCTGAAAAGTATTTTATTTTATTTAAAAAAACTTGGATAAAAAATTTGTTTAAACTCTAGTTTGGTTTAATGAAAGAAGCATTAAACCACATACAATATTCATACTTTTAAGAAATTATAGATGTGCGAATACGGTCATAATTCCGGAAAAAAGAAGGGTTGGCCCGAGAGCCCTCCAAAGTAAAGGTTGATGTCGCTTAACTATCCGACCACAACGTAGTTAATTTCAATTACGCTTTATCAAGTATAGAAGGAAACATCACAAGCCTCAACCTAATTATAGCTACATTCTGATATGACAATAAAAATCCTTCTAAAAAATATTCTTTAACCTGTCTTTTTAATTCAGGTATTCTCTTCTCAATAGGATTTTTCGGTAATTTAATTTTATATAAAATATTATTTAAAATTAAATTATCAGGAAATTCCAAAATAAATTCATCTTCATTTTTTGAATTAATTAAATAATTAATATTTTTTGTTTGTTTTTTATTTTCTTTATATATTATTTCAAAATGTGGGGAAGAGCTTTGTTTAATAAATTGAAAAGCTCTAGTTTCGCTCCAATCATTTTTAACAATTATAGTAATTTTGGATGTTTGGATTAATAAAAATAAATTAATTAAAATAAATAAAATATTTAGAATAAACATTTCCTAAAAAATATTATTTAGTAATTAATTTAGTTATTTTTTAAACAAAAATAACAAAAGAAGCTTTAGAATAAATTAGGTAGACAACAAGTAAATTAAAACTGAAACCACAGGCATCTTTTGTCGGGTTTTCTTACACTTCTCTAACATTTGTTAATCTTTTACAGCTTAGAAAACCCTATTTGATAGAGCTTAGTCTATGTTTGTTTATAAAAATTGTTTTTTAATTATGAAGCCCCCATAATGTAATAATTTAAAAAAATATTTCAAAATAATTTTTTTAAAGAAATGGGGGGAGGGGAGGGGGGGGGATTAATTAAAAATCATATGTTTGCCCTTTTATTTTAATTGATTGGATTTATCAAATTTAAAAAGAAAGAATTGATTTTATCTAATAAAAATCACATGAATATAATAAATAAATAATTTAAATTTTGAAATAAAAAAAGATATAAAAATTATTAAGTTTTAAATAGAATTTTTATAAGCCTAAAAGAGGCAAGCTTAGACTAGAAACTTTTTTATAATTTTAAAGATGACAAAGTTTTATTTCAGAATTTTGAAATTTTTGAGAAAAACTCAACTTATTTAGGGCCGTAGGCCAACATTTTTTGATTTTAAAAAGTTCATCAATACAGAAATTAACATTTTCAACCACCAAATTGATGTAAATTAAATATTTTTGGATAAATATGATAAAAAGTTATCGAAAATTCCCGATTTTTAATAAACTTTCTGGAATCGAGATGTCAGGATAACTTGTAAGTACATCCCAACATAAGGGCAATTTTTTATCCTCGAGGGTGTAAAAGGTGAAATACAAATGTATATACATATTTATTTATTCTTTTTAAATAAAAAAATTATTTGTTCCAGAGATCGATTGTTGCGCGCATTGGTTTTGGTTGTTGCGACGGTAGTGACGCGATATAATATATTTTTTTATTTTTTTATTTTTATTGCGCACTCTAATTGTAATTCCTTCGCACTGTCAATTCTATCTACTTAAATTAATGCTCTATTTATTTAATATATTTATTTATTTATTGAACATATGTATTAAAATGTTAAAATAACTTTTTTTCAATTTGCCTTCTTATTTGAAGAAAAAGTAAAAATTATCTTTTTTTAAATTTAATGTTTAGTCTAATTAATTTAAAATTATTATTTAAAAATAATTATTTAATATTTATATTTTATTCATTAATTAACTCGGTTTATAATTGGAGTGAACAAGATGAAGCAAAAAGAATTGCTCAAGTAAGGGAAAATAATTGAAGAAAAGTTTTTTAGATTATATATTTTATATCTTACATTAGTTTCAATAATTTCGAAAGATCCATTATAACTATCCAAAATTTATATAAAAACTTTTGGTTTTCATATAATCCCTGAAAAGTTTGGAATCCAAAGAAAAATTAATTTTTCTGATAAAAAAAACAATTATTATTCAGAAAACAAAAAAATTAAAAAAAATCAACTATTCTATTTAAAAATAACTTCAAGAGAGACAACAAAGCGCCAATGACTTGGTTTTGTTTTCATGATATTTTCTGAATATTTTGCTCGGGTTTTCCCAATATATATAAATTCTTAAAAATTATTTTAAAATATTATTTTTTAGATAAAAGAAGATGAAAAAAGAATTTTTGAATTCCAAACAGGCCAAAAATTACCACCAAATTTAATTATCAATCAAGATATTCCTCAAAATTTATTTCCTCAAAATGGTTTTTATTTTTAATTTAAAAAAATATTTTTTCTTTTCTTTTAATTAAAGAATATCTCCAAAAACAACAAAATTTATTTATTGAAGAAAAACAAAGATTTTCTTCAGTCAATGAAAGTTATCAAGAAAGATTTACATCAAAAGATTCTCAACAAATTAATTGGTGTTTTTATTGTGCTTCTCCTTTAAATATTTTATCTGAAAAAATGCAGAGAGTTGTTAGTTTATTTAAATTATCAAACAACCCTCCACATCCTCCTCCCTCTATAACTATTATTCATCCAATCTTTTCCTCTGCCAAATTATTTCAATGGTTTATCGTTAAATTATTAAATTTCCATAATATTAGGAAAAAAACTCCTTAAAATGTAAAAATTACCGTAAAATCCCTAATTGAATGGCTGGCAAGGTATTTTTCAATCAACATCAAAGTGTCATTCTACATATTAGATGGTGCCACTTAACTGAAGAGGCGACTGTACAAAATTATATACATTACCTAATTCTTTTTTATATATGTACATGAGATTGTAGAATATTTATTTATCTGAAAATATTCTTTTTATAATTAAAGGTAAAGAATTTACTCTCTGTCAGACGTGCACAATTCCCTTCCTCAGAAGCAATAACTAAAGAATGTACAAATCCAAAAAATTTAGATTTATTGCCAAGACAAACATGTCCAGGCTATAGCCATTGCCAAACATTAGTTTTGACTGATCATAATGCGGGGAATTCGTTTATTCTCCGCGGATGTGCGGAACGTTTTGGGGCTGTTGACCCCGAAGTTTTGGCCAAAAGGAAAGATAATAGTTGCCAAAGGTATATTTTTATTACATTTAAAATCCATCAATTCAAAATCCAAATATACTAATATATAATAATAATTAGCAATAGGTATTATTATTTTAAATAAATTTTTAAGGTTATGTAGATTAAGGGGTTGCAGCAGTAATAAAAATTTATCTGTTTATATTTAGCCCATAAATTAATGGAAAAATTAATAATTAAAGAAAATAAATAATTAAAAATATATCTCATTAAGAAAAATATTAAATTATTAATTTGTTTAGATTGCATGATCAAGTAGACATTCAAGAATGTATTTGTGAAGTTTGATTATATTTTAATAAATTAATTATTTTAAATTAATTTAAAAGAGACGGAAATATTGCTATTCTGGAATTGAAAGAATTTGGACAACAAAATATACTGAAATTGAAAATTGGAAAGGCCCTTTAATGCAAATAAATTTTGAAAAATATAATTTTAATACTTTAGCGTTAAATAATTCTTTTAGGGAAAACAAAAAATATTTTTATTTATTTTTTATATTATTTTATATTTTATATATTTAATTAATTAATTAAAAGTTTATTTTAAAAATTACATATTTACGACAAATATATTTTGTAGAAGATTATGAATTAAATTTTATAGTAATTCTACTAATATTTTACTAAACTAAAGGTAAAGGAGAGGGAGCACAATGGAAATCAAGCAAATCCCTCTTTTTGTGTAGAGTCTTCTTTCCTTCCTTTCATTACATTCAAGTGCATTGGGTGGTGATCTCCTTTATTTACACAAAGATCTGTGGAATAATTAAAACAAATTCTGCGTTCTGTACACAAATTCTTGCGCAGAACCCGCGGGCAATTAAGGCAGTTGTCATTCCCGACCTCCAATCTTGGAATGTTTTCTCAACATATAAATTTCGACATAAATTTAGTTAACAATAACTAGAGTATTTTATTCAATAAATTCATTTTATATTAAACTTCTACATACATAATTCACCAATATTTTTTTAAATCCCTTTCCAATTTTACACAAAATTTGCCAGTTTTTGTTCTTTTCACTTTTTCGCCTTTTTTTATACTTTTTTCATTTTTCAATTCAAACAATAGAAAATTCTATTTTAGTCTCCCTTTTTTAGTTATCGGCGTTAAAAACATTTATTTTTATATATTTTTCTTGTTTGCAACCAAAAATATATTTATTTAACTTTTCTACTCTTTTTTGGCCATTTTTAGTTTTTTAACTAAATATTTTTGCCCTTCCCTTATTTTTGGTTTTCTTTTAATCTTTTGTCTTTTTTGTAAAGAGAGCACAAAAAAATATAAATCTTCGCTTCTCTCTATAACAAAAGAAGAAGCAACAAAATATTTCCAAATTTTTAGGTTATTCAGAGTTAAAATTATGATTAATTTTGTGAATTATAGTTTTATTTTTTATATAAAATTCATTTTTTTTAGTTAGAAAAATATTAAAAATAAATTTTCTCCTCTGATAAATTCCAGAAAAAAAATAAAAATATTTTCTAACCTTCAATTCTCAGTAAAAATAAAAATACTTAGCTATTTATCTATTGACTAGAGTTGGCCGGGATCGGGATCCCGGTCGGGATCGGGCGGGATTATCCCGGTTTTTTTGAATCCCGATCCCGATTTTTCTGATCCCGAACCCGAAAGACAAATCCCGATCCCGGTTTTGGCCGATCCCGATCCCGAGCCGGGATCGGGACCGGGATCGGGATTAGCAATCGGATCCCGATGAAATCGGGATTTTATAAATTAATGAAAATATATATTAATGAGCTGAAAAGAAAGCAATTTGGCTTCTACGCCATCCAAAATTTTCAAAATTTTCGCCTGCGGCGCTAAAAATGAAGATTTTAGCTTGAGAATCTTCGAAATTTTTCAAAATTTTTGCCTCCGGCGGTGAATAAGAAGAGACTCATTTATAAAACTATCGACGGAATGGATTTGAACGGATATAATGGATATCCTAGATGTCCATCTAGATCCCAATATCTCATTAATCAACGATATCCCTCTTAATCCATCAGAATCACCTTATCGTTAATACTTTATCCCTCCTCCTTAATCCCTGATACGCCAAGAACAAATGCGCGCTGGGACTTAAAATCAATATTTCAGCACAGCAGATGAAAATTATGGAATTATATTGAGGTATATGCAATGTAAATAAAAATTTAAATTTTGAAAATTTTTTTTAACTAAATCCCGATCCCGATTTTTCAATCCCGATCCCGAGTCGGGATCGGGACCGGGATCGGGATCATTATTCCGAATCCCGATCCCGATTTCGTCCAATCCCGATCCCGCAGTCGGGATCGGGATCGGGATCGGGATCATCATTCCAAAATCCCGATCCCGATTTTACGTCGGGATCCCGATCCCGCCCAACTCTACTATTGACAATATAAACAAGTTTTTATTTGTTCGCTAAAATTTTATTTGTTTTTCAAAAAATATTTTTAAATCCTCGTGAACGACCAAAAATGTTCTGCATTTAAAAGTTGGTTGCCCATTTCTTCCATCATTCATTCATATTTAAAGTATTATGTAGTTTAAAAAAATAACTTTCAAGTGGGTAGTTCAAGTGCTCGTATATAAAAAATAAAACTATGTAGTTTTTTTATTTTTTGAGAATTTGTGGTTTGAATACATACATATGTACATATTTTCTAAATAATTTTTAAAATTTTTTATAAGTATTTCTTTCGTTGAGAGAAAAATTTAGTGGAATTATTACACGTATGGGCGATAAAGGTATCTAAAAGAATGGTAGTCTTATTTTTTAACTTATACCTAATAATTTTAATTTATTTTTGTAATACTTTGATTGCAAAATTGTAACACATTCTTCAAGAATACTTTTAATTTTAATTCTTTAATCTTAATTAAATAAATATATTCACATGGAAAATCATTCTTCTCTTCTTTCTTCTCCTTTCCCCTTTCATTCTGTGACAATCCAATTTCCTTTTATTTTTTTCTTCATTTTAGCCTTTCCCCTCCCCTCTACTTTCCAACAACCACTTTCCAACCACAAAATCACATATACTATATTCTCCTCTACTTATTATTACTAGCATCGCTTTTGTATTGTGTAGAAGAATAAGTATATATCCATCTTCATTTAGACAATAACAATTAAATAAATATATTTTTATTTTCTCTCATTTATTTATTTATTCATTCCACCACTTGTGTGTGTTCCTTTTATTTTTTGTTTTATCAATATCGAGAATTTTTGAAGAAAAAAATTATTTTTATTAATATTAAATTATTTAATTCTCATTTATATTTTTATTTAAAAGTCGACAATAAGAAAAATTTAAAAATAAAAATTTTTTAAGATTATTTTAAAATAAAAGACTTTAATTTAATTTGAGAATGTTTTTGTCTCTGGTTGAATTTAAAATTAATTTTTGAGTAATCACAGCTGGAATTTTAAAATTTATTTATCGATTTTTATTAAATAAAAATAATCGTTAATTTAAAAAGTTTTGTATTATCCCTTATCATCAAAGAATTACAAAATGAGGAAAAATTACAAAAAAAAATCCCTAATTTAATTTCAAATATTTTATTTAAATAAATTTTTAATTTTATTTTCATTTAAAAAATATTTTTGTTTTTTTCTTTATTAATTTAATTTCTTCAGTTCAATAAAAAGTATTTTTAACTTAAAATAGTCTCACATTTTTGTCTTTATTATTTTTTATCAAACAAATTTAAATTGGAATCAATTTGTAAATACATATACATAGAGAAAATAGAAATAAAATTAGTAAAAATCAAAAATTTTATTTTTATAAACTGAATAAATTGAGTAAATTAAATTATTTTTTTACTGATTTGTTTATTTTTTTAAATATTCTTTTAATTAATTTCGAATTGTGTAAATTAATTTAATTAATTCTATAAATTTGTAAAACTTTTAATTATCATATATGTATTATACATATTATTTAAATAAATTTAATTTTTTTGTTTTAGTCATAACCCAAGAGATGTAGTTAATTTGTATTTAAAAAATTAATTTTTTAAATGAAATAATTAAATTTCCTTTCATTTTTTTCATATTTTTTAATTTGTCACACATTTATTGTTATTATCATTTCTAAAATATTCATCAAATTCTAAATAAATAAATATGTACAATCATAAAATAATTATTTTATTTATTTTTATTTGTTTTTTGTTTGTTGGAATTTATTATTTATTTTATAAAAATATTTTTACAAACAAATAAAAATATTTTTTTCTAATGATTCACATTTTTTTATTTCTTTTATTCCTCTAAATGGGAAAAAATTATTGAACACATACAAAATATTTATTTTAAAAATACATATATTAAATAAATATATTTTCCTTAAAAATTTTTAACGTAAAGTGAAAATTAAAAAGAATTTTATTAAATTTATTCTTTTTAAATTTAAAATATAAATATTAATTTTAAAAAATCAAAAATAATTTTTTTAAATCTTCAATATATTCGGAAACTTTCTTATAAAATTTAATTTTAATAAATTATTCTTTCTTATAAAAAAATAATTTTTATTTTAGAATGTTTTTGTATTTATTTCCTAATAATTTTTAATTAAAATAAATGAATAAATTAACTAATCAACAACAAAATGGGTTTTCAACTAAACAAAATAATGGTAATAATCATCATGTTTCGTTTGTATTTGATGATGTTGATCGGCTTCATTTACCCACAAATTTATATATGCCTAAAAATGATGTAATTAAATATTTATTTGAAAAATAAATTTTGGTTAGGGAATTGGGGGTTTTTTGGAATTTTTGATTGATAGAATATCTTTCCCACTATTTGTACCTCAGTAAGAGTTTAGAAAAAATCTAGGCATCGAAAGGGAATCGAACCTGCAACTTTGCTGACAGTGCTCGCTTGGCAACGATAAAACTTGCAGGTGCTCTACCAAATGAATGGGATACCGAGGACAATTTTTCCTTTCGCTTTTCTCCTTTTGATCATTTAACCCTTCCCCCTCCCTCCCTCGCATAAGCATTGCAAATGCTGCCAGATTAATCATCCTTACACCTCCAACTTTTAATTCTCAATATTTCCTCCATCTATGGCCCATACCTTATTTTATATTAAACCCCCCAAATCATAAATTGATTTTAAAAAATTAATTTTAAGTCCAAAATTTGTCAAAAACAACAAAAAACAAATAATAATATAAACACAACCAACAACAACAATCATCAACAACTTCCCTCCACTTCTTGGCAAATGCCTTTAATTTTACCTTATTCTGATTTAAATAATGAATACACAACTTCACCTTTACAAAAACAATTAAATAACAAAACAAACGGGAAAACTTTAACAAAAAATAAAAAACAAAAAAGAGAACAAAAAGAAAATTGTCAAAAACAATCAACAATTCCTTTAAAATTAAAAATTGTTTTGGTTGGCTCGGGATGTGTTGGAAAATCTTCTTTAACTATTCAGGTGAGAAGTTGGTCAAAAAATAAAATTCCTATATACTTTTCTATTTTTAAATTAAAGAAAAATTATTTTTTATTTTTAACGTAAAATTATTTTCTAAAATTATTTAACATAAAATTGGAACTTAAATTTTATTTATAAATTATTTATTTATAGTTTGTTCAACAATATTTTATCACTGAACATGACCCGACCATTTCTGATATTTATATAAAAAATTGTTTTGTTGATGATGTGCTTTATAAAGTGGAAGGTAATTTAACATAAAATATTTTTGTTGTAATATTAAGTATTAAATTTTTAATAAAATTTAAAAAATGTTTATTATTAAAATTATTTTTTAGTTGTAGACACAGCAGGGCAAGATGAATTTGCTGAAATGCGTGAACCCCATTTTCAAACTGGTGATGGATTTCTTTTAGTTTTTTCTGTTGCTAGTAGATCTAGTCTTGAATATATGCTCAAATTGAGGGAATTTATTGAAAACTACAATAATTGCAAAAATTTGCCAATGCTTTTGGTTGGAAATAAATGTGACTTGGAATTGGAAAGAGAGGTAAAAATGGGAATTTTGATTAAGTCCACATTATTACGTGACTGGAAACAGTTAAGTCTTTGGGGGAAAGCACGGGCACTTTATCTTCATTCGATCCCCTTTTTTATTTAAACATTTAAACACAAATTAATTTTAAATCAGATTTCTCGATTGGAAGCTGAAGATTTGGCAGCTAATCTTAAAATTCCTTATATTGAATCATCAGCTAAATTTCGTCAAAATGTTGATCAAATATTTCACACATTAATTCGACAAATTCGCCAATTCCAAAATACAGAACAACAGCAAAATGGAAAGATTAAAAATCAATTAAAAGCTAATAATAACGGGTATTTTGAGAATAATTATAATAAAGAAGTTAAACAAGAAAATGGGAAGAGGAAAAAACAAGAAGCAGAAAAAATTAAAAAATCTGGAATTTGTAGAGTACAATAATAATTAATTATTTGTTAAATTAAAAATTTTTTTATTCTTTTTATTTCATATTATTAGGTGATAAAATTCAAAAAAAAATTTTGTGAACATGGGGGAAAAATTAAATATTTAATTAATATATAAAAGTTTTATTTAGAATGCCTCACAATTGAAAAATTAAGGTTATATATGTGTAATATTTTAAGTAATTCAATAGAACCTTGCAAATTATTAAACCGGTATAAAATTAAATTTCATCGAATAAAATATATGTATTTGTTAAAGCATAATTTGTTAAAAATATTTCATTTTTGAAAATTCTGGTTAATTTTCTATTCGATAAAATAAGGGGGGAGGGGGCTTTCATAGAATTTATGGATTGGACAAGAATATACCAAAGAGCCTTTTTGAAGTTAAATATGTAAATTAAACTCATATCGAAACTAAACCCGATTTTTCTTAGGAAATTCGGGAATTTTGTTTCGATAACTCGAAAAAGTCTCAAGTATCGGCATATCCGTCCAATCCCCAATAAAAATTTATAAAAAAAACAATTGATAAGAGAAAGTAGGAAAGTGAAAGCTCCTATTAGATAGGGAAGTAGCACAATTTAAGTTAGCACTATAAAATATTAAATGTAAAGTGAGTGTAAGTAAAACTACTAAATCACAGATTTAAATATAGAAAACAAAAAATTAGAACCACTCAAAAAAGCCACCCAATTAAGAAATTAAAATCCCGACTCCTGCCTCTTCCGACTTCCCTCCAAAATTTCGTCTTCACTATCCGAACTGGTAAAGTCTTGTTCCACATCAGCCAAATCAGATGTCTTCAATGGCTTGAAACCCTTAATATTTTTATATTTAATAAATTTTGAAATAATTTAGTACCTGTTTATCAAATAAATCCTGCTTTTTTGCATGGCAAAAACTCCAATAAATTAAATAGACAGCAAAGCATATTGAGAAGAAAAGAATTATAAAGACTAAAGTGGAGCCAATGGCAAAATTTCTCGTTGCAAGTGATTGGGGATGAAGAGGGATTGAAACTAAAATATAAAAATTAATTATAGTCTGAAATATTTAGTTTTTTAATTTTTAAAAAGTATTCCCTACCCAGTAATTTTAAAATTTTGTAATTTCTAATTAATCTATTATTTTCACTATATTCGTATCTTTTCATAACAAATTTACATTCATGTTTACCTCCATTTTCCAATTTTCTTATATTCCCTCTTTGCGATTCATTTCCATTTATCAATTTTTTTCCACCCTCTTTCTGCTTTGAAGCATTTAATGAAGGTACAATCCTGCTCGAATGAATCTCAAAATGCCAAAGAATACCACGACTTCCAGCTATTTCGCCCACCCAAACATTGTTACCATTCGCCCTGAGTACATGAGGTAATTGGAAATCTCCGGATTGGGGGCGGAAGGCGTATTGAACGTGTGTTGAATTTGGCTGCACAATATAAACTTGAATTTGTCGAGGCTTTCCATCTTGTGTTGGCGGAGAAAATCCCGGTACAAAAAGTAGACCAATACCTAAAAAGTCAAAATCAGAAAAATTCTCTCAAAATCTTTACAAACCCTGTTGATAGTAGACAGAATAAACAGTTGAATAGAAATTTGGATTTTTTATGTCAAATAGCGGTTTATGGTCAGAAATCGAAAATACTTGAGTCCTCCCATTTTCCCGATCTGCAACAAAAATACGTCCTCCCTGCTCATCCTTTAAAGAATTAAAATTTAAAATTCATTAAAATTAATTACAAGTGTAATATCGTGTGGAAGGGAAAATTGACCAAGCCGAGATCTACCAGAATTGAATTCGCCAAATTGAGAAATAAAGCGTCCTTCACTTGAAAATTTTACAACCTAAAAATATTAATTCAAAATATGCTTTAATTTTTAAAGTTAACTCACTCTATTATTGCAATAACCATCAGCAACATAGACAGAACCATCCATTTTCGAAACTACAACACCTGCTGGCTTACAAAAATGATTTTTATCAGAACCTGAATTTGAAATAAAAATTGTCATGTTTTTAAAGAAAATATATTACCAGGCATGAATTTTACACCCAAACTCCATACTTGTTTAAGTTCTTCTAAAAAATAAATAAAAAATTAAACAAATATTTAAAGCAGATTTTATTATTTCTCTTAAAATCTCAATTTCCGATTCCCTTCATTAACTCTAAAAACCTAACAAAATAATCTTTCATTTATTTCATACCATTATCAATTCTCCACTTAATTACTTGATGAGATCCAACGTCTGTAGTATAAATAAATGCATTGTGATCAACAAAAATACCATGTGGAAGATAAAAACTTCAAAATTATTGAAATATTTAAATTAACAAAATTTTAGTAACTAACCGTTTTTCACCATATTTAGCTAACAATTTAAGTTTTTCATTATCTTCAACGTTGACAATTAAAATGACTGGATCATTAATAGGTGTTTTATCAGTAAAAACATTATTTTCATTAAAAGTGCTGAAAATAAAATAAATTTTTTTAAAGATCCCAAACAAGAACTAAAGCGAATTTTTCGTTTAGGAGGATCAAAAGAATATTTTAGGTAACTGACTTCTGATTCCAAAATCTACCAGCACGATGAAATACAACCAAATTTCCATTTTGATCAAATGTTAGACCTGCAATCTGTCCCAACTGTATATCGGCCAATTCCTCAATTCTATGGCGCTCTAATACCCCAAATGGCTCCGCACTGTGATTTGCCTGATGTCTCAATTCGGGGTGTGGAGGTAAAAGCTTCGTTCCTTCTTTAAGAGAAATGAATATAAAATTATTTTTAAAAAATATTTTACCTTCGGGGTACTCATTTGCTGGAAAAGATGCCGAATTACCAAAACATCCTGATCCATAAGGGAATGGGTCAGGGTCATTTCTGTCTTGGTAATACATCATGTAAAAATTACACATTTCATTTGATCCCATACTTCCCATCGGAACTTCTTCTGTTTTATCACTTGAGTCATAACGACTAAAAAATTACTTAAAAATATTTTTATTCACGGAACTAACCAAATAGCAGCTAAAAAGTCTCCGTTTTCAATAACTAAAGGAGTCTCTCTTAATTGGAAAAGCTGAAAGGTTAACAAAATTTTATTTTAGAAGGAAAAATTTAAAAAACCTGTGGCCATAATGGGTTACGTTTTCCAATTTGTAACCATTTCCTAGTTTTAGATTTTTTAACATAAGCCGAAACAAGTCTTCCCATTTCGTGTGTATGCGTTCGAAAACTTGAAAGTTACGATAAAAATCAAAAAATAGAATCGAGAAAAGGGTTACTAGAATAAAGACAAAAATGGATGGTCTTCTCAAAATAAAACTAAAATTAGGAATCTAATATTAGATAACTCAAACCCAGTTTGATTGTTTACATGGGACAATCAGAAAAAGCCGAAAATCGGAAAAAAGAGAATATTATGTATAAAATTCTCTTACGCGAAAGGATATAGTTTTGTATCAGAATTATAGCTACAGCTAACATTTGTATAAAAAGCCGAATGGCCAGGTTGTATAGGCATTCCGCTAACAAATAAATAAACTCCAGCAACATATTGAGGTTTTTGACTTGTTAGATGTAAAGTAACTCCTAAAAATAGAAAAATATAATTAAACAAGGAGGAAGAAAAAACCAGAAAAGTCTATCACATTGCCTTCAAATGGCGTTGCATAATGAATTCTGAAAATTATTTTAATAATCATACAATTAAATTGGGGTTATTGTGGAAAATAAATTTAATCTTGGGTTACTAGAACTAGAAAAAGGGTTACTAGAAAATTTAAAAAAAATATTGAGATCTCTCTAAAGTTTTTGTTCGTCTTTTAAACAAAAAATTTTATGAAAGAAACAAAGATACTCCCAAATGGTAAAAACTAGCAAGTTAAAACAAGGTAAATATTCCCCATATTTTTCAAGGATTAAATTTCCAATTTAAAAAACTTACTGCAAAATAATATATTGAACAGAATCACCTTCATTACCAATAGCAAATCCAACATTTTCTGGTAATACAAGAGGAGGTGCATTTCTTGCCTCAAGAATTAAAAAATAATTTTTTAAAAATTTAAAAAAAACCCAAGCATATAAAATATGATTTCCAGTGCTACACGTTGCACCACCTTTTCTTAGAAAATAATTTAAAAATTTTAAAAATATTGAAACCTCTCCAAAAGTTTTTGTCCGTATAAGCAGGAGTTGTGCAACCGTAAAGAAGCCTGAAAAAAATTGATTTAAAAAAAATAAAAAGAAAAATCAGTATAACTAAAACAGAAAATTCAATTATCAAAAAAATTAACAAACATGTGGTGAACTCGATCAGCATGCGCAGCCGGCTCAAATTTTACTAAAATAAAAAATATATTAAAATAATTAAGACGTCAAGTTTATAAATCGAAATACATTTTTTAATTACTTAAGAAGATAAAAATAATTCTAATTTAAATACCCACTAAATAATTTCTTTCAGAATTCAATACAAAATATTTTAATTATTTTTTAAAAATATACCAATATAACCAGGTTCAGCTTTCATCGCCACAGACACATAATCATCATTCTAAAAAATAAAATTTAAATATTTTTTAATTAAATAATCTACTTGTTCAGGAGAATATCCTTGAATTTTAATTGTCGATTTTCTTAATTCATTTTTATTTGAATGGATTGATGTGACAAAATTAATAAAATGAAAAATAAATAATTGTAAAAGAAGGGCATAAATGGATAAATTTTTATTTAGCATGTCTTCCCTTTTCTTCCTAAAAATTTAATTTTTGTTAAAAATTGAAAAAATTATTTAAAATTTATAGGGATAAACCTCAACTGAGTCCCGACTCAAACAAGTCCCGGGCCCTATAACTTATGAAGGGCTGTTCACTTTTTTTTTGTTCTTGGTATCTTTGGATCGGTTAAGGACGATTCAGTATCGCCGATTCAGTATCCGCCGATTCAGTATATGGCCATAACTTTCCTGATATTCGACCGATTTGAATAATTCTCATATCATTCGAAAGGTCTCAAGATTCGACATCTTTTTCATAATTGGCCCGATCTGATCTGATGATCACAAAAAAAGTTACAGCGTGAAAACCGATTCTTTATGCCTGTGACGTCGTTTATCAGTGATAACTTTTTGTAGAGTGATAAGATCAGGTCAGTCCAATTATGAAAAAGATGCAGCACCCCGAGGCCTATCAAATCATATATAATAATTCCCACAATATTGATCGAGCAAAAAGTTATGGCCAAAAAAGCCAAATACTGAATCGGCCAATACTGAATCGGCGATACTGAATTGGCGATACTGAATCGGCGATACTGAATCGTCCCCTACCCCTTTGGATAGAGCATTAAATAGGCTACAATACCCCAAAAAATCAAAATTTTTGGCAGACGGTTAAAAAAGCTACGATCGATAAAGTGCCGAAAAATCAGATTTTTTAAAAAGTTAGTTTTTGGATCATAACTTTTTTATTAATCGATCGAAAATTCTGATTTTATGGTATCTTGTAGTCCATTTAATGCTCTATCCAATGGTACCAAGAACATTAAAAATTATCCACCCCTTCTTGATTTATAGGGCCCGGACTCAGTTGAGTCAGGACTCAATTGAACAAATATTGGCCAATAATGCGGAACAGGATCATTGAGTCCCGCCGGTTGAGTCCCGGAGCCACATTTTGGACCATAACTTTTCCAATTCTTAATCAATTTAGTTAATTAATATTTTAATCGAAAGCTCTTGATGTAAGTATTATTTTATCTATCAGGATTGATCTGATCAGATCAACATACAAAAAGTTACATTTTAATAAAGGTCAAAAATCACGATTACGCGCACTTAACTGGATGTAACTTTTAGTAGGATAATCTGATCAAATCAATGTAGTTAGCAAAAATAATCCTCACATCCAGGGCTTTCGAATGATAAAAGATTTATTCTAATTCATTGAAAACTTAAAAAGTTATGGCCCAAAATATGGCTCAGGGACTCAACCGGCGGGACTCAATGATCCCTACCCCCAATAATGAGTTGGTCAAATATTTGATCATCAATTCCTCGCCACTAGACATTTCGCCATGGCAAGTGAATTTTTAATAAATGTCACAGATAAATACTATTAAAAGACAAAGTTTGATAGATTTTATCGCATAATTATTTTTGTCGTTGGTAAAATATTGTGTTTACTTTGCAAGTATTTTTGTTTTCGGAAAATGTTTAATATCTACATAAATAATGCTTTTTAAATAAATAAAGTATATTTTTTGTAATTTTTGTGGTTTGCATTTCGTTGTAATTTATGTGGATTTTTAATGACTAATTTTTCAACTTATTTTTTTATTTTTGCCTATTCAATGAAAAATTTTTTTCAGAAATTGAAATAAAACTGAAAACATTGTATTGCAATAAATGGCCGATTTAAAACTTTTTATTGATCCATATGAAGCTCCATATCCTAGCACAGTACGTGAATTGCTTAATGACAGTGAGTAATTTTTTATAATTTTAAATTAATAATTATTAAAATAGCTGACAAGAGGAAGGCTAATATTTGTGCTACCGCCACTCCGTTAGGAAGATGTCTGCTTGTCTGCAATAATCATATTTATGTTTGGTCGTTTACAAAATCTGTAGGGTTTAAAGATTTTTATAGTTTACTATTATTATTAAGGAATCTGGAATCCCGCATGCAACTCATATGGAGTTGCCTACTACTGGTTTGAAATATTCTGTGCAGCTTGTTTGCCTTTTCAACAAGAGTAAATAATTTTTTAATTATTAAAATTTATCAAAGAGTTCATTATCATTATATATAACACACAGAAACATGTTTTCTGGTTGTTTCAGACTTCTGCTTTAGGGGAAATTAGTTGAATTTATATATTATTGAAGGCATTGCCCAAAGGTTTAATTTTCAAATTTAACAGGTCAAGCTTCCAAATATATGAGTTTGCTTGCAATTTCACCTGAAGGCCATCTCAGATATTGGAGTGAACTGGGCAAACAACCAAGAAATGAACAATGTCTTCTGAATAATGAAGTTGCCCATTCTATTCAACAAATCAACTCACAAGGTTACAATTTTAAATAAATTCGATTTTTTAAATGTTTTTTTTGAAGAGAATGTTCATCGATTTCTTTTGACGACAACAACTGGTTCTTTTCACATTATTGACCTTTTCCATGGATTGGACCAGCCTGATCGATTAGCAACACGCCCTCTGGATGTTGGTGGACCCGGGGGAGGAATTGGACATCGAATGTCTCTTTTGCTTTTTGGAAGTTTGACTGCAGAGAAGGAAAGGTTTGGAAAGAGGATTTTAAATATTTAAGAAAAAATCATTTTTTGAATTTAATTTTAGGATTTTGAAAACAATTTTTGTTCATGGAAAGATGAGCCCGCGTTCAGACGTTGTTAATGTTCTGCGTCGTTGCCTACGATTCTACTCAATTTTTGATCAAAGAGCATTGGATCATGAAGTAGATATTGCTGATTTGGCTCTTATTAAATTCAACAAGGTATCCTTTTTGAGTTTTTTTCGATTTTTTTTCAATTTAAAGAACTGTTCTCGCTCTGAAAGACGTCATTTTAGTATTGTCGATGCAATTCAACATTTGAATGGAATTCTTATGCTTTTGGTTGGCGAAAAGAAGTCTAATGAAGTTAGTGCGAGAGATTACTTGGTTGATAGAAAGCTTTTTATTGGTTAGTTCTTAGTATAACGCTAATGCTATATTTGTTTTAATTTTATTAGGTTACTATGAGGAAAAATTTGAAAAAGATGCAATCCAGCGCAATCTTCGTACCTTAACTGAAATTGAATTACCAGAGTCTCTATCTGCTGTCGGGATGGTAATAATGTTTTTTAATAAATAGAATGGAGTTTGAATAACGTTTATTCTTAAGGATAAGCGTCTACAAACGGCGCAATTACTTTCTCCTAGTACTGATGAATGTTGTGTTGCTTTTTATGATTCTTTTGTTCTCATTCGTCATTATGCTGCCAAATCACGTTTTGTTTATTTTTGTCCTTTTAAAAATGTCAATTTTAGGTGTTTCTTTTTTTATTCTCGAAAGCTATGCAACCAACAATACAAAAAGCCCGATTCGGCAATACACTGGTGACACACTTTTCGGCGTAGGTTGAGTCTTTAATTTCAAAATTTTTCTTTTTTTTAGTCTGCTGCAATTCATGGATCTGCTACTTTGGTTCTCAAAGACGGTGGTGTTTGCACTGTTCAGCGACTTCCCAGTCATTATGACTTAACTTTTTGGAAGAAAGTATTCATTAAATTCTCTAAATTTAATACTTTAATTTAGCACCAAGAAATTTTATATCAATTGGACACACAAGAGAAATTTACTGTTACTGGCAGCGAACACCGTTTGAAGGATGCTTTTGTTGAGTTTTGTGCCAAAAACATTGTTTGTTAAATTAGCTTTCAAAGCAAATTAACGATTAAATTTTAAAGAAACGGTCCAAGAAATTATTGCGTGACATGCTTAATGATATGCAGAGTTCTGGTGGATCTGACACTGCTTCAGCTTCACATCAACAAGTTTGTGAAGTATGTCAAATAAATTTTTAATTTTAGGAGAAACATTATGACGGATTGTCAGAATTAGCTGTTGATTTATTGCTTTATTTTCTCGATAGACAACCTATGGCAAAAGAGGATGAGCGTTGGGGATTTGTATCTGATTCTTTAATTACGAATGGTTTAATTATTTTAATGTTATTTAACTTTTTGCTGAATTAAAGAACAACAAAAGCTTTTGAGAGAATTGGCAGAAACAAAGAAATTCACACTTCTATTGCGTCAACTCCAAATTAAATTGTCCTTTTACAAGATGTTTGTACTTTTCCTGCGTACATACAAACTTACTGATATGGTCAATTTTTATTTTGTTTTTATTGGGTTTTCATTATCTGCGCTATTCTTGCTTTTCTGAGTAGATGATATGATGTATCTTTAGTCTATGGGATCCTTTGACCTTGTTTTGTCTTTCTCATTTCAGATCCTTTATTTTCAGATTGAGTATCCATTACAATCTTTTCAAATGCGTAGTGGCAAGGCTGTTATAGCCGAATTAGGTGAAAAATTAGTGTCGATGATTGCAACATTTAGATGGCTTAGCGAGCACAGTTTGTCTTTTTTATTTTTCTTTATAACTTAATTAGGTCAATCCTTGCCTTTGGTCAACCGAGCAATGAATGAATTGGCAAAAAGTTATGTAATCCGTTTTGGTTTGCCAAAAAGTAATCCTTATTTAAGTCCAACTGATTATGTTTATAGCAAGGTTAAGAATTTTATTTTTAGATAAATTACCGAGTTTTACATTTAAGGTTTCAACATTTCATGAGTTAGTTTCGTCTGTTGTTCAAGCTGGTGATCAGGCAATGTTAGATAATTTACATTCAAAAGCACAAGTTATTATTGAGGTTCATTTTCTTTTATTTAATAATATCATTCTTTATTGTTAGGTTGGATCTTTACTTCTAACTTTGGTTGAAGGTGTTCAGGATGCTCGTCATGAGGATTTTGCAATTCATATAGAAAATGATATTTCGACATGGCTAAATCAACCAGACTTTCTCACCCATTTTACCGCTCATGTTTGTTTAAAAAACTATTTATTTTTCTTTCCTTTTTAATTAGTTTGAAATATAAGCCCACACACTAACGCACAATGTTACTATTTAAATTTAGCTATATTATAATCAAAACTCTCCACGCTTTCCTCAAAAAAACTTTTGGATTATCTGAACCTTTCTTTTAGCTAATTTTTAAAATAATTAAATTTCTTGCCTCAATTGCTAAATGTCCATTCATAAAATTAATGGGTGTTTATTTCTTGAGGCAAAAACAATTGAATAATGATTAAGGCATTATTGACTTTTACCTAGTTACTAATGTTGGAATTATTTATTACATTTATTAATGAATCTTTTTTAGAATTTCATTTAATCTAAAATATTTAAGTTAAATACTGCTCTTGACTTTTTGACTTCATCAATTCCTGCATCAGCAGTTACAACATTAGATGAACAAACACAGCTTCCCACTCCTCATTCAACAATTTATGAGCAATGTCTACAATTGGCACATTTTGTTCTTTCGCAACAATCTTCAGCTCAACGCAATGACTCAGAAATTATTTCACGTTTTGCGATGTTGGGTCATCAAAGGGATGCTTTAGAATTGGCTGAAAAGTATAGAGTATGTTTATATTTAAATATTTTTTATTAAAGACTGACAGCAATCAGTCAGTCTAGGGCTTAATTTTTGAGAAAATGAAGAAATTTAAAATATCTTTCATGAATAATTTTTAAATTTTTACAAATCTAAATAAATTAAAATATTATTTTAATAAAATTAAGGATTTTACTTTCCTCGTTGTTTACTGCTACAATAGACTTGATAAACGACAATGTGAGGAAGCATTGAATAGATACAAAAAAGAATACGAGAATGATAAGTGGGGAATTTTAACTTTTTGATTTCTTTAAATTTATATTTTATTTAGTTTTTACGATTTTCTTTATACTTGGTATCAACAAAAAGGTTTTTTTAATTTTTAAATTTCTTTAAATTTTGAATAATTTAAAGGAATGTTTAATCATCTTCTTGCTGAACCTGGGAAAAAAGCTAGTGATTTTCTAGCAAAACGTCAAGAACTCAATTGGATAAGACAAGTTGAAGAAGGCCAATTTACACAAGCAAAGATAACATTGAAAAAGATGGCAAATAATGAGAAAGATGAAAACAAAAGATTGGTAAAAAATTTTTATTAAGTAAAATGAAATTTGACTTATAATATTCTTGGGTTTTTAATTGCAAAACCTAAATTAAACATTTAAATTTATTTTTGTTTTAGATAGAATTATCGTTGTGTAAATTAGCTGCTCTTTGTGAAGAACAAGAAAACTTGCCTGAAATTGCTGAATTATCTGAACAGATAAGTGAATTACATGAAAAACAAAGGATGAAAGAAATGAATAGAGAGGGAAGTGAAAATATTGAAATGTAATAAATGAAGGTATTTAAAATTAAAAATGGCTTTCTGTAACTCTTATGATTTTTAATTTATTTAAATTTTCGATCTCTTTTAAATCGTCATTTAATTTAAAAATTTTATACTGAAATAACTTTGTTTTGTTTTTTATTTAAGTTTTCTCTTTTAAATAAACGAAAAATTTAATTAAAATAAAAACTATCAAAACATAAGAAAACTGTTATGGACTTAAATAAAATTAAATATTTTTTTTGCTTCTCTTCATTAACAATTAGGATTTCCGGTTATAAATGTGTGTTTAACGGACAGATTTTATATATTTAAATAGAAATTCAAAACAAAATTTTCACATTAACCGACATTTTAAAATACATAGAAACTTTATTTTTTACTTTTCTCGTGAGTATTTATGTATATACATATAATAAATCACGGCTCAAATTCTAAAACAGTAAAATAATTTATCATAAATTATAACGAGAGGAAGTATTAAATTTCTAGTAAGATTTTTCCTCTTAATCCCGTCAATTCTTAATAGGCCCAATATTTAATGTTTCAAATAAATCTATTATGTACTTATTCTTGTTAAAATAAATTTCGTGAAAACTCTTGCGTGTCTAAAGTATTTTTTAAATTAAATTTAAGTAAAATTGAAACATTTTCTAAGAATTAAAAAATTTTTTTTAATAAATTCAAATTCAACAAACACGCACTAAGAATATAATTATTTAAGATTAGTGTTAAAAATTAATGAATTGAAAAAATTAAATAGAAGAAATCTTTTATGATATTGCATGCTAAAATTTTTTGTACGTTAAAACTTTCAAAAAATTTTTTTTATAATAATTTAAAAAGTAAAGAAATGTTGCATGTTTAAAGAATTTTTTTTAATTTTCAAAATCTCAGAATTAAAAAAGTTTTTAGACCTGATTTATTTAATTATTTTATAGTCTCAAAATTAATAAAACCCCTTACATTAAAAGAGATTTATATAAAATAAAATTTTTTTAAACAATTTTATTAACATTTTTCCCAAAAATGAGCCAACAAAATTATTCAGCAGCTTTGGAAAATTATCACCGAACGGGAGATATTTGTGCTTATTTAAACATAACAACAACAACTAAAAGTGATGTAGAGAATTTGTCTGATAAATTAAATGCTTTAGATATTTATCAAGGAGCAAATAAAAGTTTTTTAACAATTTATTTGCCAACAATTGCACATCAATTAATTGTTGGAGAATGTTCTTATAATTTTAAATCTCAACAGATGAATGTATAAAAATATTTTTTGACTAAAATTTTAATTTAAAAATTAATACTTTCGAAAAATGTATGAGTCCCCGTATGTCACAAAATTTGAGAAAATTTTGGTTCGAATTTTCAGGACTAAAACCTTCAAAAACTTGGTAATAGGTTCAAAGGAAGTCAGGGTCCTTACTTGCTTCGAACTCTTGCACTTTTCTGGAGATCCAGAGTCGATGCCAGGCAAAATGGGTTTAGCTTTTTTAATGTGGTTCCTGTGTGCACTTAAAAAAGTGAACGGCCCGATAGGAATCGAGGCAATTAGTTTATCCTTTCCTTCTCTAAATTTTATTTAAAAAGATCAACTTTTATAAAATTAAATAAAAATTAAAATTTTTAGACACAATCTTATTACAACAGCACACTTATCTATTATGATGAATTAAGTTTTATTAAACCAATAGTTCCTTGGATGATTATCCCGGGAATATTTACAATTATTTCTATAATTTTAAATATTTGTTTAATTTATGTTTCAATTCGAAAAATGTAACTATTTTTTAAAAATTTCAAAAAATTCAAAATTATATTTTAAAGTCCAATGGTTAGAATGTGCAATTTATTAATTGTTTTCGATGCTTTTTGTCTAATTTTGGCTGTTTCTCCTTTTGCTTTAAATTTTGTAGCTTTTATTTTGAATTTTGCGACAGTTGATTGGCGTGTTTGTTTTTATTTTCATTTAATTTCAACAATTGGCACGTATTCCTCCTTTTTGGCTATCTATTTTATTTCTTTGGAAAGAGCTTTGATTATATTTTGTCCAACAAAGTTTGTAGTTTTTAATAAATTATGAAAGATAAACGGCGAAATAAAATTAAATTTTAAAAAAATATTTAGAATATTTAAAGACATTAAAAGTAAATGCAGTTATGTGTCTGAAAAATTATATCTAAACCACCCTAAATTGAGCCCCAGTTTGTGGTTAGTTGAAATATAGAGCCGCATGGGGCTTTATTTTAGGAAATACGGTATTTATAAATGAGATCCGATAATTTATTTAAAAATCAAAAAATAATTAAAAATAAATTCTTTAAATTAAATTTTGAATTAAAGAATACACAAAATCCGTACTTCTACAATTCACCGTATTTCCTTTTTAATTTTTATTGTTTGTATTCTGTTTGGTATGATAATGGTATTAATTGAATTTAATGTTTGGACTATACTTAATCTTCCATATTATAAGTAAAATAATTAAATTTTTAATTTTAAATATATTTTATCTTTTTTAGATTATTTTACTGTAATTCTGGTTTATATTCTGATATTTTAAATTCAATTCCCTCATATTTTATTTTGGCTGCTTCTTCCTTAAATTATTTTTTAATTTATTTTGCAATTTATTGGCGTTATTTAAAATCGAAAGTAAAAAATAAAAAAATAAGTAGTCAACAAACAAATAATCAAAATTCTTCTCCCCCTTCAATTCCCGATCCAAATCTTCGAATTCTCCGTTCAGTTTTCATAATTTCTTTTATAATTATTTTTGGGTGGATATTTGGTTCGGCAGCAAGAAATCCTGTAACAACATTATGTACAAACATGGCCACAGCTATTTCTAATATTTTTAAAGACGATAAAGGAAATCCATCACAAACAATTTATGATATTTTACGTACATATTCAATTAGTTTAATTACTTGTATTAATCCAATTTCTGCCGGAATTAATTCCATAATTCTTTTTACTTCAAAGTAATCATTTATTTTTTTTAAAAATATTTAAAAACATATTTTTTAAAAATTAAAGTTCTGAATACAGAAATGCTTTCAAAAAAGCTTTTGGTATTAAACAACAAACAAATACAGTTTCTATTGGACCGTATTTTTCAAATCAACGGAATTGAAATTAAATGATTGTTAAAAAAATTTAAAAGAAATTTAATTTTAATATTTAAACATTTTTATTTTCCATTTACACCCAATTTATTTTCTAATATTTTTTATTTTAAAAATTTTGTGCAAAAATCATATTTTTTGCATTCAACTCCTTTCCCTCTTTCCCTTAATTTCCCTTGCTCATTTTTAATCTTTTTAATCTTAACTGTATTTTCTAAAATTACGAAAAATCTTTCTTAACTTTCTGAAAATCTGTTTTATATGTATTTACTATTTTAACGTTTTTCGCTAACTTTAATAAATTTATATCCCATTTTTGGAATAAATGTTTTGGAATGGGCCACTACAAAAAGCCACCACAAAATCACGAATATTTCACAGTTCTAAATGCTTGAATGCCTTCATTCCGTTTCATACAAAAGTAATCTTTAATTAAGAAAAGAAAAACTGAAAATTTGAAGTCAAGAAAGAACAAAAAATATTTTTATGTTCTATTTTAATATGTACATAAATAATTTTCATTTCTATAGTAATTAATCAAAAATTTATAAATTTTTACTCCAAGAAATCTTCAAGTTTTCTACTTATTAAAGCATTTAAAAATTATTTAGTAAACATTATGTTAATATTTTTCTTTTACTATTTGTATATTTTTCTAAATATTTAATGAACTCCATCAATTATTTCCAAGTGTTCCACTTTAAAAATGCATGGGAAAATTAGAGCTCTGATTTAATAAAAGTTTTTAAATTATTTAAAAAATTAAATACCTGAGAGGAATAAAAATAATTAAAGCTAAGGGAAAGAAGAGACGAATAACTGGCCAGGGAAAGTGCCCAATAATAAGTAATATAGCCAATTGAAATAATTCAGTTAGTGTAAATAGATGCACAATTCTTTGAGGAATGCGTCGAATATAATGAGTAGGTGGATAGGAACGCTAATTAAATAGATAAAATAATTTTTTTATTAAAATTAACTCGTCAAAATTTATATTTGAAATTTTATTTTATTGGTCAGTTTATATTTGACTTGCTTTAAATTAGATTTGGAATTCTTCGGTTGTCGCCCCCCCCCTTTTTATGCTTCCCTGACCATTTTGAGCTTTTTTGCTTTGACATATGATAATTTATATATCATTCGAAAGAGCTGAGTTGATTGGTACTATGATCGGTTAGATTTTGCAATTTTGAACAAAATTATGAAAGCTAAATCCTTTGTGGTTATGTTTTTTGTGATGTTGAAAGGGATTAAAACAATTGCTCATAACTATGTTGATTTAATTCAGATTTCGACGATTCTAATGCCGTTCAACTCAGCTCGAAGTGCTCTTTCTAATGTATATAAAAGTTCATAGAAATTTCATGAAAAATGTAAAAAAATAGAACATAAAAAAAAGGGGGGGGGGCGACAACCGAAGAATTACCTTAGATTTTTGGCACTCTCAATTTTCTGAAAAAATATATTGTCTCATACCTGTTCAGTAAAAAGTAACAAAGTCCTTTGACAAATTTCATTGCCAATTGTACTTGAATATGCAAGAAAAAGGAAAACTCCATTAAAAACAGATGTTGGAAAATGCCTTAAATAATTAAGAGCCAAAAAATATGTTGGGACCATAAATGAATGTGCCAAAAGTGTAGCTAATCTCGATTCCCGATTTTTTACAATACTAAATAAATTATTATTTCTCTCAAAAAACTTTATTTTTTACGTAGGCTGAACTGTTCCATTTAATAATTTATCTTCAACGTCAGCTTGGGCTTTTAAATGAAGAAATGATTGAGGTAGAGCTGCATGCATCCAAGGAAGGCAAAATATAGATAGGGGGATATTAATTAATGAAACAATCATAAAATCCCAATTTGCGGCTGGGCCTTTCTTTAAACTAAAATTATTTGGAAAAATTGGTAAAAGTAATTTTTGCTTTGAAAAAATGTTTATATTTTTTTCTGATTCCGAGAAATAATAATAGAAGACTAAAAAAATATAAACTTATTCTGAGCATTATCTACAGTAGAGGTAACTAGCATTTGGTCCATAGCAAAAAGTATTGCTAAAGGCAGTCCCAAAAAACAGCAAAGTAAATGCCCAGTTAAAGGTAACAGCCAGAATTTTCCAAAATTAAATGCTGGGGTATTTTCATCCAAATTAAATGTTTCCTCTTTTAAAAATAAAATTTTAAAAATTCAAAAATTATGTGAAGGATTGGGGGAAGTTTTTTACATCCATTGTCTCGTTATTATGATTAACATGTTTTAAACTTACTTGGAACATCGCCAAACCAAAAATTTGCAATTAAAGTCATTGCACAAACGGCTAATGGAAGAGCATAATCCGAGACTTGATAAACAAAATTAAATAAAAAAATATAATTTAAAAACCAATTTCTCGTTTATATTTTCCAAAAAATTTTGTTTTTCGAAAGTTTGCAAGAGTTAATGCAAGCCAGGCAGTTCCAAACATTAATAATAAAAAGAGTAAACCAACAGAACGGTCACAACTCAATGGATCAAAATGAGGAGGTGGAGGTGGGTGATGTGGTGGAGGTGGTGGTGGATGAGGAGGAGGAGGTGGGGGATGATCGAAAGGGGGAGGTGGAGGAGGAGGATTGCCTTAAAAATTATGAAATAATTTTTTAATTTATAAACTAAGAATGTTTTAAATAAAGACCGGACGGGGAGCGTTATTTGAGAATCGAGATCTTAAAAAATACCGAAATTTCGATCGAGATCTCGTCTCGGTCCGGTCTCTAGTTTTAAATGGACTAAAAATTATTTATAAAAAAGTTTGCCTAAATGAGGAGAAGGTGGTGGAGGTGGATGTTGAATTAAAGACAATAAATGATTAGTTGAATTAATAAAAAGTTCAGAACAATGGGGAAGAAAGGCTTTGTCTAGCATTCTTTTTGCAGCTTTAAATGCTTCTATAGTTAAAGTACAGGCAATAAATAAACTAAATAATTCTTCTAATGATCTTTAAATAAAATTAATTAATATTTATTTTAACAAACAAAATAACCGTTTAGCATATTTCATAACATTAGCAGCTTCAAATAAAGCAAATAAAAGTAAATAAAAACAGCACCACAAACCAATACCAGAATAAATTTGGAAAAAATCGAAATTAGTTGAATGAGAGATTCTTTCAATTACTTTTAAGAGAGAATAATTTTCAAAGAAAATATTTTTTAAATAAACCTTTAATATAAATAGATATAGGTGGACTAGTTAATATAACCAAAAAAAGTTGCCCTCCAAATATCCCAAAAAGTAACCCTCCAATCCATTGACCAAGAATTACTTTTTTAACATCTTTTTAATTTAATTTTAAATTAATTTTATTTTTAAATTATCTTTACTAATTTTTGAGTGTGTATTTTCATCATTAAGCATTCCTAAAGCAATAGCTGTTGGAAGAACAATAAAAAATAGAAAAACGGCAGAACTAATTGTTTTTTGAAAAGAACGAGAATCTGCAATTCCATCGAGAAAATCATTTTTGTAATGAGGTAATCGACGTTTAAAATCTTTAATTAGTCCACGTCCAATGTGCCATTTTGGAGACTAAGAAATAAAAAAATATTTTTTTCTTTAAAATTATGGGCAATCTGGATTAACTCTTAAAGATGGAATTACAATGTTCGGATTTGTAGGAAGATCGAATTTAATGCCTCAATAAACGTCACAATTTTAGTTATCTAATACTCTTTTTTATTCAAAAATTACCTCAACTAAATTAGTTTTTGTCTCTTTCTTCAATTCTTTTTCCTCAATTTCCTCTTCATTTTCGATATTTTTAGCTTTTTCACAAATTGCAGAAACAAATTCATATTCATTATTTGCATTTAAAAGTTCATTTCTTAATTCTGGATTAGCTAATAAAGTACCAAAAGTTCGAGTAATTTCAAAAGCGGATTTTGTTTCTTTCTTAATAACTTAGTAAATATTTTTATTTAAATTAATTTATACTTGTTGTAGAGGGCCAATAACAAGTAAAATAAATCTGACAAAATTTAGAGAAGGTCCAAAATTTGTTGGAGCCTCTAAACGAGCAAAACAAATTCGAGGACTAAATATATGTTCTAAAGAACAACTTGAATAGAAAATATTTTTTAAATTAAAATAAAGAGAGAAACTAACTAAAGTGCAAACCAATTTTGATCTTCAACAATACCTTTATGAAAGTCTATTTCAATTGCCTAAAATCAAAATTTTTAAATAATGGAAATTTGTTCCTCTTGATAAAAAATTTTAGAGTTAAGAAAATTTTTGAGAATTAAAAATCAGAGTCCCCCCCCCCCTTAACTAATCAAAATTAAAAATTAATTAAATACCTGTAAATATTCTTGTAAATCTGTTTAATTAAAAGAAAATTTCTTCTAATAATATTTTGACTTACCTCGAGTATCTACACAATTTTCTGATAAATTAAAACTATTTGTAAAAAGTTTTTCAGAAATATTTGAGAAAGAGATATATTGTTTAATTGAAGAAATTTTTTGTATTTTGTCCTTTGGTAATTTATCTTTCTCGGTTGTATTATAAAATTGTTTAGGGTTTTCTCCAATCATTCTTTAAAATTTAGAATTTTTTAAACTCCTTTTTTAAAATTTTATTATCTCTTATTCTAAATATTATATAATTTTTTGACGTGTACATAATATCTTCTTAATAATTTTGCAATTATTTTTTTTAAAGTTTAAAATTATGGAAGAGTTAAAATAATTTTTAAGGAACAATCTTTTGCATATAAAAATAAATTTAGTTAGTAATTAAAAAAACTCATTTCAAATATTATTCAAAAATATATTTTTATTCAAATCAATCTCTGACTACTTAAATTTCCCTCATACCTTATTAAAATCTCTCCCAATTCAGTTTCTGGAATATCCAACAAAATAGCAGTATTTCCACCCAACAAATAATTTGTAATATCTAAACGGCCTCGAATTTCCTTTTTAAAAGATCTAGGAGAAATAATAGATTGACTTTTTAATATTAATTTATTTTTGTTAATTATTTTTTGTTGTTGTTGATTTTGACAATTCTCTTCTTCTTTTCCTAATTCTTAATTAAGTAAATTATTTTTAAAAAAACTTTTTTAAAAAATTACCTTTATCAAGATTTTTATTGTATGCTTCCACACAAGTAAAACTATTTTGTTGCTGTTGAGAATTATTAATTTTTAAAGACATTTCAAAAATCCTTTAAATAATTTAATATAATGTTAAAAATAATTTCGAAAAAAAATTTAAGCATTTGTAGAAAATCGAGAATTTCCTTACTTTTCGGATAAAAATAATTTTTTGTTTTCTTTGCTTTACTAAATTTGGATTAAAATTGGGGTCTAATAAATTTGTAAAAATTTTTCAATTAAATAATTAATCATTTCATATTTTTCTGTTACATTTTATAAATTTTTAAAATTAAATATTTATTCAATATTTATACTAAAAACCAATAAGGAGGGATAATAATAAATATATTAAAAATATATTTATTAATCATTGATCAAGGGTTTTTTTTTATAAAATAATTTAATTAATCAATCATTTAATTAATTTACAATAAACTCCAAAAATTCTATTTTAATTTATTTGGTAAATTTCAACGTCATTTTATTTTTAATTAAATATAATCTTCAAAAGTTCTTTGAAGGAAAAAAAGAAATTATTTTATTTCTAAAAATAAAGAAATACCGATTAAATAAAAATTAATATTTTAAAAAATAATTTTTAAATAAATTTATTTATTTTAATAAAATGTCTCATAATTTATTAGACAAAACATAAAATATATATTTTCAAATAATAAAATAACCAAATCAAATTTTAATTCCATTTAGTTTAACGGAAGAAATAGGGATAAGAATTGAGGGGGAGAACGTAAAGGATAAACATAATTTTTTTATTATTAAATAAATTTATATATTTAATATTTATTTTAGAATTAAATAAAAAAGATTAAATATTTTTTATTGAATATTTTTATTATATTTTAAAAAATTTTTATATATTTTATTTAAATTAATTTTTAATTTTTAACATTTACTAAAATTTAAACAAAATTTTAAATGAAAAATTTAAATATAAAATTTATTTTATCAAATTTTGGAAGGAAATGTTAAAAATACTTTTTGAAGAATGATCAAATAAATTTATAAATTAAAGAGCTGAGAGAAAATTAGAAGATAATTTTAAAAAAAGTTGTGATATTTTTCCTACTAATTAATAAAAAAAAGCAGATTTAATGAATAAACATTTTATTAATGAAAAAAATTATTATTTATGATTTTCTTGAAATTTTGCACATTCTTTTCCAAATTGTATTTTTCAGACAATTTTTAGTAATTATTATTAGGCTTGGATTTATGTGTTGTACCCACTTTAAAATATGTCACATCATATGATCAAAACTGTCAAAATATTCTGTAAAAACATAAAAATTAGAAAAATATTTTAAATGGATGTTTATTTTAATTAAATTTTTAAAGTACTAAAACCTTAGTTGAATCCGAACTCATAAAATATATAGAGAAAGCTTAAATATTTTATAAAATTTCAAATTGATCATTTTTTAAATATATTTTTATAACAAAATACCTGGTATTAAGACCAGTGAATGAGTGTGCGAAATTAACTCGTTCACTGGTCTAATATGGGTTTATGGTGTTGTCATTTCATTTATTTAATTATTTAGTAATCAAAATAATTGAGAAAACAATTTTTAACTTTAATTAGTATTTTCATTAAAAAATAAAAAAAAATCCTTATCTTCGAAAGCACTTTTAACAAAATAACAAAGTCATTAAATATTAAAAATAAATTTTTGAGACAAAGAATCCTTAAAAATAATAAATGTTATTTACTGATAAATTAAACGAACAAAATCATTTAAATAAAAGAAAGTAAATATATAAGAGTTTAATCATTTTTGTTTCAACATTTAATACATCAAAAAATATCAGTTCTGTAAAATCTTTCAGTACTTAATTCAACTATTCGACAGCTTTATATGAAGAGCAGAAAAAATTAAAATTTTGCAAAATGAATACTAAAATATTTAAAATCTATTGCCAAATCCAAAATATATTTAAAATTAACTACAATTTATGAATTTAATTACAAATTTAATTTAAAATAAAAATTTATTATAATTATATTTTTAATTAAGACAGTATATATTTTCTGTTAATTTAAAATAATTTTTAATAGTTAATTTAAATTAAAAAATCAAAGTTTTAGTAAATATGTTTAATATTTTGCATTCAACCAAAATAATATTATTTTTGTTAATATTATTTTATTTTATTAATAATTCTTTTTCCGTTCGTACACAATCGGTTGCTGTTAAAGGGAAACTTTTATGTGGTCAAGCGCCTGCTAGAAATGTTCGAGTTAAATTATTTGATGAGGATAGCGGTAATACATAAATTAAAATAATTAAATATATATTTAAATAATTATTTAGGGCCTGATCCTGATGATTTATTGGAAGCAGGTTTGAAATTAAAAACTCCATTAAATAAATATTTTCTCTAAATTCACCTTTAATATTTACAAAAAATCTTAAAAGATATTTAATTAGCCTTTAGACCTTTTAAACAGTTTCTACATACCTACAAATTTTCAAATTTAGGATATTCCGATGCATCGGGAAATTTTCAATTAAAAGGTTCAACTGTTGAAACTACAAATATAGATGTTGTACTTAAAGTAATTAAATAATTAATTACTAAAATTTAAATAATTATATTTAAAGGTTTATCATGATTGTGATGATGGAATTAAGGTTTTTTTAAACAAATATTTCTCTTTTTAATTTTATTTAATAGCCTGGCTCTCGCAAAATAAAATTCAAAATTCCCAATTCTTATGTGACAGAAGGGCAAAATCCGAAGAAAGTTTTTGATATAGGAACTCTTAATTTAGAAACAGTTTTTGCTTCAGAAGAAAGAGAATTAATTGTTAATAAAAAGAGAAGAAATATTTTATTTAATTGGGAAAATGAGCTAATTGACGATATTATTTTTTAAAAAATATTTTTAAAAGAATTTATTCCTTAAAATAATTAAAAACCAAATAAAAAACAAAAAAGGCAAAGTAAAAATATTTTGATTAAATTGAATTGAGGAAGATGTTGAGGATGTTGTTGAGTGTGTTGTTGTTGATTTAATGAATGGTTGAAAAGGTTTGGGGGGAGGTAAAGGGATAATATATTCTCGTAAATCTGTAGATGTATATACATTTAAATCAAAAAGGTATTCACATCTTTGGCCGTGAAAGTTTGGGGCACACCTAAAAATTAGTAAAAATGTAGTGATCTCTCGTTTATTGTCCCATCAGTTTATAGGGGTATAAAAAGGAGGGGAAAAGAAGTTAAACGAAAAATTATTTTCGAATTTATATTATTTTTAGAACTTTTATTTATTTTACTCGTTAAGTTAAGAACATTAAAGGATTAAAGCAAGGATATAATTATTGTAAGGATAGGAGAGAAACTTTCACAATAATTTTAAAATTATTTAAATATATTTCTCTCTCCCACTAACCTGCAAAATGGAGACGATAATTGTTTAGTAAAATTAAATTCAGAAGTTAATATATGGCAACGACCTCCATTGTAACAATAAATCTAAAATTTTGGAATTAAAGAAAATAAATTTATCGTTTACCTGTTTAATTGTTGAAGGACAAGGCAATATTTGTGGGTAACCATTGAAAGAAGAGGAACTTTGCATTAAATTTATTATATTATTATTAAAAGTAGTATTTACATTCTCTTGTATTTTAACTAAAAGTTTATAAGTAATAAATACATTTATTGTAAATTATAAAAATTTTGAGAAGTAAAATAGTTAAAAGGAGTAAATAAGGAATAATTAATCAAGAGGATTATATACATAGTTGAGGTCCAATTTCCCTGTAATATTATCTGAGTCTAAAATAAAATGTAAGGATATGAAGATGGACATCATTTTAACTTTTAATTCTTAGCTATCGTGTTCTATTTTTAATTTTCTCGAGTTAAAAGGGTAAAATACTAAATCATTTTCAAGATAAAGAGATGATCAAAATTACCTATTTAAATATAAAGGTTTATGATACCGATATTTAACTGACATAAACTTTAATTATTTAGAATAATACAAACATTTTTGTGTAGTTTTATTCCTTTTTTGTTGTTCTTTTTCAATTGTCACAGTACTAGTAGACTGTTCACTGTTAATTTCTTTTATGATTTGCCGTCGTCTCTTGAGTAAAGGCATTAAATATATTTTGAATATAAATATATAATTATTTCAAGTATTTAGTATATATTTAAATATTTTAATATTATTTTTGATGTAAATATTTGTTTAAATAAATTAAAGTTGTTTAAATTATATTTACATTAAGGGATTTTATTTTCAAAAATTTCTAAATATTTGAAATACAAATATTTGAAAAATGTATAAATTGAGATACTAAATAAACATATAAATAGATCCGGATATTCGGATATTCCCAGGATCCACCAACCTTATTTGTAAACTAGAAATGTCAGCGATATTTTAAGCAAGATTACAAATACAAAATATTTCATTTCCTGTACCTCAACTCTTTTTCAAAAATAAAATTAAAGAAATCTGTATAATAATTATATTTAAATTTAATTAAAGATAATTTATTTCTGATTAAATACTTTTAAAATTAACGATAAAAAATTTAAATGTGGACAGAAAATATTTAAATATATTAACCAAATAATTTTTATGAATGTACAAAAATATACATATTTATTTACTCCTCTTTTTTCTTCAAAAATATACTAATCGCACATGCGCATACATACAACACAAAATATGCAAAAAATAACAATAGAGTGCGGAAATTTTTTTTCTTAAAAAATGAAAAAAAAAACAGATTTTCTGTTGTGGCGGCCACAACAGAATTGCCAGTTGAAAAGTAACAGGTGCATATATTTATTTTTTTATATTTACTAGTAACGGCTGGCCATTGTTGGATAGTCAATGATATACAATTGTTGAATAGTAGGGAATTGTTGATATTTAAAAATGAATTGTAAAAGATTAAAATAATTAAAAACTATAGCAATAAATCAAAGAAATTTTAAAAACCCGATGGATCCGAGGACTATTAAAATTCGAATGCTTCAAGATTGTTACTTGAAGTATTATCATTATTATTTAATTATTACACTTTGAAGAATTGTCAGACAACACTCCTTTATATTTTTTTATAAATATTCTACCAATATAAAAATAAATTAGAAAAAAGTAATTATTATTAGAGACCGGACTCGAGTGATCGTTCGATAATATCGATATCGATATCGAAAAATATCGATTATCGAAAAATATCGAAAAAATCAAAAAATTTTTCGTTCGATAATATCGATATCGATATCGAAAAATATCGATTATCGAAAAATATCGGTTTTTTAACATCGATATTTTTCGATATTTTTTCTGGACGGGGGAAGTTTTACCAATGACGAGGGAAGTTGTACCAATGACGAGGGAAGTTGTACCAATGACAGGGGAAGTTGTACCAATGACGAGGGAAGTTGTACCAATGACAGGGGAAGTTGTACCAATGACGAGGGAAGTTGTACCAATGACAGGGGAAGTTGTACCAATGACAATGACAGCCTTAATCCGATGACAGCCTTAATCCCTCCAAATCCCCTTATACATATCTCTCTTACTAATTTTAAATCCCATTAAACTGTGGGGACTGATATACAAGGGAGACTGAACCGTGCAGACTGATGACTCAGGCAGTTAGAGCCGGACCCGATCCCGGAACCCGGATTTGGGACAAGGACTCCGGAAAACCGGCCGGAGTCCGGTTTGGAGCCGGTTACTACTGTTTAATGTAAAAGAGAAATAAAACTTTATGCCATTATATTAAAATTTAAAAGAAATTAGGTAATATCGAAAAATATCGAACAATTTATCGTTCGATATATCGGTATCGATATGAAAAATTTTTCGTTCGATAATATCGATATCGATATCGAAAAATATCGATTATCGAAAAATATCGAAAAAATCAAAAAATTTTTCGTTCGATAATATCGATATCGATAATCGATAATATCGATATCGATATATCGATATTTTCCATCGATATATCGTATCGATCCGGTCTCTAATTATTATTAAATACATACATACATTTTAAAATTAAATAAAACATGTTTAATAATTAAAGGATTAATATAAAAATAATTTTAAAGAATTGTTAATACAATAATAATAAAAATCCTTCCAATTTTCATCTCCTTCTTCTTAATCATCCAAAAATGTAAACTAAATTCTCCCCCTCTTTTTTCTGTTCGGCCGCCGTTCAAACACGCCTTTTCTCTTCCGGGTGGTTGGAGGTTAAGAACAACGATCTGCTTGGTTGCGCATGGACAAACATGACGGCAAATAAAGCTTTAAATAGTTCTTGAGAATTTTTATTTTAAATTGCTGCCAAAAGAAAAATTAAAAATAAAAAAATAAAAATTAATTTATCCCGTGTTTGGATCAAAAGGAAGTACAAAACAAATAAAGAGAACAAACAATACATTTACATAGTATCGGCTGACACAAAAATAATTAATATGTATTACTTACTGACCTTTGGCGGTAGGTTTGTTTATTCAAAAAAATATTTTTTATATAAATTATGATGCACTTTTATATTATTTAAATAATAATTCTCCAAAAAATATATATTCCAATTAAGTTTTTAACTTTCAGAATTTTACAAAAAATTTTAGTCTAAATAAACACTTAAAGTTTGTCAAATACCAACGAATATTAATCTAGCTTCTAAACGATTTTAATGTGTAAATAAACACCTTTACATCTTTATTAATACATTTTTGTAAATCTTCGAATATTAAAAGTCACAGATGATCAAACAAATTTAATTAGAAAAAAATAAGAGAATTTTTAAATGGTTCGAATTGTGGAAAAGAATATAAGAAGTAACTTTTACGGATTTAACCCGGATTTACTATTCTACCGGCAAATTTTATTTAAAATTAAATAATTAGTACTCTAAAAAATAAATATTAAAAAATGTAAACATCCCTCTCTCTTCTTTTTTAAATTGTAAACAAGTAAATATTTACGTTTTTAAAGGCTATATAATGTAAACAACTTTATTTTGAAATCATTCTTTTATTTACTAGTTATTTTGTTATTTTTTCAATAAAATCCTTAGAGCGGTAGATATTAGAAAAAAGCTCATTTACTAGTAAGTTAATTGTTAAAATTTAGAATTCTTATTAAGCATTTTTTTGTTTATATTTTTTAAAATAAAATTTTTTAGTGAAATTACTATATTAACTTTATTATCTGAATTACTCTATTAAAAACCGACAAAAAATGGTTACTTTAAATGTAAATTTCTAATAATTTATTTCAAAATTTAAATATAAATATTATTTTAGCAACCAAATCTTCAAAAGATTCTTCATCTTCCGGCCTCTCAACGAGCCGTTCCATATGCTGTTATGGCTACTGCAGTTTGTGTAGCTACTTATTATCTCCTAAATGTTAGAGAACCAGTTGGAATTCATTCTCTAAAGAAAGGAAAGGACCAAACGGAAAAGAAAAATTAAATAAAAGAATGTAATATTTACAACTTCACATTCAGGATATTTAATTTTTATGATGTTTTGTTGAAAACAAAAATACTTTAAACTCTAAAAAGGGGGATAAAATATTTAATTTTAATATAGTAACAGTTTATATTAGAATGGCATGCTTTAGAGAAATATAAATTAACAAAGAAAAATGATAAATAGGTTTATGTAGGGCTATCACCATTTATCTCATAAAGACATTTGTTTTCTTGTCTTAGTTTGAGTTAATGTCAGTCTAGTTGGATATCAGTACTTGCCTAATCCCTAGTCTCCTTAGTTTGCCACATCTCCTACGTTTCTATCTTCTAGAAAACATAGAGCGTTCCATTTTGCTCGACAATCTTATCAAATTTATGATATTACATTGTGCTGGAAGATATTAGACCTGACGTTGATTCGAATGGTGATAGAAAAAAGGCGAAAAATTCTTTCGAACTTAAGTCCAAATCGAGAAGAAAATTCCTCAAGGAGCCAAAAAATCCCTCTTGAGAATATGTTGATACATCACGTGCTAAAGAGGTCCGTAGGACTCAATTTTCTCTGAAAAATGAGGCATTCTCTATTTGAAGGAACCTTCTATTGTAATTACGAAATATTAATTATATTTTTCTTATTAAATTCTTTAAAAATTCACGTGAAATATTGTGAAATTATATTTTATAATATTGCACTTTAATTTAATAAATAGTCTGAATAGGCAATTTAAAAGCAACCTCACTTAAAATTCTTAAATATTTTTACTCTTATTTTTAATTATTTTTATATTAAAAACAAACATAATTATAATAGTCAAAAATTACATATGATATAGGAAGTATATGTATATTCTTATCAACTTAATTAAGAAGATTCTATAAAAATAAAATATACATCAACACAATAGTTTTTCTTCCTCTCTCTATACATAAGATTAAGACTTCCTAAAAATCACAATATATTCGGAACTAGTATCTGGAATAAAAATTCTGGGAATAAAAGATTCTGCTTATTTTCCCTTAACTCTTTTTAGATATAATTTAATAAATTTTTAGAAATTAAATGTTTGTTATTCTAATATTCTTATTATTAATACAAACATCAAATGGCTTTCCGAATCCTTTCAAAGGTATTATTATTTAAAGTTAGGAATTAAATGAAAAATGAATTATTTTAATCCATAATTTTGGAAAACAACCTACTCTTGTAAAAGGATAAATTTAAAAATAAATTTCTTTGAGAAATTTATTTTTGTGGGAAAACATATGTAAATTTACATAATTAAATTAATTATTAATAGCAATGTGCAATATTTATGAAAATTTTACTTTCATTGAAAATCCTTTAAATGGTTCTACAGAAATAATGTTGGAGAAGTATTATAAGGAATTTTTTCTAACAGAAGATGTTAATCAAAAAATAAAAATGTATTTTAAAATTTCAATAATTTCTCATATATTTTTGCTTGAACTTGCAATGGACAGAAATGAGCCAAGAAAGAATATTGGGTTAATAAATTTATTTATTTAATGAATAAATGATTATAATTTAAATAATTTTTGAGTATTTTTCTTGACGATATTTTGTGATATTCTAAATTTTAAAACAAAAATTTTAAAATTTTTATATGAATTAAAAGTCTTTTCGTTTATATCATTACAACCTCCAATAACTTTATATTATTCCATTAAAGATTTTTTCGTCGAATGAAGTGCTGTTATTCAATAAATAATAATTATGAAGCAAAACTTTGTAATTTAATTTCACTTAAAAGAAAATATAATGAAGAATTGAAAGAAAAAAGTGGAAAAGATTATATAAAATTATCTGATAAAATAAATTGTTGTGAAACTGATCCAAAAAAATTAGAAAAAATAATTATAGAAAATATTGAAGAAATTTGGGATGCTAATTTTATAGTTGTTTCTAAATATTTAGTTAAAGAAAGAACTTCTTTTCAAGAAATGATGAGGTAAAAAAATACATAGTGCCGAAAGAATAGTTAAAATCCCTTGAATAATGGCCCCCCCCCCTCCTCTAAGGAGAAGTTATTCGAGAGAATAAGTCATGTCAATCTCAAAATCTTCTTAATTTTTAAGTCCTTTTTTAAATTTATAATTTTAAAGACTCTACACAGAAAGAATTATTAAAACTAGCTTCGGAATTACTGATTTTGCTAAAAAATTTGGTACAATGATTGGAGCAATACGTGGAACGGCTATGCATAGGATGTTTCCGGGAATTTTAAATGAAATTTGTAAATAATTATAAATAAATATTAGAAATGTAGAGATTAGGGTTGCCAAAATAGACCGACTCGGACCGAAAGATCGAGTCGGGCCTAGATGTTTGGCCCGAAAAAGACTCGTAACGGCCCGACTCGATAAAGTTGGGCCCGAAAAAGACTCGTACCGGCCCGACTCGATAAAAACAGGCCCGAAAAAAATTGTCTCGGAAAAAGTCGGCCCGACTCGAACAAGACTCGATGGACAAAAATGGGAGAAATCTGGCTCTTTGGCCTTCCAAAATTAGAAAAATTTTCGCCTGCGGCGCTGAAAAAGGAAGAAATCTGGTCCTTAGCCTTCCGAATATCTCAAAATTTTTGCCTGCGGCGCTGAAAGGAAGAATTTTTAGCTCCATATTTTGCTTCAAATCTCGAACTTACTGGCTTTAAGTGGCAAGCTGATTAATGGGATTTACGGGATATATCCTGCGGGATCCCGTCCCATTTGAACATTCGAAACTCAATCAGTTTTGAGAGTCCGCAATTTTCCGCAGTCAGCAATTCTAACATTAAAATCCGCAATCGCAATCTTCAGTCCGCAAGTCAAAAAACACGCAATCTTATGCAATACGCAATCCACCATTCCACCATCCGGGATATAGGGGTAATCTGGAGATATAAGGTGGTTTGAGGGATTAAGTGTGGATTTAAGTGGCACTAGTGATTTGGAGGTATATCAGTGATTTCATTCTTTTTTACCGCTGGAGTCGAAAAGTTTAAGACTTTTGGAAAACCAAGGGGCCAGATTTCTCCCTTGTTTATTGTCAATGAAGTGATAAAGAAGCTTTATGAGAAATTATGATGGATTTAGAGCATTAACAATGATACTAGGGATTTTAGAAAACAGTGGGATTTTATTAAGGGATTTGGATATCCACTGATATCCATCTCAATTCTCTTCAGCCCTTCCTTTACCCTCCAGATCCATCAATATACCTTTTAATTCTCAAATTTCCCTCAAAATTCACTAATTATTTTTAAATAAATCTTTTAAAAAATGACTCGAAAATGTCTCGGTGCCCGACTCGATAAAGTCAGGCCCGAAAAAGACTCGTACCGGCCCGACTCGATAAAAACAAGCCCGAAAAAAATGCCTCGACCGTCGGCCCGACTCGAAAACGGCAACCCTAGTAGAGATACTAGAATATATTAAAAATGGACCTCGTTTGAGATTTTTTAAATTTAAATTAATTTTAATTTTTTAGCTGATCAAGAAGTTAATTATTTTTTATTTGTATTATTAAATGATTCTCTTTCGAGTAAATCAAAATTTATGAGATGGCGTGCAAGACATATTCTTGATTATTTTCTTTACGAACAATGGTACAAAACTAATATATCTGATAATAAAAAAGATGGAATTGACAAAATAAAAATTGTTTGGGAAATAATTTTTGAAAATTATTTGGAAGGAAATAACTTTCTAAAAGAATTTGTTTTGAATTTTAGAGAACTTGAAGAAGAGGAAATAGAAGATGAATTAGAGGTTTAAATTAATTTAGCGTAAATAATTAATTAATTGGATTTCGTTTATGTAAGCTTAAACCAAAAAAATACATATAAAACTCCGGTTTTTGACTTGGAATAATTAATTTAATTAAAGGAATTATTTCTTAATCCATATGGCTATGCAGATGAAAATTATGATATTCATTTAAAATATTTATTTATAATGAAGGAATGTACTGAAAATATTTTAAAAACAAATGAATTAAATGAAGAAAATAAAATTTTAGAATATTTTAAAAAATGTGTAAATGAGGAAATATTAAAAGAAAATAAAATTGAAGAAAATGAGAAAAATTTACGTTTGCAAAAAATTATTGAAAAATTGACTAATTCGAATAAAGATGATGCTTTGTTTGAAAATTACAAAATAAGTGCTAAAAATATGAAGAAAAAAATTAATTCAGCTAAAGGTAAAATTAAGTTGTTCTCGATATAATTAACACGAAGGGGCCAAAGAAAAAATTTTGTTATTTTGAGAGATTCGTTAAGTCGAGGGGTTATTAGTTAATAATTTAAATTAATTATTTAATATGTAGATAATGAAATTAGAGACATGTATGGTATTAATAAAAGCCAATTGCTTGAAAAAATACAAAATAAAAATTCGAAAGAAAGTGGAAAGACTGAAATAAAAGTGAATGAAATCTTGGTAGTGTTTATATTTCCATAAATTTTTCATCTTCTTTCCAATCCTCACACAAAATAAAAAATGTGCAAACAAGTTTTAGCTTTTAGTTTATCGGTCATAATTCTGAAATTTATGATTACATTACTAGGATACTTAAAGGCACCTCTAAGGCAGTCAGATGCCGCTTAGTAGTATTTATTATTAATATTTACAACATACAATCATACGAAAGAAGTTGAAAAAGTGGACAATTAATTAGATAGATAAATGTAGGTAATGCTTAATATTTATTTTTAGCCAATTAATAAAGAAAAAGAAATTGTTAATGAAAATGAATCGTTTTCAGAGAGATTAGAACGAATTTTCAATGAATTTAGTGGTAAAATTATGTATTTTATTGACTTGGATTTACTGACGATATGACAGCTTTTAGCAACGCCTTAGACTTAGTAACCCCGTAGATTTTTGAAAAATAAAGTTTGAACCGAAGTAACAACTAAATTGGCCCGTAGATTTTGGGAAATACAAAATACTTCAAAATTATTTTAAATTCAAACCTAATAAAAAATAATTTAATTTTTAAAAATTTTAAGAAAATGCCCAATTGAAGGATATATTCAAATTCTTCAATGATATTTTGAATTTGGAAAATGAATATAAAAATGGAATTTTTGAGACAAAAATTGACGAATTTAAATTAAATATTTTAAATAAAAATGAAGACAATAATTCATTTTTGTATTATTTTAACAAGAAAAAGGGCAAATTTTATTATAAAAATTGGCATTCAATAAATAATAAATTTACTTTATTTTTGGCTCAAAATATTGAAAATTTAACAGAAAATAATAAATTATCTGAAAAATCTAAAAAATTAATTTGTTTATGGAAAATAATAGAAATTTTGTTGGCAATGGTTAATAATACAGATTTAACTATTAAGAAGGTAGTAGTCGAAGTATTTAAAATTTAACTCAGTAAAGAGATTTCTACAACAGGAATCGTGACGCCTAGATTCCCGAAAATCGAGAACTGAAAGTCTATCGGAATTCTTATTCAAAATTTGTGAGATTTTTATGAAAATACGCGAATTTTGGTAATTCCTTCTACCAGATCTCTCCAAAAATAATTTTAGCTTTTTATCATTTAAGCGGTTGAAAACGTGAATTTCTGCCTTATTGACATCTTAAAATTAAAAAAATTTTTGCATGCTGTGCTAGAAAAAGTCGAAAATAGAAAATATTCGGTAATTCCGATTCCCGAAATGATTCCCCCTATTCTAATATAAATTTATTCAACATAAATTTAGAACATTTAGGCTCTAAAAGCAGATGAATTGAAATTTGATGAAAAGAAAAATTATTTGAAACATTTAATTGAGCAAGAGTAAGTAGTTAAGTATTATTTCAAAAATACATAAATAATTTTTAGTTTAAAGGGACAGTCAATTCTGCTAAATGATATTTTAAATAATAAAGAATTCGAGAAGAAATTACGCGCATTGTTTGTTTATAAAACGAAGCAAAAATAATTTATTGGTCGATTAGAGATGTGCGTAAATCTAAATGAGATGCATAAATAAAGATTCCAAAAAATTTAGAAAATTCTTTAATATATTTAACAAATATTTCACAATTTTTCACTGAAAAATAAAATGACATTCTCTATTTCTATTAGAATAAATACGATATTTAAATATTGCGCTAAAATTTATTTATTTTAATAATTACCATAGCTAAGTATGGCTCAAGGAGCTAACATCCAAGCCGACCCCGGCGGAGCCGGAGCTAAGATTTTGAAAACCCAATTCCCCACAGCTCTGGATATACACCCCCTAAAGATGGATGAAAGAAAAAGAACTTTCGGGGGCGGAGTAATCCCTATGGGCAAATGTCCAGTTGGCTGTCTACCTGTCCGCAATGAGAATCCGCTCTTTTCTTTCCTTTTCTTGCATTTTTTGCGTTGGGAGAATGCACCCTCTCATTTCCATTTTCAGCATTTTTCCTTCTCAATACAGTATGTTTTCCTTTTCCTACTTGCAAAATAAATTTTAAAAATTTTGAAAGATAATTTAAAAATATTTTAAAAAATATATTTCTTTGTTTTACAAATAATTAATAAATAAAATAAATATAATTTAAATATGCCACTATTATATTTAATAATTTTGTCTATTTTTATAATTTTAATCTGTTTTCAAATAATTCCTTAATAAAAAAATTCTGGATCCATTGTTCGACGATCAAACTCTTGATCAAAAACTTTATCAAAGAAAAATCCCCATTACTAGTTATTGAATATCTACATGGTTTCCAATTGTGCTATTTGGGATTGTTATCCAAAATTTATTATTGTAAAATAAATATATTTTTTAAAATATTTTTAAATTATCTTTCAAAATTTTTAAAATTTATTTTGCAAGTAGGAAAAGGAAAACATACTGTATTGAGAAGGAAAAATGCTGAAAATGGAAATGAGAGGGTGCACTTCTCCCAACGCAAAAAATGCAAGAAAAGGAAAGAAAAGAGCGGATTCTCATTGCGGACAGGTAGACAGCCAACTGGACATTTGCCATCCCTATGATTAACTAGTTCAAACGTAAAAACGAATATTGTTCGATCATTGGTTTTTGTTACGACCCGAGGTGTGTCCGAGATTTAACTGACGTCGACGAGCACAACAATAACAATTTATCACGTGTAGAAATAAACAATGTGTAGGCGAAGGGAATGGAACAGACGAAGGAGATCAGTGACTAGCCCCACTAGTATGATCCGACTAGAGTGACGATTTTACTGGCTTTTATAGTAAACACTTTAAGGGCTAACGCCCATACACAACACCTCCCCCCTTGAAAAAAAGGTTCGGCTTTCACTTAAAGCCGAAGCTTTACAATTTTAAACATTCACTATAGCTTCCATGCTATCAATACAATTTCACTAAGCCAGTTCGTCTGTCTCACTCTAACACTCACTCACTAAAAAATACAAAAAATGTGGGATGACAAAAAGGGCAAAAGGACAAAACAACAAATTAAATTTACAATACAAGAATTTATATAATCAAAATTTGTCATCTTTGATCCACATCTTTTTCTTTCTTCTTTGGTGCAGTCATCGTTGTAACAGTGCTTTCGTTGTCGTTCTTGTTGACGTTTACAGCAAGCGCAGAGGAACAAAACAGAGCAATCGCACGTCCTTGATTGACACTTTTTGATCTGTCAATGCTTTTCCATAAGCTCACTTAATGTTTCGTTGCAGGCTCAGAGGATCACTTTTTTGATCTTGGCACTGCTCGTGTAGTGACTAATAATTTATTTACTGCAGGCTCAGAGGATCACTTTTGAATCTTGGCACTGCTTGACTTTTTATTGCAGGCTCAGAGGATCTACTTTCGATCTTGGCTCTGCTTAAGCATAATTTATACTGAATTTCAATGAACTCAACTCCACAACACTAACATTTCTGCTAGTGCGCAGTACGGTGCCGTTTTTCTGTGTACTTTTAGGATGGCTCGTGGTTGAATAATTTACTTGAATACTACGACTAATAACCACTCAAAGGATGTCTGATACATCTTGCCTCTTTCAAAGACTAGATACCGCAACACTTTCCTGAACATACACTATGTGTAGTCTGGGTGACTCATTGATAAGGCTTCTTGGTCTTTGATCTCAGCCGAATTACTTTTGGTCTTACGCTTTCTTTTGCAGCCAAATTTGACTTGACTTTACATTGGACTTACGCTTTCACTGGCTGCCAAGTTTAGAATTTACTTTTATATTGGGCTTACGCGTTCTTTTGCTGCCAATTTTTTTGTACTTTTTCATGTTCATGGCCATAATTTACTATTTCAATTTTCAATGTTCAATGTCTGGACTTACATGCTCGTGAATGCCAGATAGACTTCAATTTAGACTTTGATCGGCTTGTGCACTGAGGACCACTAGGCTTCTTTTTGCCTTAAACTAGGTTGTTGTTAACCTTAGACTTTAGACCACTGGTACTCGCACTGAGTCCTTTTTTTAGGTCTCTGACTAACAACTGGTCCACTGCACTGATCTTGATTTTTTTTGATCACTACACTACGACGTCAGTCCACACTCCTCCACTAATTGCTTATAGCAATTCACTATACTTCGCCTCATTACACTAATGCCACTCGTCTCCTTTGAAGCTGTTGTCGATCGTAGTCGCAGCAGCAGTAGACGTTCTGTAGACGAGCAGGAACCGTAGTCGACCGCGCCATTTGCTACGACCCGAGGTGTGTCCGAGATTTAACTGACGTCGACGAGCACAACAATAACAATTTATCACGTGTAGAAATAAACAATGTGTAGGCGAAGGGAATGGAACAGACGAAGGAGATCAGTGACTAGCCCCGCTAGTATGATCCGACTAGAGTGACGATTTTACGGTACTTATTTAGTTTCCCACCCCCAGTAAATTTTTTTGGAAAATATGTAAAAATGGTCAGTCTGAACAACAATTGTAGAACCGATCGAGCTGTGTCGAATGACACCAAAATCGACAAAATCCGACCTGATTGGACCGAGATACAGACCCCTGAAAATTGAACAACCACAGGGGCAATTTTTTGAAATGAAAAAAATTACACAAATGATATCTCATTCGAAAGAGCTTGTCGAGCTGAGTCGAATGACACCGAAATCAACGTATTCGGACGAGTTTTGACAAAGCTATGACATAAGGTTGCCGACTCCGGTAGGTCTAAATAATGTCATAACTTTGTCAAAACTCGTCCGATTACGTTTATTTCGGTGTCATTCGACTCAGCTCGACAAGCTCTTTCGAATGAGCTATCATTTGTGTAATTTTTTTCATTTCAAAAAATTGCCCCTGTGGTTGTTCAATTTTCAGGGGTCTGTATCTCGGTCCAATCAGGTCGGATTTTGTCGATTTTGGTGTCATTCGACACAGCTCGATCGGTTCTACAATTGTTGTTCAGACTGACCATTTTTACATATTTTCCAAAAAAATTGACTGGGGGTGGGAAACTAAATAAGTACCGATTTTACTGGCTTTTATAGTAAACACTTTAAGGGCTAACGCCCATAC